GGGGGGGGGGGGGGGGGGGGGTGGTGCAGCGTAGGTACATGACACATCACAGCCTGCTCTTGCCGGTGCTCTTGGCATCATGATCACCACCATGGGCGCGTCCATCATGCGTCTCGTGGTCAAACTTGCCACCCCTACCAGCGCCGCCGTCAAACCGCTTGGCCCCGGCCAGGCTCTCGTCCAGAATGACCTCGTGGCCCCGTTCAAACTCGAACCTCAAGGCGTCCTCTAGTCCCTTTGCATCATAGGCGCTGTAGTGCGCCGAGGCCAAGTCGGCCCTCATACACCTCTCCGGAAAGCGCAGCAACACGCCAGCCAGCCTCTTGGCCTCCCGCACGGCCTCCCCCTTCCCCGCGACGACCCTATTCACCAAGCCCATGGCCAAGGCCTCGTCGGCGCAGACCGGGCGCCCCGTGAGGATCATGTCCATGGCCCTGCCAAGCCCCACGATCTTCTGAAGCCGGACTGTACCCCCGTCGATGAGCGGGACGCCGAAGCGACGGCAAAAGACGCCAAAGACGGCGGTACTGTCGGCCACCCTCATGTCCGCCAGCAGGGCGAGCTCCAGGCCTCCTGCCACGGCGTGTCCCGAGACGGCGGCAATGATAGGCTTGGACAAGGACATGCGGGACGGGCCCATGGGCCCAGGAGCACCGTTGACCCGGTCGACAGGCGACGCGGGCGAGGCGTGCCTCTTGGCCTGCTCGCGCGGCAAGCCAGACAGGGCGGCCACCTCGTGTAAGTCGTATCCGGCGCAAAAGGTGTCCCCTGCGCCAGCCAGCACGCACACCTTTTGTGACGAGTCATTTTCAAACGCCCGGAACGCTTCGGCCAACTCGACGGCGGCAGCATGGTTCACCGCATTGCGGACGTGGGGACGGTTGATGGTGATGGTGGTTATGCCCTCGCGCGATGACTCGCACAGCACCGCCGGCTCCTTCGCTGCCATTGTCGTCTGATTCTCCGCAGAATGCTGCGTCAGGGTGCCCCGAGGACGAGCAACAAGGACAAACGAGATGCGATGCTGTCCCGTTGGACCGGCTCGCGTCGTTGTTGATCCAGCGGTGGTGCTGCGACGGCGGCGGCGGCGGCGGCGGCGGCGGCGGCGACAGCACCATGCCGGAGAAACAAGAGCAAGGGGGAATTCAAAGGCAGAGAAAGTGGGTGGGAAGGACAGGGTCTCCAGGCGAGCCCGCGAGCTGGAGTCTTTTTCCGTGCCAAGCTTGCGGCGGCAGCCGTCGTGTTTTTCATATACTATACAGAGACAGGTGAGAGTGGCATTCTGGCCACGAGGCAATTTCAGGCATTTTCAGGCAACCAGGCAATCAGGCAATCAGGCCATCAGGCCATCAGGCCATCAGGCCACATGCCGAGGCAGGCAAAGAGAGCCCAGCCCCAGTGACCAGTCGCCTTCAAATGGCTTTTGACTTTGGACTTCCCCTCTCTTCAAGCCTCAACCGCGTCACCCCGGTTCACAAGTAACTTACGTGGTGCCTGACAGGACGAGGTCGGGACTCTACAAAAGTGGCTCAAAGAGCGAACTGCGCGTTGCGCTACCTCCTGCCCCTGCCTGGCAGCGACCCAGTACATCTCGTTGTGGCGCGAAGACATACATGCCCATCATCCTCAAGAGTCAACGCAAGTGTATCGGCCTCGGATGCCATGGCCGAAGGCCTTGCCACGTAATTCCAAAAGGCCCATGTTCCATTTCGGCTGTTCAATATATATGTACACGCCTCGCCGAGAAATGCTGCCATCCGCCCGTGATATTCCATCCTTCTATATCGTCACAACCAAGCAAAATCAGAATATGCGCCCTCACATCCAACTCCGTTGGCCGCCAATCAGGAGACACGGATTTACTTCACACAAGATAGGAGGCTCATGTACATTTCAAAACAAAAATAAACGATGGTGCTTTTCCCAATAAATTTACAAAACGCCGTGCCCGATCAAGTCCTTCAGCGGTCCGCTGCTAGTCTTCCGGTTCGGGTTCGTCGCCCGAAACGGACGTTTCAAGTCGCCTGGAACTTGGCTGCTGGGTTGCACTGCGCGGTGACGCGGGATATTCCACAGTTCTCTCGCACTGCATCTGAAGTATCTCCAGGGGTGCAGACAGTGGACCGTTGGTGTAACTGGATGGAGATGATGTGTCTATCTTCAAAGACGGCAGCCCCTGAGGTCTATCCTGCAACTGTGCAGACGCCGGACCACCGGTCAAGACTCGAAGCTGATCCCTGAATCCATAGTCGACCGCCGACCGAGGACTTCCGGCCCGATGCTTGCCAGATCCTTCCAGTTCCATGTCATTCCTGGAGCCTCGACTGGGCAAGCCCGCCGCGTCTACGTCATTCCCACGTTAGCGAATCAGGACTGCTGAATGGGAAGCAAACTGACAGCCGTCTTCTATAGACCAGAATACGACTGTGGCTCGCTGCCTCCTGAAGTGCATGTGGAAGAGATTGGATATTTTGTTTGCCGTCCCGATGGATTGGACGCCGAAGTACCGCTTCCTTGGCTGAGGCTTGGTGGTGCCTGCGTCGAATCGAGTGCAGGCCGAGAGTTCCTATCTCTTTGTTGTGACGGATGCGAGTCTCGCGTTCCTGTCTGACTGTGCGGCGATGAGACATCCGCGTTGTTGGCCGGCGAATTCCAATACGTAGCCGAAGTCTGATACCCAGGACCAGGCGTAGATGATGCAGGTGAACTGCTACCGACATATCTATCATGATACATGTTATTTGCCACGTCAGAGCTCGCAGGTCCTCCCGACTGGCCCGCTTCAAAACTTCCCAACGGTTGTGACGGTGCAGGTGGCGACATGTACGACTCTCCTGCGGAGCTTCTCATATCCGTCATTAAAGCTCTTGCCTCGTAAGTCCTGTAAGAGGGTCGCACTAGCCCCAGAGTCGATGGCGGCGCGCATGATCCGATACCATTCACGGCACCATAAGGTGAGTGCAAGGCTTGTAGGTTGTCAAAATCGTCTGGAACTGCCCGCATCTGGATCATTCTGTCGCGGTCATCAACCGTGAGTCTCTTGATTTTGGCTCGCCTGTTTTCCCGTTAGCAAGTTCTTCTTTGGGACATTGACTCTGAATGCCAATTCTTCTTACCTATTCTGAAACCAGACTTGGACCTGCCGGGGGCTCAGCCCAGGAATCTCGCGAGACAGCCGCTCTCTGTGAGCGGCATCGGGATGCGGCTGTTTTGCAAACTCTCTCATCAAAAATCTAGTTTGTTGGTGCGTAAGCCTGTTCAGAATTAGTATCTTACAACACGCTAGCCTTAAACTTGTGCAATATTGGTTTGTGGGCTCTGGAGGTAATGGTTATACCTAAATCTTTTAATTTTGCGCCGCGCCACAATGCGCTCAGCCACTGTTTGGTGGTAATAATGAGCGACTCGATCATCATCAGCATCCTCGTCGTACACGTCGAATTCGGCGTCCTGGCTCGAGATCCGTTCCTTGTGGTCTCTATCAGACCACTTGGCCCCAAGATTCAGGTCACTGTGCGATCTGTATAAGTTGCTTGCTTCCGTCAGTCTTGGATAAGCGTATAGATCTGTTCCCATGCTGTCACGACCGATAGTGTCTGACAGCCTCGAGGCGGTACTCAGGGTGCCATATAAGGAAGTCGTCGGCCTGCTCGGGAGTGAGTTTGGATTTCCTAAGCTTCTTGCTGGTTCGTGTGCGGGACTATCGGTTTTAAAATCCTGATTTTGGTACTGGTGCCAAAGAGACGTCGTTGGCGTAGTCATGTGCCTGTCCAGACCGTTCCTCGTCTCCAAAGACAGTCGTGGATATGGATCGGTCTCAAGACGAGAATACGAATATTGGCCTTGCCATTCTGGCTCTAAAGGCGAGGGCAAGCTCTGCTTTTCGGACATGCGTGGACTCGGTGGGTGGCTTCGAGGCCGCTTGTAGTGAGTGCGAGGCCAGTGACCGTGATCTTCTGTATCGCAGAGTTTGGCGATGAGCATCGACGGAGCTTCGGTTCTGGTTCAATCTAGAGTCTCCTCGGAGTTGAGCTACTAAAATGGCCGAAAAAAGCTCCAGGGCCAAATAATTTAACTTTCCTCCTCAAGCTAAAAGATTTGTGATTGATGGGAGTGTTGGAAACGAGGGTAAAAGGAGGGGAAACAAAGAGAGTGTGATGTGCTGTCTTGACGGCGGGAAAATAAGCTTATGAGGGTACTCTGGAGTCGTGATGGAGGAAAAGAATGTACAAGGAAGAGTAGTAGATGACGCCAGTGTGTTTGTCTATCAGAAATAATGCCAGATCGAGCAGTTGTCGTAGGTGCAATCCTGTAGTCGGAATTAAAAGCGTTAGATTGATTATGCAAGATCCTTAAGTAAGTAAACCAGCCGGGATGTTGATGGCAACAGAAAATCACGGGTGGATGAAGCAGGCTCCTGGCAATGGATGCAGTTCAAGGGTTGCTGAATCAGGGATGCTGAACCTGAATCGAAGTATCTAATCTTGTGGGGTGGTTATAACAAGGAGCGCTGGACTCTTTCAACTTGGGTCTGCACCAAGAGGAGAGTCAAGCATTCACTCTCAGTTGTAATTACTTTGTCATGCGCCACGCGCTCCGTCTTGTAAGCAGTCAAGGACTCAGGTCTCTGGGGCGGTTCAGCGGAGTTCACATGACGTGACAAGAGACACAAGGCAGCGTACGGAATAGGCGAAGAGGAGTGAGTAATGCTGTAACTTGAGCCCTAGACAGCTGGCTAAAAGGTAAATATGAATGAAGAGCTGACGTCCATGTACATGTACGTACATGGTTTCGGACGGAGCGACAGCCATGGCCGACCTGTTTGAGAGTCAAGTCCACTGCCCCTTACCTTGGAAAGCTTGGAAGGTTTGCGACGTCGGAAGTTCTAACTTTGTTCTATTCGTGTTCGATTCTGTTTCTGCCGTCTCTACGGGACTAGAACCCGTATTGTGATTATCCTCGAGCGATTTTGCAGCCGTCATCCGTGGGGAAGCGTATGGAATCGCGCAAAAAGAGAAAATGGGCCTCGGCAGTCGTCCTCTTTCTTTTGGTAGCGCAAAACGGTTGGGGCCGTATCTCGATTTCGTATCGGCGAAAAAATCCCCAGTTTCATGCGGTGGCGCAGCGCGGCTTCAGAGTCCTCTGTCCTTCGGCTAGGTGCAGCACGATGGAATTGCCAAGATGATATGGGCATGGTCGAATTCATGACGGATAGTAACTTCTCACTGCGTTTGTTGTCTAAAAAACAATGACATTGCCCAAGCACAAGGCACCAACTAGTGTTCGCAGTTGGGGCGGACACGTCCAAGTTGACAACCAGCATTATCCAAAAGTCGGATGCCAGGGGTCACAGCAGGTAGAGAGGTCAACATGACCAGAGGCACGTAGCACAGCTGTGGTTCGCTGCTGCTCATTTCTAAAGGTGTGATGGCTTCGACGGCCAAAAGTGTCATGGCTGATTGTCAAAGAATAGGTCAACGGCCAATGAGAGCCGGCAACGGGGCGTCTTCTAGGCGTGATGAAACCCTACAGCACAGAACGTCCGCTGGAACATTGAAGTTGAGGCCGCGTGAGAAGTCAACTCAAAGCGGGCGAGGTGGGGGGTCGAAGATATCTTGATGTTGGCCACATGGGGTGAGCCGTGGGCCGGCAGGGCAACGCAACAGGAACAGTGGACAGGAGAACAAGGGACTGAGGAGTAATGACAAGGTGGAAACCCAATGTTTGCATGGCCAAAGTGGATATGAGGCTGCATGCTACATGGTCAAATGTCTGTGATGCCCGTGTGGCGTATGCTGGAGTGTGTGCCATGCCCTGCTATATTTTGTACATTTTGGCCAAGCCGCGACACACAAACTTCTTCATCAAACAATCAGCAGCCCGTTAGCCTCTGTGCGCCCATCTTGTCGATTCTCTCTTGTTGACTGATGGCAACAGAGCTGAAAGGGCCGTGTGCCACAGGACCCAACCACCAATCATATGCTCCGTCTCAAAATGCGACCAGTTGTGCAACTCTCGTGCAGCTACTCCGTAGTGAGACCTTGGTCCTCGGGACTATGCCGAGCATTGAAAGTGAGGGCGGAAAATTGTGGTCCTAGAGACAGGGGCAGCGTGTATACGGAGCATGTGCGTTGAAGGTGCACGGAGTACGTATGTATGTACGTACGCACGTACGGAGTACATAGGCATGTAGACACGACACAACAACCCTGTGCTCCCAAAGAAAACTTGTTCCCGTCGAACCAAACATTCGCGGTGCAGTGCCACAAAGCATGGCGCGGGCTCAACTGCACTGACCATTCGCACAGTCGCTCGCCAGACGGGCTCGCCGCGCAACCCCATCGAATAAACTCGTCTGGCTAGTAAAAGTGTGTGGGTGATGCCCGGATTGCCACCCTCCTCTGTCTGATTGAGAAGTCGACCCTATCGACAGGGGCCATAACAGGGTTCTCTACTGTTGCAACGACGCCGAAGTCCTTGACGGCCTGAGACTCGACCCGCTAGTTTTGGAATAATGAAATAGGCGCCAATGTGCGACTTCGAATGGGCAACTGCGGCAATGCCTGTCGTCCACTTGTGGTGTCAAGGATGAATCGCTTGCATTTCTCAGCCCAGGGGTGAAAAGCTGTCCACGGTATTAAGCATCCATGGTGAGCAGTCAGGGTGAAGATGACATTGACAAAGTCGATGCCCGTTGGCTGACGTAGCATATATTTCCACCAACGCAGACGCAAGAACGCGGCGCCATCCTGGCCAACCAGACCCGAGACACGAGCCAGGGAGCAGTATAATTCTGAAAACCTTCTGTTCAGTGCTGTGGTGTATCATCCGGGTCGGGTTTCATCGTAGGCTAGTGGCAACCCGGATCGGCTGTGCGTGGGCGGCTGGTTCAAGAGACGGTTATGATAAAGGGTGCCATATCGCCCTTCATTTTGCTCATGTTGGATGAGGATGTCGTGCAGGCCGTCGCATGCTTGGCCGAAGGCGCCACGCCGTTTCATCTGACGCCTCATGCAGACCGGGCCAGGGCCAGTAAATAAGCTCGTGCTACGGAGTCCCGAGCCCGCGGTAAAGGCAAGGTCTGGCAAGTACCAGTTGACTTGTCTCTTCAACAATATGGGAGCGTTTTTGGTAACGATGATGAAGCAACTCGTCAAGTAACTTATGCCAAGTTGACAGCTTTATGATAAAAGTGGCCCTCGACCAGTCATATCGCTTCTCTTGTTAAGTTCTCGTAGTCGGAATCGGTGTGTCTGTCCGTATATTAAACAGGCCAGCCCGGTAATACTCAGCGCTCTGCATATTGATCCTTGGAGCCTCGAATCGTGTGCCTTGGCGACAGCTCATCAAGACTGTCCAGTCTTTCCTCCACCACACCCAACCCCCTCTTGGTTTCGTCCTTGGTAACATTTGTATTTTGGACGTGTCTTGACTCGACTCGCATGTCATGGCATGTCGGAATCAACAATCGCGGGTTGTCGGCCAACGACGGAGTTCGTGGCACGTTTCGCTCCGGCTGCAGGCAACCGTTATTAGCAGCATAAATAAACATGGGTCGGATCTTTTGCGCGTGTTGCATAATTTGAACAGGGATGAAATGAAGAACGAATGCAAGTCAAGCCATTCATTGCATATCATACGGACCACCATCGGCTAATACTCAACAGGGCCATTTACCTGCCATATTCATCTACACCGATTGCAATATGTAGGTCGGGGTATGATCGCCCACGGCTTCGGGATTTTTCTCCATATATTAAAAACCGTCTCATCTTCATTTAGTCGGCCGTTCTCTTGCCGTTGACTGAGGCACCTTTGATCAACCATTGTAAAGAGCGTGTGTTTTTGACATGGAGCTTGACCAGGCACATATGGTAGTATTGTATTCCGTAGGTCGCGTCTAAATAATGCTTGTCATTGGCTGTGCATAATCTAAGCGCTGGCAGACGGCTTGAGATGTAATGTGACGAGCAGAGTGCTTCAAGTGCTTCAAGCGTTGAGGTCTGGGTGGGCGATTCAAGGACTGAGTACCCAGATCCGCGCTCCGTGCCAGTTTCATGCTGGCTATGCCCGGTTTCTGCCAGGAGCAGGCCCGTACTCGTTGCTCAACTATGAACAGGTTGGTATGTATGTATGCACTGACATGGCCGTGCCGGAAGATCCCCGATTTTGTGGCTTGCTGGTGGTACTTGAGATTACAGCCACCCCAGTTGGTCGGGATGTCTGCCATTTTGCGGTGGCAGACCAGAAAGGCTAGTCAAGGACAGTGTGTGCATGGCTGCCTGCAAATACTCAGACGACACACGCTCAAGTGACTTGTTGAGTAGTACCGAGACAGGCCGATAAACCAGCAGGGGGCCGTGTCAGGACAAGCTGATGATGAGAATCGTGATGGTAGGCAGTAAACCGGAGCGGGTTCCGGAGTAGACTCAACTGGTCCGCGTGGAGTTGGGGCGTAGTGAATGTGATGATGGGTTCATGTTTGGGAATCCGTGGTTGATTCCCCCATCCTGCATTGACAGGCATTGATCGCACCTTCCCCAAATGTGAGCCAAATTACGGGCAGGCTGCCATTTGCGGCATTACCGGAGCTTCACGAATCACGCAAAAGACACAAAAACATGCAGGAGCATGAAGTCTCTCTTGGCGTTCCTTCCGAAGTCGGTTCGAAACACCTTACATTCTACAATGGGGAGTACGTCTAGAGCAAGAACCAACCCCCTCCCCTTGAAGTTCGAACCAGTTGATATCCCTTTCATCGCTTGGATGTCACTTAAAACTTGCTCATCGGAGACACTGTGAAGGAAGAAGGAGCAATCAACGACAAATTAATCCGGCAATGCAGGAGGCACTCGTCTTTGTTACCCAACCCATGTCTAAGCGAGTTACGTTTGTGCGCTCGTAGCTGTCACCGGTTGGCCCAGCCGTGCGATCTCGCCGACATGGAATGCTGAAAAGGTTCCTTCCCTCCAGGGCCCCAGTTGCTCTTGCTTGATTCACCTTGCTTTGTTGTGAACTATCCGCTTGAGTGCCGATCAAGTCAGGCACGGCCTACCTGGGCAAGCGAGCACTCCGGACCGTCCGAGCACTCAAGTTCTTAATCATGGCACGTATGTGGAATTCGGGAAGCAAATCTCAGCAGTAATGTCGCGCAAAAGGGAGTGACAAAGGCCAAAACCGCATACTCGGTTCATCACTTGGCCGAGCGACGAGAAATGGCCACGGAGGCACGAATCAAAAGCACAGAATTGCGCCAAAGTCACCTCGCAACTGTACGTCTCCGCAAGGATACATGACTACCTACATGCCTGATGGGCTCTGACCTGAAGCCACAGCTGGTACTCCGTACTCAAGTAGTAGGCATTATTGTCCCTGTCCCACTCCTGGCTTCTGCCAGCATGGATGCGATGGCCGGTCAACCGATCCACATCATCGTGCCACGTCCTGACTTTGACCCTGTGACGGCTTCGGTGGACGGCACTGGCGGACGACCCTGGCGGACGACCCTGGCGGACGACCCTGGCTTTACGCGGACAACTGACAAGGTCTGGAATCATCATCAATCGTTGACCCCATATCATGCCGAGCTTCAGGTAGGAGACGTCCAAAACCTGGCCCGCCGTGCTCCGCATGGCAGCCCTCGGTTGTTGAAGTCCAGAAGTCTAGAAGTCCTCCGCTTTGGCTCCAGCATCCCAGAATTCGTCCCTGAAGCCTGACTCGGCAAGTTACCGCATCGCTTCGTCCAGCTTTCGGATGGCAGCCTGCCGGCGATGGGCCATGGCATGTGTTTCCCCGTCCCACAGATGTAGATGCTCCGTACTCCGTACATAGGGGAATAATACTACGTAGTAGTACTAATCGTGCCCGCCCCACTTTATGTGGTTCGGCTAGCAAAAGCCCTCACCACCAAAGGTGGTGCTCGACAGCAAGGCGGGCCGGACACCAAGGCGGGCCAATTTTCAACCTAATAACGCTATTAACCTCTTCGCCTATAATGTACACCCTTCTCGTCCCAAATTTCTAGTAGATCTAGTACAGAATCCAGACGCCATTTACGTGCCTTTTTAGCTGCTTCAAAAAACGTCCTCTTGGCGTGGTTGTGGCGCCTTTTGTCGGCATGCTCTTTATGCTTGCTGTTCGCCTGATGAACTCGAGAAAGGTCTTTGCAAAGGCGTGATTGGAAGGAGAAACGGCGAATGGTTGACGCGACAGGTATGCATTTGTTGGCGGTGACGGGAGGGGAGCCATATGAAGAGGTGCATTATCTGTTGACTGTTTTTCTAGACCGGGAAATAAAAATAGGACATGTATAGAAAACCAGATATTACAGCCCTTTTTAAAAAAAAAATCAAAAAAATCAAAGGTCGTCACTCATTCATTGGAAGCTTCAACGAAAAAAAAAACCCCGGATGTAATTACGCAGCTCATTAAAGATCCACCTGATCAATCGCCGGCCACCATTGAGACCAGGCCCCCTGCTCGTCGAGGTTATTGCTGACTTCCGCGAAAAGCTGGTTCAACAAGGTATTAGTGTCGAGCTCGTGCTCGTGCTCGTGCTCGTGCTCGTGCCCTTGAACCGGCCAAGTCGCCTGCGCCGAGGGCCGCTCCGCGCCCCGAATCTCCCGAGTATGCGCGTCGGATCTATCCACGACACGGAACTCGTGGACAGACTGGTGTAGAGTATCAAAGTCTGCTCGTGTGCGCCCCTGGTATCGTGTCCGGTCCTCGGTTGCTCGCTCGTAGAGCACGGATGCATGGTGTATCGTTTTGATCTTGCGCGTGCCGCCCTCTCAATGTTAGCGCAACGGTGGCCACGGTCGTGTCATGCTTGCGGGCGGCTTACCCATCCGTCGGCGATTTTCCAGACAAGTCGAAACTTTTCCAGGTAGTCGAGACACATTTTGAGACAGTCGCTTGCTCGCGGGCTGCGGCCCAGGTTCATTCGGGGGTATTTCGCCACGTAGAGGTTGAGGTAGCCGGCTGAGAATGCGCAGAACCCGGCAAAGGGCGTCATGAGATGCACGCCACACTCGGAGGCCTCGTGTAGAATGGCGGCGATGTGCTCTGCCGCGCCGAAGAGGAGTCGGGAGCTGTCGTCCCACCAGCCCTCGGGGGCGGGCGCCCCCAGCATGGGCTGGTCGACTGGACCCCGTGGCTCCGACTCCGGGGTCGGCAGGAAGGGGAAGTACTCGCGGTGAAGCATGAGGGTGCTGACAAGGCGTAAGCAGGGGCGGCGGCGGCAAGTTGGGAGCCCCGTCGACCGCTACCGCTGTGGGAAGGGTGATAGCAGCCTTCCGGAAGGTCTGGCCCCTGGGTGTGACGTGGTGAAATGATGTGATGTGACCCTTGACAAGGACCCTGCTTCCGATTTAGCCTGCCTGATACATCCCGACTTGGAAACGGCGTCCAAACTCGTCGGGATGCGAACCTTATTTGATGCTGAAACTATCCAAAAACAGGGATTTTCTTGGGCAATCAGGTCGAGCCTTCGGCCATGCTGTTGGCGGCCTTCTAATACCGGCCACGCATATTGCTAGTATATTGTATATGCATACCTCCATGTCAGGGCCAAGAGCTTGGATCTTAAGGTATGTACGGAGTACGGAGTAGTAGTATACCGAATTGTTATTGGCAATAATAATAATATTATTATTATTATTTTATCACCATCATCGCTCTGCCTTATCCAGTGCACATGCTTAAGTGGGTTGGCTTCCAGGATGAACAAGCATGGTTTCACCAATAAAAGGGGGCCGCTAGCCAGCAACAACATAATATCATGCCAACATAAGGTTTGAGGTCCCCTCCCCCCCTCTTTTCTTTTCTTTTCACTTTGGCTGTCCAACTACTCCGTACCTAGGTCATTATACGTGCACACAACCCGGAAAATGGTCCTTGTATCTATTGCTAGCAAGTTACACGGCCTCCTCAGTAGTCGTAGAAGCCTTTTCCACTCTTCTTGCCCAGCCAGCCTGCGTCCACCATCTTCCCAAGCAGGACACTAGGGCGGTATTTTGAATCGCCAGTCTCGGTATGCAAGACCTTCATAATGGCCAAACAGGTGTCCAGCCCAATAAAGTCGGCAAGTCGGAGAGGGCCCATGGGGACATTGGTTCCATTTTTCATGATGGCGTCAATTGAGTCCCGGTCCCCGACGCCAGTCTCAAGGCAGATTACGGCCTCGTTGATATACGGCATAAGAATGCGGTTTGCCAGAAACCCGGGTGTGTCAGCGGATATCGAGGGAACCTTGTCGAGTTTCTTGCAAAACTCGACGGCGGTCTCAACCGTTTCCTTGCTCGTCTGAAGACCACTAATTATCTCGACACCCTTCTGCACGGGTACAGGGTTCATGAAGTGAGTCGAAATGACACGGGAAGAGGCCGACGTGTCCGCGGGGTCGGCGGTGGTGGCGGCTGCGATTTTGGTGATGGAAATAGACGAGGTGTTTGTAGCGAGAATGGCATGATCTGGGCAGATTTTCGCGAGGCTGCTAAAAATTTCCAACTTGAGCTTGGGAATTTCAGGAACCGCTTCGATGACAAAGTCGACAGATGAAAGATCTTCCATCTTGATGCTTGGCTTCAATAGAGCGCGGGCCTGGTCAGCCTGTTGCTGGGTGAGCCGAGACTTGGACACATCCTTTGCAAGAAGCTTCTCTGCGCGTAGGCCCATCAGTGTCAGCGAGCCAGGGTGGTGTGCATGCATAAAGATGCAATTTGGGGATGGACGAGGTCTGTATGTGAGAGTTGCAACATACCTGCAAATGCGAGTCCCCTGCTCAATGCCTTGTCGGATGTGTCAATCAACGTGACGGGAACCTGAGCTTTCTGGGCAGCAACCAAGGCGATGCCCAGACCCTGTATTCATGCCCATCGATTCTTGTCAGTGAGGTTGTTTGTTTCGGGCGCTTGTCTGCCGATTCGTGGGCTCTCGAGCCGTGAACTGGAGTCGATTGCGACCACGGAAAAACTGACCATCTGACCGGCGCCGATGACACCTAGGCTTTTCACTTCTGCGGCGCCTCGGCGCGCGGTGCAGCTGAAGTGGCGCGCTTGACGCGCTGTCCCAAGCGTTCGCATCCGTACAACTGAAGACGCCATTCTGAATTTCCTCGCAGGACGCGGAGTAGAGAGGGCGAGGACGAGAAAAGAAAGAAGACAAAAAGAAAAGGTCGCGGGGTGATGTCAAGATTGTGGCAGTTCTGCTTCTCGGTACGGGTAACCTCGGCTCTTTGGCAAGGCCAACTGGTCCTGTTGTGGGGCTAGAGAACGACGGCAGCGGCACAGCCATTGGGTGCACCGCGCGCCAGCCGTTGCCAGCTGTTTGCAGCGACGCGTCGACACGCGTGTTGGCAGACCAGAGTCGAGGCTACCCGCAGAACTTGGCAGAGGTATGGACGCAGGTTCGTAGATTGGAATTTGTCAACATCACCCAAACGCACCGCATTACCCACCTTGTGCCGTCTTTTATGAAGCAGCTTCACGCAGGCAAGAACATAAGCATGGAGCTGCTCGACGGTGCCGCGGACATTGTCCATCCCGAAGTTCGAGCCCATATTGGCAGCCTTGTGTCCGCGGTAAGTCAAGTGTCATGCGGTCGGCTTGATTGAACCAGGAAATATCCTGACAAATGGTATATTGCAGCTTGGTGGCATAAGCACAGAGGATGATGGGAACTATCAGCTCGGCGATGACGCGGTCGAAGTCTTGCGTGATCTGAAGCGGTGGATCCGATTCTACGACGAGAAAACGAACCGAATGGATGTTGCACGGTGTATCTTTGATGCAAACCTGGTTGAGGGCGACCTGCTACCGATTCTCAAGACGTGGCCTGAGAACGCCATGTGCAGCAAGTTTCGATCAAGAGTCGCGCTGGCTTGCTTCGAGCTGATAGTCCCATTGACTTGGCCAATAGAGTGGGACAAGGAGCGCATGACGGTAAACCATCACAGGCATCTTCCCGTCTTGGAGCTTGCACAGGTCCAATACAAGAGGGCAATCATCAACTTTGACGGCGCCCGCATATTACGCGCCGCTGTCAGAACAGCGCTGCCGGCCATGGCGCTGCCGATTGGCGACCGGACAGCAAGGGATGAGGGCATCATCAAGCTCGTTCTGTTCTTCCTCCGAAACATGGCTTCGATTACACCGCCTCCCAACGGCAAATATGAAGGCGATGAATCTCAGGTCTCCCGGTCGGCCACGATAGACGCTTTCGCCTACCAAGACATCTTCCATGTTCTGCTCATGCTGTCGTCAAACATGGGCGAGGACTTCAGGACAGAGGACACGACGGTCATGGAAATCATCTACCACCTGGTCAAGCGTGTTGACCCCGAAAAGCTCTTCATGAGTGAGCAGCAACTGAACAAGGCCAAAGCCGCCGAACTATCGGCCTTGATGAACAAAGAATCGGCCATGCTACAGTCGCACAATCGCAAAGGAGCCACCCGACACAGTCGATTCGGAACCATGATCTGGGTTAAGCGGGATGATGGCAAAATGACCTCCCTATCAGGACAGGATGCGCTGGCCAATTCCTCGATCCGCAACCAGATAATGGATGAAATCAAGACGTTCAAACCTCCACGGCGAGCGCGGAAAGACAACCAGGATGAGAGGGATCTCGGTCCTCCTGCCAAGCTCAACGCTCGCGCCAACAACCAGCTGCGCAAATTCGTTGACGAGTTTCTTGACTCTGGTTTCAACCCGTTGTTCCAGCATATCCGCAAGACCATCGATCGAGAAGCACCGCACGTGCTTCAGTATCACCGTCGCCAATTCTTTTACTTGGTTGCTTGGTTCCTGGAAGCAGAGCGAACTCGTCGAAAGGCCAAGGGGCCCAACTGCGAGGCGTCTGCAGATATTAGCAGTTTCCAATTGGTTGCCGGAGTGTTGAACCAGGAAATGTTCATCACGCTGAACCGGGCCCTGCATGAGAGCTACGACGTGAAGGATTGGACAGAACTAACTGCGGTAATGCGATGTTTCACCCAGATCCTCTTGACAGTCCAGGAGATGACCGAGTCGGCGAACGAGGACGACCAGGAAATCGCAGAAAACGTATTAAGCCGACTCTTTTACGAAGAGGCTACGCACGATGCCATTGCCAATATCATCAGAATGTACAAGGACCAAGGATTTGACTATTTAGATGCATCTACGGAACTGGTTCACCACTTTTTGCGAATTCTAGAAGCATATTCAAAGCAGAATGTGGACATGCAGGTCCGTTCAAGAAAGCGCACACGCAGGAAGAAGAAACAGGCGGCAAAAGAGGACAGCAAGGGAGAGGAGGCGGAGCTGGACGATTCAGCCGACGACGAGGAGACGGCCGAGCGCACGTCTAAGGAGCGCAAGTTCGACTTTCACAAGTTCTCTAGCCGGTTCACACCCCAAGGCGTCGTCGATACCTTTACCCGGTTCACAAGATACTACCGCGACTTGACGGACGCGCAGTTGAAGCGTGCTCATCGATACTTTTACCGCGTGGCTTTCAAGCAAGACATGAGCGTCATGCTCTTCCGGGTCGACATCATTCACCTGCTATACAACATGATCAAAGGGCCCAACGCGCTGGAAAGGACATGCAGCATGTTCAAGGACTGGGAGGAGCTCGTGAAGCAGATTCTGCGCAAGTGTACCAAAAAGATACAAGAACGGCCGGAGCTCCTCGTCGAGATGCTCTTCAGCAAGCTTTCCAGCACGGCCTTCTTCCTAGAGTACGGATATGAGAGACAGGTCACGAGCAGGAGCCAGCCGAAACCGGCGGCCGAACTAGAGTTCAAGCACACGGAGGAGCGGGATCAGCAAGTTGCCATCGCAGTAGGTGCGTTGCTGGACAAGAACGGCAGCGAGCACATCAACTGGGTGAGACGGGTGTTGTCGGACGCCGAGTCCGAACGTCGGGCGTGGTCTGCCGCAGCGGACGCCAAACACGATGCGGAGGCCGTGCTAGGGGACGAGGAGCCAGAGACGCCTCCTGTATTCAGTAAGATGGACATGCTCCGACGCTTCTTTTCCTTCATCCCGAAGCTGACGCCCGCGCAGCCGTCAAGCCAGACAACCCCGAAAGACGAACAGCCATGTTCAAGAACGCACACCTCCGGCTCCTCATGAAACTCTGCGGCATGCAACTCATGGGGCCGGCGTCTGAAGAAACCCCCGAGAGCCTGTGGATCATCCCCGGCGCCGTGTCGGCAAACCAGCTCAAAGACACCATTCATTTCATCAACCAGGCGGAGCTCAGCCCGCCCACGTTTGAAGACGGCGTCCTGGCTGAACACCAACTGAAACGCAAGGCAGCGGCCAAGAGGAAGGCAGCGTTTGACGACGAAGATGCCGACGACGACGACGACGACGGCTTCCTCGACGACGAGATGCTCTTCCCCGCCGGGGGACCAACGGCCCGCAAAGTCGCCGACGAGAAAAGGAAGCCCAAGAAGGCGCGGAGACGTCGCAAGGCCGCCGACACCGAGGAACTGACCGACTCTGTGGCCGAGGAAAAGGCCCGCAGACGCCGAGAGAAGGAGCTTGAAAAGGCGCGTAAGATCAAATCGGCACTGTATGTGCGTGACGGCGACGACGAGTTTGATTCGGACGAGGACGAGGCCTTTTTTGCGCGGGAGCGTGAGATTGCGGCCCGTGCGAAGAAGGCGGCCGAGACGGCGGCCGAGCCGATTTCACTGCTCAAGAAGAGAAAGTCGACGGTGGCGTCCGACGCTAGCGACGACGACGACGACGACGACGACGACGAGGATGAATCGATTCTTGCGAGGAGGGTGCTGAGTAGTCAGGAGGACAGGCAAAGCGAGACGGATGACACGCCTGTTGATTTGAGTGATGGGGAGGCGAGGAAGAGGAGGAAAGTCAGTGTTGACGTGCAAGCAGGGGGGGATGACGGTGACGATGAAGACTTGGATGATGATATTGGGACCAAGACGACGGGAATGCAAGACGGCGACGGGAAAGAGAACGCACAGGTCGGAGTCACCAGGAGACCTAGAGTACGGGTACGCGGTGGCTTCATTATGGATAGCGACGATGACGAGTAGACGGATCTTGGAGCACGGCGTACTGCGTGGCGACCCGGCAGAGGGGGTTCTGTCAATGAGAATGAAAGGCATCTCATGCTTATGTTGTATACATGTCCGACCACACGCCTATGCGACCGAACATTACTCTGGTAGGATCCAGTAGCTCAAGCACGAGCTAGTGAGGCTATGCCACAAAAGTAAACAAAAGGACCGCCCCAGTTACCGTTGCCGTGAAAAGCTCCCCGCCGGCGGATTTGTCGACGTCGGCTGCGCCCTCAGCCTCCTCGTGACCCTCCCCAACTCGGCCATCTCCTCGCGACTGGCCCTGGCAGCGGCTGGACTCCCAAGGACGCTGTCGTAGGGTCCCCTCGAACCAGAGCGACTAGAGACAGCCGTCTCGTCACCGCTTCGAGGCGGCGGCGGCGGTGACGACGACGACGACGACGACGACGCACCCGCGGCGCCGCCCCATGATCCGCCGATTCCCTCCATGGTGAAATCCGATGCCGTGGGCGCGTCCAACACGTCCAGTTCCTCGGGGCGGAACACCCTCGGCAGGACAAGCGCGCGCAGCGGAATCAGCAGGAGGATGAAGACAGGGAAGCCGATGGCGGCGACGGTCTGGGTAATGGCAAAGGTGGCCCCGAAGCCAAGCAGCTCCATGGCGACAAAGAGCCAGACTGCCGAACGGCGCTTGATGGCGCGCAGAGGCGTGTCAGGGGGGGTGAGGGCGGCGTCGCGCGCCAGAAACACGAGCTTGGCGGTGATTCCATTCGCCTCGAGGGCCTGGACGCCCATGACGAAGAAGAGGCCGGCCAGGACGCCTTGGGGGATGAGGTGTAGGACGACGAGCAGGGGGGCCGTCATGGTGCCGAGGGTCAGGAGGCCCTGGGCGAGGTTGGACAGGCGCTGCTCCACGACGTGCGTGGCCTCGAGGGTGAAGTCGCCTTTATCCTGGCCCTTTTCATCGAGCCGCTTGACGGGCTTGGTGACACAGAGAGACTCGGTGTGGAAGGGCGCCTGGGGGATGAGGCCGTTGGGGAAGGGCAGGCCAAGGATGCCCGCGACGCCGGTGGTGATGCCGAGCAGGAAGATATCCCAGTGGAAGCCGGGGGGTTTGCGGAGCGGGAACTCGCTGCCCTGGGCGATGAGAGACGATACTTGAAGAAAAGCCCGTGGTTAGCGGCGAGCTTTCTTTGGCGGTTGACACTGGCCAAGGGGGGCGTCTCAAGCAAAAGAAACAAGAAACCAACCGTTGTGGTCGAACCAGAACAATATGGTCAGCAAGACGGCAAAGGGCAGGGCGATGAAGACTTGGCCGACGCTCAGATTCCAAAATGGAACGACCCAGGCCCTCCCGCTGGTAGGCTCAAAGGCGATGCCCGTGGGCAAGACGTCCAAGTGAACGCGGGCCATGCGGCCAATGTGGACGAAGCCGGTGAAGAAGATGATGGTCAAGGGCGTTCCGTAGTCCTTGAGAAAGACGCGGACGGGATGGGTGAACAGACTGCTCCTGCCGAGCTGGCCGCACACGTAGGCCACGGCGGAGACGAGCAGGGCCGCGATGATGGACAGGTAAAAGGACGGCCCGTCGGCCAGGCGGTCGAGGACCTGGATGCCCTTCTGGATGTAGATGAAGGCGACGTAGAAGCCGAAGATGTCGCAGGGGAAGCGGGTGACCCAGCGCAGCCAGTTGCACGAATTCGTCACGGCAAGGAGGACGTGTAGGACGAGGGACCATCTGCGCACTCGATCAATAGCTGTTTCCCCGGGGATGTCTCGTGCTGGGGGCTTGGGGGAAGCACACGTACATGCCTATCCAGGCCATGAAGCCAACGTAGTCGACACGGACATCTTTCATGATGTCGTAGACGGTGCTAACTCTGGCGTTAGGTTTCCTGACACGCCGCCACAAGATCAAAGAGGGGGGGGGTGAATCCGCCAGAGACGAGAGACGACAAGAAGAGTCATGACCAACTAGTTAAAGACGGTAATAGGCCCTAATACAAATCAGCATTCCCACGCATGAATGATACCATGGACAGCATCACCCTTGACACGCACCCGTCACACCAACAATAACCAGCGGCTGGGCGGCAAAGACGGAAAACACAACGGCGCCCATCACAGACGCCAGCAGCACCTCATTGACGCCGTAATTGGAGCCAGTCTTGGAGAACATGTCCAGGGAGAAGGCCAGCGCCGGCAGGATGCTGCATTGGTTTGTTATCGGTTTTGTCCGTCAGCCCTCGGCCGCGTCCCAAGGGGGGGGAAGAGGGAATGGAAAAGGGCATACTTTGCAAAATACATGTACACCGTCGCGGGGACGACTCTATAGTCCCACGCGTCCATCCAGTCGCTGCCATAATACGGCGCTCGCCTCCGCACGTCGTTGGCCATGCCGCGGAACAGATGGACCTCGTACCATTTCCCCTTCTCTCCCGCCGCCGCGGGCTCGCCGGCCGGAAGACGGCTGCTGTCGTCGTCCATGCTGCTGTCTCGGCCTGGAACTGGCGTGGTGCCCCAGCGTCCGTCAAGTGGTCCGTCAAAGGGCTGTCGAGTTGTGCGTGCGTGCCTGTGTGTATGTGTGTGTGTGTGCGTATGCCTCTGGAGGGTCGGGGCTGTGTCCGTGGTGATGATGATGATGATGATGATGATTGATATCCAAGAGATGGCCAGTATTTTGGCAACAACGCAGCTGATTAATTAATTCCCCAGCATGCTTCAAGTTGATGAAACAGCTACAGAGCAGGCAGAGAAATAACATCGACGGTAGACAAACGGTCCATGACGGCAACGGGCCCAGCTGCATCTGCGTCGGTCGTGTTTCCCCGAGGAGGAAGGGGCAACTGAGTAACTACCTACGGGGCTCCTTCCACGGGGTGGGCTTTGTTTGGGGCCGATTTCTACCCAAGTACTCCGTACTCCGTACCCAAGTAGGTACACACGCACCGCACACAACTACACACAGTCACCCAAATATCACACGCAAGCACCCAGGCGTGCCTTTCCCCTCCCTTCTCCGTCACAAACAAGCCCGGGCACGTCCATCATATCCTTGCACAAGTCATCGACGGCCCCGCGCCAAGCATCGCCAGCCCGGCTCCGTTAGTCAGTCGCCTTGGAACTTTTCACGCCAATCAGCATGCACGTCGCATAGTCAAGTCGCCACGCCCCGGCCAACAATTTCATCATCCGCTCCGCTCTTGTCGTTTGATACTTCGCGTCCCCTCGGACGACTCTACCGTGTTGTTCTACCCGCCTCAAGTATGACTACATACACTGACAATTCTTACAAACAGACAGAGCTTTCCCCCGTCCTCTCGGGCGCCACCCCCGACAGGCGCTGCGATGCTGAAAATACAAATGTAGCGTGTGCCTTCTTTATAGATGGATAAGGAGTTGAGAGGGGAAAAAAATACCACTTGACCCGTCTCAAGCTTGTCGCTCATTTGCCAGAAAGGCCTCGGGCTCTAATGCCCATCAGAGCCCAGTCACACCCCCGAGTCATTCATATCCGCCAATCCCCAAATCACATTCAAGTTCCCAGCATATCAATCAAATTCACATCGGCTGCTGTGTAACCTGTGTCGCTTCTGTCTCCCAGATTTTTGCCTTGGTCTTTCAAAAGACGGGATAAACCTGAGAGACCCCCCGTGTGTTGGCTAAACGCTGGCGCCGGCGCCCCAGGTCCTTCCTTTGGTGTATCAGTCTCCTCGGCAGGGAATGGTGGCGGTGCGCTCTCTTCCTTGCCGCCTCCGAAATACTTCTCAAACTCCTCGTTGTTGTCCTCAAACGGCCTCTTGCCCAGAATGCGAACCATGTCGTCTCGGACAAGCACCTCCTTCTTCAGTAGCTCCTCGGCAATGAGCCCAACCTCGCGCTTCTTCTCGAGCAAGAGGTCCTTGCATCGCTGATAGGCTTCGTCCACGATTCTGTGCACCTCCTGGTCGATTTGTTGAGCCGTTGCCTCGGCGAACGGCTTCTGCATCCGGTTCGGATCGTTCTCAAAAAAAACAGGCCCGACCTTGTCAGACATGCCCCATTGGGTAACCATATTTCGCGCCATTTGTGACACCTTCTTGAAATCGTCACTTGCACCAGTAGTCACTGTAGGAAAGTGAAGTTCTTCCGAAACACGACCCCCCATGGTCATCGCCATGCGATCCATCAGCTGGTTGGTGTTCATCAGGTAGGCGTCCTGGGGCAAGTACTGTGCATATCCAAGCGCACCCTGACCACGAGGGATGATAGACACCTTCAAAAGAGGGTCGGCGTGGCGAAGAAACCATCCGCAGATGGCGTGCCCAGCCTCATGATAGGCCACCGTCTTCTTCTCGTCAGGCTTCAACACAAGGGACTTGCGCTCCAACCCTCCAATCACGCGTTCAATGGCTCGCTCAAAGTGTATCATTTTGACTTCCTCGGCATTTCCTCGGGCAGCTGCCATACTCCTTAGCATTAAAACCACACATACACATATGGCGAAAGAGAAAGAGAAAGAGAGAGAGAGAGAGAGAGAGAATGGGTACGCACCAATGAGGGCTGCTTCATTGACAACGTTGGAGATGTCGGCACCGGAAAAGCCAGGAGTCAAAGTGGCGAGGCGGCCAACAAGGAAATCTTGGTCTTCGTTGGTGACAATCTTCTTCAGATACACCTTGAAGATTTCCTTGCGTCCGCTCATGGTTGGCCGGTCAATAAAGATGTGTCTATCAAATCGCCCGGGTCTCATGAGAGCCTTGTCCAAAATGTCTGCGCGGTTAGTACCAGCCAAGACGACGACTTGTTCGCGAGTGTTGAAGCCGTCCATTTCGGTCAAAATCTGATTTAGCGTGGCCTCTCGTTCATCGTTGCCACCAAACCCCCGTCCGCTTTCCATTCGCGCACGGCCAATGGCATCGATTTCGTCAATGAAGATGATGCATGGTGCGTTCTTGCGACCCTCGGCGAACAGGTCGCGAACTCTGGAAGGTCCAACTCCCACAAACATCTCGACGAATTCTGAACCGCTCACACTGAAAAAGGGAACCCCGGATTCACCCGCGGTAGCCTTCGCGAGAAGCGTCTTTCCGGTACCTGGAGGGCCGGCCAGAATAGCACCTCGAGGAATCTTGGCGCCAAGCTTCTCAAACTTCTCGGGTTGCTTCAAGAAACTGACAAACTCCATGATTTCAGTCTTGGCTTCCTCCAGGCCGGCCACGTCAGCAAACTTGACCTTGACAGCGCTCTCGGCGTTGAACTTCTTGGCTTTGCTCTTGCCAAAGTTGAACATGCCACCACCGCCAGCCCGGCCGCTCATGGAACGCTGAGTCCACAGGATGAGACCGATGAATAGTAGGGTTGGGCCAAAAGCCAGTAGGAGGTTACCAATCGTGCTACCGCCAGCCTCGTAGCTGACGGGTATTCTCTCCGAAGCCGGGATGCCGAGCTGATCCTGAGCCTCTTCAAGCTTCTTCTCGAACGACTCCACGGAGCCAATGGTGAAAATGTAGGTCCTCTTGCCACCGGCGCCAGCGTCGGCTCCAGGAGCGTCAGGATGCAGTTCGACACGAACTTGAGAGCCATTGACCACAACCATTTTCTGCACAAGGCCCTTATCCAGGAAAGCTCTGCGCATCTCCTGCCAGGTGATTTCCTTTTCAGAAAACGACTTGCTGAAGGAGTCAACAGCCCAAAGGGTGATACCGAGGACTAGACCAGTCTGGAGAGCGTCCATCCAGCCATTTCGCTCTGGCTTTTTGGGACCTCCAGGACCCTGCCGATGTGATCGGCCCTCTTGTGACTTTTTATCGTGAGTTTCGAATTCGGGCTCACTCTTGCCAGCCTGTTCACCACTGTGGTCGTGGTCCGGTCGTTGGTTCTGATCAAACATTCGGTTCCCTTTTCGTTGCTCCTCAACTTCCCATTCTGCCAAACGCTCAGCCATCATGAATACGCATCGCATCAGTCGGCCCTTGTCCAATATGGACAAGTTGCCAGGACCTTTGCGCATCTTGGCAAGCAAGTCACGGACCTCGGCAGGCGCACCAGTCTGCTGCAGTCCTCGCAGAATGTCCTTCAGCGTGGCCCTTTGAGCCTCCGGTAGAACCTTCTGAAAGGCATCTAGTTGGGCAATTTCGTCTTTTGATAGTCGAATCCATCCTTCGGGAAGTGGGGCAAGTTTCATGGACTCGGCACCTCTCTCTTCGCTGGCCTTGTTTTTCGCCTCGCTCTGTTTCTTGGACAACTCAGGTCTATCGTCTTTGTCCGCCTTCGAGTCCTCGTCTGGCTGCGGCGGCTTTGAAGAGGAATAGCACCTCACAGATATGCCATAGGCACCTGGAAGTTTCCGTGTGGAAGTCGATCGTGACACTGCCGACAATCGTAGACTCTTATGATAATTTGATTGTTGAGAGAGCCTGGCTAGCCGCGCCAGCTGGCTCGATTGTCGGAGATATCTTGACATGTTGGGCATATCTGAGCTGTCGCGGGAGGCGGAACCGCCGGAGTTGGGGAGGGAAGGTAACAGGAAGATCACCTTATCTCATGAGACGCGCAGACCAGGGCTCTACAGCTCAGAGGCGTTTTATTCGAGCGACACACACACCCGACAGTAGCGTAGGCAGAGGGAACTCCAATGCTACGTGACAACGGGTTCACGGCAACACAAGAATTCACGAAGGTGCTGGCGACGAGTCCACTGCGGAACAAGAGATTGAACTGCGTCACGTGGATCCGCTATAAATTGTGGGTCTGTAGGGTAGCTCCGCAGAGACCAGAACGGGACGAGGACAAAGAAACAAGTTTCCATGTGGAGAGTGAAATACTAGCAAACAAAGAGGATGTTCAAACATAGGTCTATCGTGAAGTTTATAATGGCGGTAAATTCCATCGAAGTTGCAAACTGTTGGGAGCGTTGAGGGTCGCGTTGGTCGAGACGCAACGCAGCAAGCTGGATCCCGGGGCAACCATCGTTTGGATTTTACCTAAATGGACTCATTGCATTCAAGACTTCGGTCCCAGTCAAGTATCCCATCGCAACCGCAGTAGAATGGACCGAACCTCGCCGCTTCCTTTAACTAGAACCCTCCGAGATGTATCGTCTGCCTCTACAACAAGCGCTCCCGCCTCTCCGTCAGCTGCGGTCAGGTCTGGCCAATCGCGCCAAACCTCAACCGCGACGAACTTTGCTATTTTGTGTCGAAATAAACAGCCCAATACTCGCCGAGCTTGTGGTTCCTCGCCAAGTTCGAGAAGTGCGACTCTCGGTTTCAGTAGCATGGCAAGATCCAGCAGTCTAGAGTAAAACACATCCTCATGCTGCCATCCAGCAGGAACGGGCGCATCAACATGTGGAACAAGGGCTAATCGCGGCTCGTACTTGCGAACAGAGTAGCTCAGTCGCCCTTGGGCAAGATCCCAGGCCTTCCGGGAGACATATGGTGGGTTTGATACTAAGATGTCGCAGGGATTTCGGGTCAGAGGGGCCACGTCTTGGTCCTTGAAGATGTCACCCCTCAAGAAGTTGAGCGTTTGATCCGGTTGGGAAACCGAAATATTGCCTAGCTTGGTATTGTGGTCAATATTGAGCTTTGCGAGGCTGATTGCTTGGGACGAAATGTCAACTCCTCGGACGCGCAAGCGCGAAAAAGAGGGCTGAAGCAAAGCGTACAAAAGCAAAGGAATGCAACCTGTTCCCGTGCAGAGGTCAACAATGCTCAGCTCGTCATCATCATTGCTCGATCTACTGGGCAAAAGTTTCCCTGACTTGATCAAATCTACAAGGTGATATGTGTAGGCCTCCGTCTCTGGGCGAGGGATGAGCACGCCCGATCTGCATTTGATATCCAGGGGCCCAAAAGGCTGGGAGCCGAGAATGTACTGTAAAGGTACACCACGACGTCGCCGCTGGCATAGTGACCTCAGTCGTTGATCCTTGCTGACGATGGACTGTGTGTTGATTGTCTGCGTTACATATTCCGTGAGCCAGCGGAGTTCATTTTGGGCGGATTGAATATCGCGACATGCGGGGACAAGAGCAGCAAGGTTGGGCGAGTGTTGTCTGGCTTGCCTGAGGAGCCGTGATGGAAGTCGTGGCATTGCCCGGCAGGTCTACGCGATCCACGCTCAAAAAGAGTGACGAGATTCGAGGCAGAGAAAAAATAAGAATAAAAATAAAAATGTGGGGCGGGCAATTAGGCGATGTGGTTTGTCCGGACTCTGGCGGGGTTTACCCGAGCTATACCCATCTGCGCTAAACCGGTGACAAACCACTCAGAAATGTGAACCACAACGCCAGCGTTATTTGTTTATTTATTTATTTTGGATAATTCTTATTCCTGCTATTTGATTTAATATCATACGAAATACCGTCTGGCCTGTTTTCTTCCGCGTGGATGTAAATCCATCACAGCCTTATTCAACGCCGAAATCGTTCACTCGCAAATCGAGGGCTTGAGCTTTGGAGACTAGCATACAGGATGAACGCGCCAGATCGGTAAGGACAAGATTTTCCCCAGCCAGCAGTGACACCTGATAGTTTCAGAGGCCCTAGCGTTCGAATACGTTCGTGGCGAGCCAGGGAGGTTCGAAAATGGACGAGAGGAGTGTTGTCTGTGCGAAACGTTTCTTTCTTTTTTCAGGAACCGCAAAGATGGCGCACTGCAACTTTGAAGACTGAAGATACTCTTGGTCCCCCTCCTTCAAAGGCCATGATGCAGTTCAAGCGAGCCGGGCCGGTCGCAGCTGCCCGTCGGCCTTCGGCGTCTCTGACAGCTGGGAGTCGCCACACGCGCCTCTCGTTGTCTTCGTTGGCTTGCAGTGCCTTGTCTGAACGAATTGTCGAGGGCATCCTCTCAAATCAACGACCTGTAACGTGCTGCGAATATCCGCCCCTCAGTCTCTCCAGCACATCTCTGTCATCATCTCTCATTTTCACCATGGCCGCATGCAATCCGAAGCACTTCAACATCCAAGACGACCCGTTGCGTGCTTTTTAACCACACTTGCTACTCGACAAACAGCTAACCGTGTACAGTTTCGAGCTCTTCTTGCTGAGCGAAGGGGAGAAGCGGATAGAGGAGAAGGTATACTCTGGTGCGCTACCGCAGAAACCGTCATGCCAGCCCGCCGCTCAAGTCTAATGCCAAGCAGGCATGTCCAATACGTCAGACTTTGTCTTGAACAAGGAGGACCACACCTTGGGTAACCTTCTTTCCGAGCACATCAAGGCTCATCCCAATGTCTACATGGCTGGCTATAAGCGTATGCGCCCCCACAGTCTCCCGTACACCATTAGCTAGTTAACGCAGTCTTGGTAGTTGGCCACCCCAACGTCCCTCAGCTCTTCATCCGCGTCCAGACGGACGGGACCAAAACTCCTCGCGAGGTGTTCGCCGCCGTCTGCGAAAAGCTCATCAATCAGTTGGAGTCGCTGCACCAAGAATTCACGCGTGAATGGGAACTTCGTCGCATCACCAACACTGGAGAGCAGGGCAACATGCAAGGAGCCGGTTTCTAAGGTGCAATATGGTACCGGCAAATCACGTATTGGCTTCAGGGGTGTCGGCGTTTGGGTATTATGGTACTTGCTTTTGCGTTTTAAAGAAAAGCCATACCGCAAGGAAGGATGCACTAGGACACAGGCAACATTGCACCGGATTTGCATCGCTAAGAATGGACTCTTGACAGAATAGTTCTTTTCCTCCATCTGGGGTGTCACCAAGGCGTGCTTATCTAGCCTGTACACGTTTGCGACCAAGTCTCGATGACTGCGCAGTTACCTCTTGCATTAATTATGTACTTGTCCGCAGTTGCTGCGAGAATGTGATTGGTTGTATTGTAGACTCAAAAGGTCCATGCTGGCACGACATTCCATTTCATCCGTGCTCGCATCTCAAACCGGGCCCTCGCCTCCGGGAATCAACTGCAGGTGGGTTAGCACACGACCGAGCGCTAATCTTAAGTCGCAGCCAGTGGTCTATCATACCATGCAGATATTATTACCATTGAGCAGAATCTTAGGCAGCTTGGTGTGATGTCCAGAGTAGTCGCTGGAGATGGCTTTGTCAGTAAAACCTTTGGGTTCGGCGTAAAGTCAACACATGGACCTACAATTCCGTCACATCTTCCAAAACCATATCTATACAGGTAATTCAGCATGACTTCATGACCATGGACGAGGTAAGATTACTTACTGACATAGTCGTCGAATCCGACGAGCGTGCCGCTAAATTCTGGGTAAGGGTTAGTCTTTTGGTCCAGGCTCAGGCTCGCGGGCTGGCGGTTCGAGGACTGATGATGGGATTACCCTTTTCGCCTTTCATGACAACCCATATTCTTGAGCCGACACACTTGTCAATGAGCTCTAGTCAGCGGTCAGCAGGCCATGTGAGATTTTGAGAGAGGCATCACGCCTCACCGAGGGGCAGCAATTGCGACGCCATTCCAGACGTTCGTTGATGGGATAGCGAGCCAGCGTATCCGTGCTCGCGTGATTCAGGTGATGGCAAGAGAAAAGAATTTAACCCTATTTTTGGGTATGTTGGCGCTTTTAGTATCGGATACTTCACCAGAGCAAGGGTTGCAGGATCGTGGCGACTGGGGTACTCGAGTCGCATGGAGCGTCGCGTTGTTTCCCACGTGTTCCCTTATGTAAGCAACCTAGCACAACCAACTGTCGCGCCTTCCTGCCCTATACCCTGTGGCCTGGCATCAAGGGTTGCTCACTTGACTACTCCAAATCTTCTCGATGAACCATCCTCATGGTTGCCTGTCCAAACACAGCCCACACACGCGCGCGCATTAGGCCATGGCAATTGGCCATCGTCGTCATGCAGTCTTGCGGCTTGGCGTTGCACATTCCCGGCTATTTATGACATGCTCGATCACTGCCACTCCGCGTGCTGTCGGTCGAGCCCAATCTTTTGTATCTGCCCACCGCCGTGTACGAGAGAGACGTTGCAGCCAACATATCCCTGCAACATTTGACGCTGTGCTTTCAGATACATCCTCAGTGAGACTGGTAGAAACAATGGCTCGACCACTGACTGCGGCTGGGGAAAATAAGTTATGGAGTCCGAAGCTGGGGGTTCGATTCTCTCCGCCACTAAAGTCAGCTCCAATGTATCCGCCACTGGATATGTCTCGCTTCATGCAGACGACGAGTGAGGGCAACGACATTGATAGTGATCCCAGGAGCGAATCTTTTCACATCGGCGCCAATGCTGTGATGAGACCAGACTCGGTTGCCCCTGCAATAACGCGTCATGTTGCCATCACCCAACAGAGGAGCACTTCAGCGCCGACAAGCTCTCAGACATCATCTCACCCTCTCACAGCCACTACCAATCAAGATCATAAAACATCATCAGACACAAAAACTTCCAAACTCAATTCTGGAAGCGACCCGGGAGTCGTTCAGCCACCGTCGACACCACTGAGCTTCAACATGTCCCCGTCCCTCTTCCACGCAGCCCGCGCCGCCAAACAAGGCTCCTCGGAATCATTCTGGTCACACGCAATGTATCAGCGCACCAGCGACGAGGGAGTCATTGAAAAAGTAAAAGTACACTATTGCACCAGCAAACACACCACGGAGGAGGTCTGCAGGAAGCACTTCTTCGGAGAGACAGTCCTCGGCTTCGACCTCGAGTGGCTGCCCTACGCGACCCGCAACGACGGGCCGCGAGAAAACGTATCTCTCATCCAAATTGCGACTACAAGCCGTATCGGCCTCTTCCACGTCGCCAGGTTCGGGCCAGACGAGGACCTCGTCCCCCCTGCCTTGCGCACAATCATGGAGGACGCCAACGTGAGCAAAGTTGGCGTCCACATCAAAGGCGACTGCACCCGAATGAAGAACTACCTCGGCGTCCAGGTTCGGGGGATTTTTGAACTCAGCCACCTGTACAAACAGGTCAAGTACACCGCGGCCAAGACGCCCAAGCTTGTCAACAAGGTGCCGGTCTCGCTGTCAACCCAGGTTCACGAAGTTCTCAAGTTGCCGCTGTTCAAAGGCGACGTGGTACGGTCAAGTAACTGGATGAAGCGCTTGGATTACCAGCAGATTTTATGTAAGCCGCTTGGAATATGAATATCCCTTTTCTCGACTCTCCCGCACCAGAAAATGCTCATGAGCCGCAGATTCTGCATCAGATGCCTATGCCGGCATACAATTATACCACGTCCTCGAAACGAATCGCAAGGGACTGGACCCGTGCCCCCCAAGACCTCACCACGTGGAGGTAGGTCTTCCGATTCCGACCTTAGGGCCAGAATCAGAGCCAGACGAGCAAGGAGGAAATCCGGTATTATTAGACCGCTCCTCCGCCTCAAAACTTGAAGCTGAGCTGCGGAATCCCCCCTCCACCCCTCCTCAGCCTCCACTACGAGATGCTCGCATCCTCGCGGCCGAGAAAAGGGCTGCTGAGTACCGCACATCCAAGACTTCGGCCGTCTCAGCGGCGCCGGCCTCTCTAAGGGCGTACTTTGTCTGGCACAGCAACGCAGACCTCAATCCCGAAGCTATTGCTCGGCTCCTGAGGGATCCACCGCTGAAAACAAACACTGTAGTGTCGTATATTCTTGACGCGATTGTTAGCGAAACAATGGCCTATGACAAGCGAAGATTAAAATCTGAGGTGTTGTCCTTGTTAGATCAGAGTGTTATGAAAGCGGGGAGTAGATATGGTGCTCTGATGACGTGTTGCGAGAGGCGTGATGACGCAGCATAATGAATTACCATCCCTTGGCGCATAGTGGTACATACGACTGCAATGTCACCATTGGTACCGAAGTAGTTAATTTATTCGTACGAGCATTACTACCTGGGCAATTAATCCAAGCACTAAAGTACTAATATGAGACCGCTGTGCCGTCTACGTCGGACCTTCTTACGGGTCAATCCGACGGAGGCAAAATCCCGCTTCCCCTGTTAATCTGCACCTTTTTATCCTCTCCTGCGCTCACAATGCCCCACGACTTGTCCCACACGATGCTTAACACCTTGGCGCCATCACCAGCGGGCGGCAACTTTTTGCCCTTTAACCACTCTCTGGGAATGGTGTACACAGCATTGGGGACAGTGTTGGCTCCCCCTTCCAATGTTGCGTGCCGTGCCCATCGGAGATCCCAGACTCGACAGGTGCTGTCCCATGAACCGGATGCCAGTGTGTATTGATTGTCTGGGGACGGCGACAGGGATACAACCATGTTTATGTGGCCATGGAGAGTCATGGCTGCCGTGGCGGTAGCTGACTCTCGGGGGTCCAGGAGGGTGATGTGTCGGGCTGAAGAGCCAGCGGCGACAAGCGAATGCGTGGGCAATGCGGCTGCACACATGATGGGATGGAGAGTTGACAATCTTGAGACCGCCTTCTGTGTAGTCAGGTCGATGGTCTTGACGGCATGGTCTTGCGATGCAGAGTACGCAACGGTTGAGTCGTGGGGGTGGAAAACGGCGGCAGTGACCACGGAATCGTGCATGGGCATCAGGGCCAAGGGACCACGCTGAGCGGCGGTAGTGGCGGCGGACAACTTGGCACGTTTGGTGGGCTGGGATGATGGCAGGGTTTCGGCATCAGCTTGAGGTGCCGTTTTTTTGGACGTGGTCCACAGACCGACACGCCCGTCCGAGGAGGCAGTGAGAATTCGTCTTGTAGCGCAGTTGACGTCGATGGTATGAATTTGCTTTGCATGACCCCGTAGTTCCATGTAGCATTTCAGAGAGCCTGACGAGTTTTCTTCCGACTCGGAGTAGTCCCAGATGAAGACGTTTCCTTCAAGGCCTGCAGAGGCAAGCTTTGAGGGAGATAGCCACTTCACAGTGTTGGGTCTTAACCAGTGCCCGGCTCCTCTACCGGCAGTAGATGTCGCAAGCACCTCGCCAGACGAGTTCCATACTCTCACGAAGCGATCGTATGAGGCACTGGCAAGTCTGTCACTGACAACACCGTCGACACCTCTGCCAGCAGCAGCTGTTGCTGATAAGACATCAACGCCGCCGACCCAGTCGTCATGCTGGAAAGTGGCTTGGTGGACGGGCAGCAACAGGCTGCGGACATACTGGAGATTCACAGTCGTCTCTGGCGAGAGGCCATTCGATTTGAGATAGTCATCGATAGAAGTTCGCAGAAACGTGCCGTTGACAAGGAAGTCGAGTGGGATGGGGGAGGACGTGTCCAGCATGGACTCGGAATTGAGAATTCGAGAGAGGCCATAGCGCTTAATGTCTGGGAGACGTAAGTACGGCTCTTTGTATGACAGAAAGGAGATGAATCGGACCTGCCGGAACAAGCAACTGTCTCTTGGACTCTGGAAGCTGAAGATCGTGCTCGTTGGTAGTGAAGGTGACTTTCACCTGGGTTGGTGAGGAGTCCATCTAAGCGACAAGTGCCCCCAGGCCACCACACCGCATTGACAGCAGCAGGAAATGAAACGTTTGGCAGTAAGCGGGCGGGTTTTAACAAGCGGTGAATACTTGTTCAAAGGATGGGAAATGCTGCAACAGTGGTGTATTGATTTACATGGCGAAAAAAAAAAGGCCACTCAAAAAAATTCTGGGATAGCCTTGCAGTTTTTGAGACCCATAGCGGAGACGGACGCGGGACAATACGGCCAATAAGCGGCGGGTTTTAACGAGGCTGAGATCAATAGTGATTGGATAACAACGAAAGCAGACGTAATTGGATCAGGTTATCAAGCGATGGCAGGGAGTACTAGTTGAAGAGAGAGGCTGAGGGGATAGCTAGCTGATGTGCGAGCAAACCTACCGGCCAATTGGGGGTAGCGCGCTTGCGAGGCTCAAGTGAATGGGTCATTGTCCAGAATGGTCCGTTACTGCCTTTGCCAAGTTCTCCAGCCAGCCTCAAAATCGCCGTTCCATGATCAGGTTGTCACACGAACCAGGGCGGCGGCCCAGAGCCAACCAATTAACCCCAGACCCACTAGCACCAGGGTCATTCGTCGTCTGCACCAGGCGGGTGGGGAGGCGAGCAGAGTTGACACTGATCAACTCTGTATGGACCAGGACGCAGCCCGGCAGCTCGTGGCGGCCAAGTGGGTCGAGAGCTCTTTGCCTCTCGCAGCATCGTGACATCAATTGTCTCTTTGTCGCCGTCCCTCCGCCTTGCCGCCGCCCGGTTCACAGCCCCTCATCCCCATCAGCCGTTCCATTCCCGCGGCTCGCCTCCGTAAATGAAATTCCTCCCCTTTGCTTTTTCCCGCCCGTTGTGCTTTGCATTCTGCTGACGAGCCGGGGCTGCTGCTTGTTCCCTGTCGCCTTGGTCTGGTCCCGCCCGCCGTCTGGCCGCTTTCGATCAGGCTTCCCGACAAGCCCAAAACGCCTCTGCCAGCTCTCAACTTTCATCGCTGCCCATCCGCAGTACTTCAATCGGCTTCAGTAGCTGCTCCTACAGCTTCGCACCTCGCACCTCCATCTGCAGGTGCTTGGAGTCTGCTGTTACCAAGCAGTCGCAAGTTGCAACTTGTCGCATTCCGACGTCCCCGCTTTCCGTTCCCTCCCCACTTTGCAATGGCCGAAGGCGAGCCCATTCGAGACGTCAAAAACCACCTCCTCTTTGAGATTGCCACCGAGGTAGCTCACAGAGGTGCGGCAGCCAATTCCACAGCCCCTCAGTGACTTGTTCTTGTTCTTTTTCTCGTTCTTCTCTCTTGCCTGCTAACTCTGTTCGCCTGCAGTGGGTGGTATCTACTCCGTCATCAAGTCCAAGGCGCCCGTCACCACCGCCGAATATGGAGATCGATATACCCTCATTGGACCGCTCAACCACACCTCTGTACGTATCTGAGTCTCGCTGCCCAATTTCCTCGCTACTGTCTCTCTGACAGCTCTCAGGCGGCCGTCGAGGTCGAAGAGATGGAACCGTCCAATCCAGAGATTGCCAAGACCATGCAGGCCATGAAGGACCGAGGCATCGGCATGCTGTACGGCCGATGGCTCATCGAAGGAGCCCCCAGAGTCTTGCTCATTGACACCAAGACTGCCTACAGCTACATGAATGAATGGAAGACGGATCTGTGGAACATTGCAAGCATTCCGTCGCCGCCTGGTGACGACGAGACCAACGAAGCTGTTGTATTTGGGTACCTGGTAGCATGGTTCCTGGGAGAGGTGAGTACAGCCAGACAATTCCGTGATTTGCCGGCCACAACGAAGCTGATGCCCGGGGCGTGCAGTTTGTATGTCATGAAAAGAAGCGAGCCGTCATTGCTCACTTCCACGAGTGGCTTGCTGGTGTTGCCCTGCCGCTGACCAAGAAGCGTCGTATTGACGTCACCACCATCTTCACCACCCATGCCACTCTCCTCGGGCGATATCTTTGCGCCGGCTCCGTCGACTTCTACAACAACCTGCAGTACTTTGACGTTGATGCCGAAGCTGGCAAGCGGGGCATCTACCACCGGTACTGTATTGAGCGTGCCGCCACGCACTCTTGCGACGTATTCACGACCGTCTCTCACATTACGGCATTCGAGTCTGAGCATCTGCTGAAGCGGAAGCCCGATGGCGTGCTGCCCAACGGCCTCAATGTCACCAAGTTTTCCGCCGTCCATGAATTCCAGAACCTGCACCAGCAGTCCAAGGAGAAGATTCATGACTTTGTTCGCGGTCATTTCTACGGCCATTATGACTTCGACCCAGACAATACCCTGTACGTCTTCACTGCTGGTCGCTATGAGTTCCGGAACAAGGGAGTCGACATGTTTATCGAATCTCTGGCCCGTTTGAACCACCGCCTGAAGAACGCCGGCAGCAAGATGACGGTTGTGGCCTTTATCATTATGCCGGCGCAAACTACGTCGCTCACAGTCGAGGCCCTCAAGGGCCAGGCAGTCATCAAGTCGCTGCGGGACACCACGACCATGATTGAGCAGAGTATCGGACGGCGGATATTCGAAAGGTCCCTCAAGTGGCATGAGGGAGACCCAATGCCCGACGAGAAGGAGCTCATTTCTGGCCAGGACCGCGTCTTGCTCCGGCGTCGCCTGTTCGCCATGAAGCGGAGTGGTCTGCCGCCCATTGTCACTCACAACATGGTCAACGACCAGGAAGACCCGGTGCTGAACCAGATTAGACGCGTGCAGCTCTTCAACCATCCTTCGGACCGCGTCAAGGTGGTGTTCCACCCCGAGTTCCTCAACTCTGCCAACCCCGTGTTGCCGCTGGACTATGACGACTTTGTACGAGGCTGCCACATGGGCATTTTTGCCTCCTATTACGAACCGTGGGGCTACACGCCAGCCGAGTGCACCGTCATGGGAGTGCCCAGCATCACCACCAACCTGTCGGGATTCGGCTGCTACATGGAGGAGCTGATTGAGAACTCGAGCGACTACGGGATTTACATTGTCGACCGGCGAACAAAGGGCGTCGACGATTCGGTCAACCAGCTGACGTCGTACATGTACGAGTTTTGCGGCAAGAGCCGCCGCCAACGCATCAACCAACGGAACCGCACCGAGCGCCTCAGCGACCTGCTCGACTGGAAGCGCATGGGCATGGAGTACGTCAAGGCCCGTCAGCTGGCATTGCGGCGGGCATACCCCGACTCGTTTGCCGGCGACGAGGAACCCGAGGACTTTATCCCCGGGGTGGAGCAGAAGATATCTCGACCATTCTCCGTGCCCGGCTCGCCGAGGGACAAGAGCGGAATGATGACGCCGGGAGACTTTGCCAGTCTGCAGGAAGGTCGCGAGGGCCTGAGTACAGAGGACTATGTCGCGTGGAAGCTGCCGTAAGTCGTGCCGCCCGAGTCGCCCAATTTCCTTTCAATTGAAGAAGTCTAACATGAATTGTATTACCAGTGCAGAGGAGGATCTCGAGGAGTACCCCTTCCCGTTGACACTGCACACCAAGCAGCCCAGCGGTGAAAGTCCATTACCACCACCCGCTCTGAACGGGAACTAAGCAGAGCATCCTATTCTCCAGTGACTGCAACACGCTGTCTTGTTGTTTCATTACTAAACCGCGCTCTTCTCTCACGCACTGCCCGAATGGTTGGCTTCGTCACGTCTCGCAGGTACATGATGAGGGGGATCTCTGTGCCGCAAGGGGAGGGGGAGGGGACGGGGGGATGTGGCCGTGTTATTCCCAAGCTAAGCTAGATTGGTGAGGTCGGGGCATTCTCATTTTCGCTTTTGACTCTCCATCCCCCTCGCAATCAGATAGCTAGCTTTGTTTCGTCCAGGCGCACGATTGTACGTGCCATGATAGCCCGTCATGACCAACCAGGTGATGGCGTCGGGTGCAACAACAGCAATGTCTGATAAGCAGCTAGCTAGACTAGGCTGTATTGCCATGTATTACGAGGTTGCGTTCGAATCTTGAATGCCAGTAGGACTGATGGACTGACGGACAGGTCGGCCCGAAGAATGGGTGGTCAGGTCCGATGCTCGCCGACGCATCTCGTGGACGCTGCACAGTGTACATGCAAGCAAGCAAGACTAATTTGCGCGTGCGTGACGGGGTCGTGAAATCGCGATGCGCGGTCAGGCTCGGCGGCCGTGCGGGAAGTCTAATTTCACGGGCGAACCAAGCGAGGCTGCGTCGAGGGAGCAACAACCGGGCGAGATTGACTGCCGACTTCGAGAGTGCAATGCCGAGGTTGGGTTGCTGCAGGGTTGGCTGATGCGAAAGCCGGGTGGTTTGTCGAGCTGCAACTCGCAACGGGACAGCACCCAAGGTAGGCTTTATGCCATGGCCTGAAACATGACGTATCCCGTAGCGCGTGCGTGCGTGCGTGCGTGCCTCCGTCCGTCCGTCCGACGGCGCGTGGCACAAAACGTCGGTGTCGGTGAGGTGAGGTGACGTGCAGAGATGGCTGGATGGATGGACGGCCGGCCGAGCTGGAGGCGGCGGCGGGCACGCACGGCCGTGTTTCGTTTGGGCGACCTGCCCTAGGACTGGGACTAGCAACGTCGTAGTCAGTTACATGTGTGATGTACGGAGCAGCTTTAACTTTGGAGATGGAAATGTCATGTCGGGGGGGTTGGGGGGACCAGGGAACGGAAGGAAAGGAAAGGCGGGGAGGGGGCGCTTAGAGGCGGCACATGACGTGAGGAGAGGTGACTGACGGCAGAGAGCATTACCGACCGAGCACCGAGCACCGAGCACCGAGCACGGGAGTAGCAGGAGGCGGCGAGACGGAGACGGAGACGGAGCCGGGGACGGCGACGGCGACGGCGCCGGCGCCGGCGTCGATGGTGGACTGGCGACCCGCCGTCCGGCCGTCGCCGTCGTCGCACAACCAGCGACCGCGGGGCCTTGGTCTCTGGTGAACTGTCCATTTCCGATTGCCTTTTGCCAATTGCCTTTTCGCCTCACTCGCCCCTGAGCACGGTCAGGTCACGTCGGCGACAATTTTCCGCCCCGGCATCTCCCCCAGCCAAATTTGAGGAGTGGAGCGGGGCGAGCCCTGACGCGTGGCTGGCGCTAGTCTCGGGGGACCTGGGACCTGGTTGGTCGGGCCACGGGCGCCTCCCGGCCGAGAGACACGAGGCAGCGTCGATAAATACTCTGTGGTGCCCTGTGCCTGTATGCATAGACGCATGCACGAGCACGGGTTCGACATGGCTGCCAACACGCCGTACTCCGTGCTCCGTTCTCGCAGACTCAGACTCCATCCGGCACGGATTCCTGGCCCCGCGGCCGAGTGCCCAGTCGCCTCACCTTCAATTTCACAACCTCGTCGAGGCCAATCCCATCTTCGCCGCGCCCACTCGTCCACTCGTCGCTCACCCGGCCTCGGTCCTGGCATCAAAATCCCACGTTTCAAGTCAGGGCCCAGGCGGGGACCCGTGTGGAGGGTGGAGCGGCGCGATTCGCCATTTCCGCACGCCGCCCCTGCCAGAGCGGCCGCGCGCGTGGGTAAAAAGCAAATTGAAGGAAGGAAAGCTGGTGATGACGCACGGGAGCATCGAGCACAGCTTGCAGCACATTAATGGATGCTAGTGCTGCTGCTGCGGGCCGTCTGTCCGCAGTACGTACTCCGTACCCCGTACGTGGCACAGACATGCCTACCTAGGTACTCACCCACGTACTTGTCACCAACTACTACCAAGTACTCCGTACGTACTACTTGTATTCATCCCTCGGCAAATCTAGTGGCCATTGCCGCAATTGCACCCTTGCCATGCATTCAACGCGCCGTCATTTCATTCCCGTCCTGGCCTCCTTTATGCCTGACTACATGGCGTGGACCAGGGGAATAAAATAGAATTAAACAGAAAAAGCCCACAGCCGGCCCCCGCATCCGCTCCGGCTGCGCCTACAGAGCACACAGCACACAGCACACAGCAGAGCACAGCATCATCAGCATCGTCAGCGTCGTCATCCCGATGCCCGCGCCCTCGACAACGTGCCGCCACCAGCGGCGCGCAACGCGGCGGCGGCTCATGCAGGCCAAGCCGACTGGTTCGTCAATTTGCGCAACACACGCCAACGAGCCTGGTTTGTGCCGAGGACATGCGACGACTGCAGACATCGCCCCGGACCCGTTCCGTCGGTACCCACCCGTACTGTCTACTACGTACCAAGTAGGAAGTACTTGAGTAGGTACGGAGTACTTGAGTACTGAACCAAGAACTCCGCACTGCTTGGTACAATTCAGACCCTGACAGTTGAGCCAGGATCTGACGTAGCAGGGGCCCGGGGCCAGCCGGGGGGGGGGGTGGGTTTTAAAGCTACTCCGTAATAAGACAGGTTTTTAGAGAGCACGGAGGACCTGCTTTTCCTGATCAAATCTCTTATTGGCTGCATCTGCACAAAAGTAGTACTGCGTCTACACCTCTGTACTATGACCAGTTGACTGACCATCGTGTCGTTGGCAGTTCCGGGCTGCGACAAGCACACAGGCACAGGGGCCTTGACGGGCAGGGAAAACCGTCCTGGCCTTCCCTGCACAGCACAGCACAGCACAGCACAGTCTTTGCCAGTCTCGACCGTTGGCGACGAACCCAACCCCTTGCGCAGACGCACCTACATGTCCATTCGTGCGACGGGCAGGCCATGCCTCAACGCTTCGATGCTTCAATGCTCCCATTGGCCAACCTCGCCCACACATGCAGAGCGGCTCGTCGACGACGGCGGACCCAAGACACGAGGCCGACACCAACACACTTCACACGCGACTGCAGTTGGGGTGGGAAAGGAAGGGGGAAAAAAGGAAAAAAGAAACGAATTGAGACCGCATCTGGGTTCCTCAAGCAACAACAAACATGAAAATTAAAAAACAAACCAACAAAACAATTTGATTCTTGGAGCTAGTTTTTCTCGTGTCTTGCTCTGCCAGTCTTGACACTTCTATGAAATCAAATGCCGCCATAACGCCAAAATTGGAATTGCCGAGTATCTTGGCCTCTCATTAACGTATGTACTGTGTTGCAAACGCCCAAACACCCCGTATTGAAGCAGGTGAGCACCTGCCGCCTCCCAAGTCCGTAGGATTCGCCACCCGGGGAAAAAAAAGGCAAAAAGAAAGACAAGGAAAAAACAAATATCAATATCCCGCCTTGCCCGGAGTAGGGTCATACGTCCTTGAAAAAATTAATGCGCCGTCGTGTCAAAAAAAGTGTCATCAGGAGGAACAGGTTAGTGTCATTAGTTGTAAGAATGCATAGTCGGAAGAGAACAAGGTCAAGGAAACGAGTCGACAGTTGTCTCATGCCTTGATGCTTCGTTGTCGCCCAAGAGATAATCCGGTCCGGAATCGGTTCTTCGGGGACCTTGGTGACGATGCTTCACTTCGTGGAGACGATACAGACCCATGTCGCTGGGCCTTCCCCGTGACATCCTGGGGGATGACGGGGCTGAGAGTGCTCGACTCCAGGCACATGCTCTTTCTTGGATCCTCGTCTTCCTCAACTTCGCCAACCATCTCCATTGGTGTGAGTTGGCTCTCGTTCTGGTGCAGGTTCGGCTTGCTACGCTTCTTGACCAGGCTGAGGGTCCTTCGAAACATGGACGTCGGCGTCATAGGGCCTCTGAGATGCTCCAACGCCTCGTCCTTGACCTTGGCATAAGGATCAATCTGCAGGAAATGGGGCCGTTTCTTCTCAAAGCCAGTCGTCATGCTGCTCGAGCGCGGAGGATGGTGAAATGCCATGGTGGAAGACGAGTCTGAGGAGACGGATCGGGGTCGTTGAGGTTGGAGAGACGGCTCGGTACTTGTGCGCAAGAGACCAGCTCCAGCTTGTCCAACTTCGCTCGAACTGGGCGACATCGACCTCCGTGGGGACAAGGTCACGATGGATGGCTTCCCATGGAAGACTACAGACACCACGCGCGCTGTATCCTCGCGGGCCGCCTTTCGTGTACTGGGCCTTTGCGAGGCCGCCCCGCCGTCAGATTCCGTCTCGTCAAAGTCGGAAAAGTCGTCGGCTGAAGATGAAGCGTCTTCCTCGGAAGACAGGTATATTTGGTGCGGCGCGGCGTGTGGTAACATTGGCCGGTCATCGTTAGGTGCCTTCTTTTGAGGTATCGAGGCGAGAAGCCTCGACGCCCGCAGGGAGCTCTTGGCAGGAAGAGCAGGCACCTCCCCAGTGGTCATGGCGAGGCTGGAGGTGCTGCTGCTGCTGAGGTCCCGGAGAGAAAGCATTTCGGCTTCCCCCTCTCTCTCGTGCGCACTACTCTTGCTACCAACGGCGCTGTTGCTATCGCCACTACTATCGTCGTGGTCGTTTTGTTCGTCCGCCTTGGTCTCCGACTCTACCGTCACACGCAGGTTGGATTCGCTCCGTGACGGCCGAGGCTGGTCCTGTGTGGAAAGTTGCGAGGGTAGACTCTCCGAAGAGGCGGGAAGGGAGCTTCTATAAAGCCTCTGGGGTTGGTTTTCGTCGGTGGCAGCATTGTCCTCTGTGGACTGCTGGACTGGAATGGAAGCAGCGCCATATGTGGGCTCTTGTGATTGCAACATGGTCAAGAGTGGTGTGGAACAAGGCCACACGCGAAGCAAGGCAGACAGACAAGTGTGGGTGGCTCCTTTTAATTTGTCCGCGGTTCTGTTTCTCCAAGTGGTTCAAAAATATACACGACCGAGGTTGTGAGACAGGTAGAGCTGAGATGAGGCAAGCAGGCAGACCTAAAGGACCTAGTATTCGTCTTGGAGTAAAGAGTTGATACAGCGTCTTGGCCACGGGCGTCTTGGTTTCGAGGCTGGGAGGTCTTGGAACAGACTTGGCTAAGAAAAAAAAAATAATAAAAAGAAAATCGACGAAAGCTGCGAGGTTCCAAATGCCAGCGCTTGGAACAGAGGGCGCCAGGACGCGACGTGACCAAAATGACCAGGAGGTTATTCCGTACTCGGTAGCGAGATGGTAGACGAAATAGCGTCAAGCGTGTAGCGTGTGAGCGTGTCTGGGTGAGCTAGCCAGCTGCCTTGGTCGAAACGAGAGAAAGGAATTCGATGAACGAAGGACGCGAAGACAAATGTCAGAGGGGTGAGGGCTGGTTGGAATGGCCGAGGAATGTTTCAACCGTAGCCTCCGAGCTCCCTAAACGTATGAGAATGGTAAATGGTATGCGAGGAATGGGTATGGTATGGAACACCATTCGGGGAGTGGGAAGGCTGGACGAGATATGGAATATTATGGATGAACGGCACCTAGCGGCCAGGGACTCGCAAACGCTTGCACGACGCCAAGTTCATCCATATGATGGACCACAGCGAAGCGTGCCATGGACGGACGCATCCACACCGTTTCCTGGTAAAGTTGACAAGGACCAAGTGGGCGAGATACGGATGTTCCACTTCTCGAGGTGGCAGGGCGGCCGTGCGCAGGATGCGGCTACGCACTGGGTACAAGCCAGCAGTAGCGCGCCAGCGGTGCGACCGGGGGGGTGGCTGGACCCGCCCTTGGTGCCTGTCTGTGCCTGTCTGTGCCTTGTCGTTACGGAGTCGTGGTGCTAGTACCTACTTCCTGGCCTACTTACTTCAGTACTTACTCGAAGTGCTTACTTCCTCAAGTGTGTAAGTACCTACTCCGTACCTAGGCACTTCTTTAAGCACGTTGTCTGCCCGTGGAACCGTCATACGACATGGTCAACATGTCGTGTCCGTCCCTCGCTTGTGCCCACACATCACACATGGCAAAGCAGAGCTGGACGTTGGGAAACAAACTATTCTTGTGCATCTCTGGCATTGGGCGCTCTTGGCGAAGCGCGGCACAAAGCCCTTAAGTCTTGGTTCTCGACAACCGCCAGGACGGAGTCAGGCGTGCTCCGCAGGTACTTTATGCAATACCAAAAAGCACATTCCTTGGTAAGAAGTAGGTACCCACGAGCAAGTTTCAAAGTGCGGCCAGCAATGGTGCGCAACTGAATGGGCCCAAATGCGCGCAAGGGCAAAAGTGGAAAGAACGATCAAGCTCGTGGGCCCACTCGCCATCGTCTCCGTCGACTCCGTCTCTGACTCCGTCTCCGTCTCCGTCTCCAACGTCGAGAAAATAACCTACCACGCCTGAGCGGATTCAGATTTCCTTGCAGCATCGCCAAATCTGCCGTCTTGACCACAGACGACCCATCTTGGACCGGTTGCCGGCGCAGTATGATCCAGTGCTGGTCACTATTCACGCAGGTCTTCGCGCCGGGGCCTGGTTCGTCCTCGTATATTTGTGGGCGCCGTCGCAAGTCGGTCATCCTCGGGCAGGCTGGCCAGCTCCCTCAGTTGGGGAAAGCAGAGCCAGTCATTCATTCGTTCCGAGATGCCGCCCACTAACTACTACTACTACTACGTACCACCACCACGGAGACGACCGACCACCACGACACCACGACCACTAGCCCCGCCGGCCGTATCTGTGCTCTGGCGAAAGCCTAAGTTGTATTCGTACGTTCGGATGCCCAGCCCAGGCTGCTTAATCCCAATCATGGGTGAGAGGCTGGCCTGGATGGTTGGATGGTCGTTGCCTGTCAGAAGTGGCTTGTCGCCACCATTTCCGATGGGTTGCGAGGCACACCCTACGATACCTCCGACGCCGCTTGGCTGTGTCTTTGATGGGACGATGCCCTTGGGCCGGTTCCTTGTCTTGTGGCCCGCATTCCTTCTCGGGGGACGCTGATGATGGCCACCCACGAGGGGCGTACAAGTCTTGACAGTCCTCGCAAACTACAAAACCATGGGGAACAGGAATAAATCATGCCACAAGCATGTAGTAAAGAGGATGCCAGGGTGGCAAGTGGTCAAGACGATCTGCCGGGTGAGCCTGAAGGCATTCCGAGACCGTTGGGGGCTCAAGCCTAAAGCGCTGCAGCAATGTGGCTTTGTGCGACATGCTGGACGTGATTGGGCACAGCCTCGACCACCACGACGGCCAGTAGCAACGACAAGAAAAAAAGGCTCCAACGAAGTAACGGCTGTCGGAGACGTCGTGAAAGCCATCTCTGACTCTGTGCCCTTCAACACTCGTTCTGTAACAACGGCGTTGTGCTGCCTCTTGTTTCGACTCTTACCTCCTCAAGTGCGCGCCCTGTAACGGAGCACAGTCCGTCAGGCGGAAGCTGTTGTTTGGTATTCTTCCTCGGGTGGATGTGGAGATGGGATTTCTCCGATTTGACGGGTGATTACTGATGACGCACCTGACGCTTATCAGTCTGGGCGACGATCCTAGGTTTGCCCCTCTGTCCCCTATTTTGGGCTTGGGTTCGCTGAAACGGCAAATATCGGCTTATCCGAGTTGGCAGGCTTTGATGGGTGAAAGTTGAAAAAAGACGGCCTAGTCTCAGGTGCAACGGACGACGTCGTCTTTTCTCCCTCGGCGATTCATGGCGCCGAGTTTCTGCCTCAACCACACTCAGCGGACCGCCACTCGGCGCAGGTCCTCCATGGGAAAGGTAGACAGGTGGATGGTACCCGAGAGCTTCACGCCTCACACCCGAGGATAGTCTTTGGGAGGCTCACGCGGACACTTCTCGTACACATTGCTCTGGGCGAGAGCATTTATCGCGCAGTGTCTGATTCATGGTCCAACTATCATCATGTCTCAGGTCTTGTCTCACAGGTGCTAACCGGCGAGGTGGCATGTGAGAAGTTGCCTATAAATAATACCCGCATTTGTGGTTTATTAAAAGCCGTTACCACGACGCTTACTATTAACCGGATGCTTGCGCACAGTGTACTCGACCCCAAAGCCACAACGTTTTCGAAAACACGTATAAAACGCAACTAACAGAAGGCTAGTTCGCATTGCCATGACTCCCGCGCCATACATGCCCTGCCGACGGCAAGTTACAACGCATCGTGAGATCTGCCTCGCGCGGCAAACAGCCGGAATGTGGACTCGAGCCGAGGCTGCCTACACCAGACGACCCAGTACGGAGTACACACCATACATAATGCAGTGGCAGTGGCTGAGAACCACAGGTCGCAGATGCATGGGCAAAGCTGCTCCGGTTGTTTCTTCAATAGTCCGAGGGTGGCTTTCCCGTAGTTGCAACGCAGGGTCCGCAGCCAGACCGACTTTTGACTTTTCCTTTTGCGTCTCTCTGGCAAGACCAACACGCCATATCGTTCTAGTATTTGGCGGCACATGATGAACGGCATTCACGGCGCGTCACGTGAATTCCCAATTCTCTAGATTTTCTCTGAATCCCCATCAAACTCAATACGATGTGTGAAGCGTCTCGGAGGGGTTGAGACGGGTATTGCGCCAAAATCGTCCGCTGTGCGGCGTCACGAGAGACGCATCTACCGAATGTCGACTTCTTTGTGCTCTGACCGCCGCCCTGGGTTCACTTGGTTGTCGACATACAGACGATAATGACACAGTCATGATACGCGGCTTTATCATGATTGTACCGCGGTGAGACGTGTGTACTTTTGTCCCCCTTCCCATATCCCGCGGGGTACTCGGTAGGTAATGAAGGGATTCATCCCCCCTTCAAACAAATGGCCCTAGCGACATGAACAATGGAGTTTATTGAAACGAAACAGGGCAAATACAAAACCGTCTGATCAGTGCACGCCAGCATCTTCGCGTGGCAGTGACCACCAGGTACTCCGTAGGCAACACTCCGCGTCAAGTAGGCGGGCAGTTCTCGTTTCAGCCATCATCCGCCGTGCATGGCGCCATCATCATGTCAACCTCTGGGCATGACATAGCGGCCAAGTTGTAATCAATCAATCGCCCGTAAAAAAGCAAAGGAGCGCTCCCAGCTTCCTTTGGACTTTAGAGCCGAGTGCGCGGACTGACTCACAGCCGTCAAGTCACCTGCCAGCCCAATATACAGTACGGAGTACTCCGAACATAGTGGCCGTAGTCATGTTTCCATTCCAGCAGCGGCCACCGGGCAGAGAACGGTCCGCACTGTCCAAAGTACCGGTACCCCGTAACGCTGCGGCGGACCTGCAGCGCCCACATCCCGCGCAGGTTCCGATACCTATACCTATACCCTATACGGAGCACCTGGCCAGCGGAGTGGGGCGCTTCCAGGCGCCACCACGTGAGCGACGCTGTGGTGGCTGGGTCAAAGCCACCAGCCACAAGCAGGGGTGGTTGCGGGCTGTGCGCCGCTGTGCTTTTTTTGGCAATTCAGAGCGCGGAGCTACGTACCTGAGTCCTGGCAGACAGACAGACAGAGGGGGAGGAGACGCGCGACAACGGCGCATTGTGTCAGCGTGTCAGCGCCGGCCCCCCCCCCTCTGCGAAAAGGGGAAGAGCGGGGCGCGATGCCGCCGCGGCACGGGCGCTTATTGGGTCGACGCCGGCTGGCTGCCGACGAGGCCGCGGCTGACGAACGCCCGGCGAAGCCCAACCCAGAAAGAAGGCAGAAGGCGGCGCTGTCTGCTGTCTGCTGTCTGCTTTCTGCTTTCTGCTTTCTGCAAGGACGAGAGACGCGCCGTGGCAGTTGGCATAGCCCCGAGTCCCATCGTCATCGTCATCATCATCATCATCATCACCACCGTGATTCATGGCTTGTCGCGCCCTCCGCGGCCCACCTGCATTCCCGCGCGTGCGTCGACGTCGCACGGCGTGCGCGGGCTGGGGCCCCAACGTGCCCACTGCTGACGATATACTAATCAGAGACTGTCATCTAGGGGGCCCGGCAGGTCATGGGGCGCGAGAATCCAACATTTGTCCGTCCGGCATGCACATGCGACGTTGACGGGTCCTGGATGACGGCATGTCACGACGGTGTGTCGCGGCTTTGTTGACAAGTGGCTCGACTTTCGATCCATGCATGCAATTGACCCTGACACACCTAGGCATTTTTGGCATCTGTATCTGCTCCTGCTCCTGCTCCTCCTACATGTACATTATTTCACGAGACGCGGTAGATTCGCCCTATTGCAATTTGCCATCCTGCGCCGCTCAGTCATTCTCGCCCAGGTCATGATTGTGTCGTCAATATCCGAGGCAGAGCCTCACATCCCCCGTGCCATCTCCTAGTCCGTTCCGCATCCATCCATCCCACTATCCTTTATCTGCTTCCCATACCTCTGGACCTCCTTACATCGCCTGCGCTGCTCCTTGGTGTCAATGGGTCCGCACCGCCCGGTATTGGAACGGGACCAAATGTAACTCCGCCATCTTCGCCATCTGCTGCCATCGGCGAGAAACCATTCGCTCCATTCCTAATCATGATGCTTCGTCGTGCTTCGCCGCGATCCCAGTCCTGGCCCGCAACGTCTGCATCCAGCCCGTAGCTGCTAGTCGGACGACGCGGTGGCCCTGCTGCTGCTCCTGTGAACGAATCAACACGAGAAAAGTTCCACTGACCAAGCTCATTGCTCTTGGTGAATATCTCAAGCGTCTGTGTTGGGGGCAAACCACCGGCTGCCTGCGCAAACGGGTTGTTGGAACTGAGACGCTTCTGACTGGCAGCACTTGAAAAGTTCTGGCGGACAGGAGACGCCATGTTGCTGAAATCCTTGCGGGTAGGTGATGATACGTTGCCAAATCTTGGACGAGCGGGGGACGACAGGCTGCCAAACCCTTGACGGGTAGGGGACGTCAACGGGCTTGACGAGTCTGGGGGCGAAACTCGAACCGACGGTATCGTGCGTTTGGGTGGGTTGGATGAAGTCCGAACCCGACCCCCAGCAAAATTTGCCATTGGAGGGGGCAGATTTTGCAATTGCTGGGGGAACTGTTCGTCAAGTACATACACTCTGCGCAGTCTGGGGAGATTCCCTGCCAACACCGAGTTTGAAAGGTAAGAGTAGTATCCCTGGGTTGCAAACGGGCCTGCTGACGATGCGCCCGATATTTCGTATCGGAGTGTCCTCAGCCCTTTGTGCGCCAGCAGCTGAATGGGCTCGTTGGAGGGAAACTGCTGAGACACCTTGGATTGAATGGCCAACGTCTTGAGCGACGGACCCATGTCCAGAACTTCTTGCAGCCTCCAAGGTTGGATGCCTGTGTCTTTAAGGGTCAGGACCTTGAGGGCTTGCTGTGTCTCATTAGTGGAGAGGTAGTCCATAAGCCCAGCTGAAGTTAGACTGGGCGTATCCTTGAGAATCAATTCCTCTAAGGCAGGCAGAATAGGCAGGTCTTCGTCGGCTGCCAGAACCTCGTCTGAAAGGCTATATGTTTCCGAGACCTTGAGGGCGCGAAGCTTAGACAAGCAAGACAAGGCCGCCCTGAGCAGCTGCGGTTCGATTTTCAAGCCAGTCAGCTCCAGCACTTCGAGCTCCTGCCAGATTTGGCCCGACACCAGCGCGGCAAAGCTGTGCTCCGCGCCGTTGGCATACGTCGTCTTCCTGATTCCGGGGCATCTTGCTTGTACTTCCAGTCGCAACGTCGTATACGCAGGGTCATCGCAAAACATGCCCTCCGGGAGATCAACATATTTGAGCCTGGGTAGCACGGCAATCGTCTGTGCTAACTCTACATGGCACGACTCTCGAATCATGTATGGAGTTTTGAGAAATTCCACCACCCTGCCGATTCCCGTGGGGTCATCGCGAACGGTTCGGCGTAGCAATTTCAATCGTGCAAGCGCTGGGTCTTCGGGGATTCCGTTCTTGTTGAATCGGGACTTCTTCTTTCGCTGCTCCGCCAAGAAAGCTTCCATCCTACAATAGTGAACGGGATCGATCCGAACACTGTGATATCTGCAATCCACATGCACGTTAGCTTTGATAGCCCTCGGGAGCGAATTGCTCGGGAGTAAACGTACAGGATGCCGAGGGCGACTCTTCGCCATGGACGATTTACCTGCGTGCAATGCGAAAGGTCCCGCACGTCACAGAGCATACAACCCTCGTCCTTCGCACTTTCTTCACAAGTTTCATAAGTCTCATCCAGTGCCTGCGGGCAGACAGCTGTGAAAATCCGCACCATGACCTCTCGCGGCAGTCTGGCCAAAATGCGCGCAGAGAGCTGTGACGGCGGGGAGCACAAAGAATTCAGTGCAGCGACGGAGTGAAACTCAGCTGGCACCGGCGACGTCGGGCCGTCCCGCTTCTTATCTTTCTTCCTGAACGGCAACCTCATGACGAAGCTACTTGAAGGGAAAAAAAAAATAAAAAATGCCGTGGTGTTTAGCCTGGTAAGCACACCATATGGAAATGGCTGATGTCCAAGGAAGTTGGCGCCGCGCGGTGGAGCAAGTGAGGTCAGCTTTCGGCGCTTGAGGGGAGCGGACGATATCGTGCGTAGTGTTGAAAGCGAGTTCAACGCCGAAGGCTACATTCGTCTCCGGAGGCAAGGCTGTTTTGTCCAACGCAAATACATGCCAGATGGTCTGTTTCGATTTCTCTTATCCAGTCGTCGTGCTGCTGTCTCGGCTGCAAAACAAACAAACGACTGGAAGGGACGAGGTGACAGCCAGGCTGGTGGTAGTTATTCTTCTGCTTTGGGCTGCGAGCCTGCGGCGGCGGCTGAGGGGCGCTCCTGCCTCGCCCGGGGCGCCCCGTCCCTCGACTCGCAACAGGCAGGAAGCACAGGGCTGCGCCGCGCCTTCCGTTTGGCTGTCAAAGATGGCAAAATGCGCCGTGTCACATTGACGGAAGTGTAAAAATAACAAAGGAAAGGAGGAGATTGAGAGAGACGGAGAACAGCCGCCACCAAGACGCGACGATGTGGCCGTTGGGCGCAAAGTGTGTGCATGTGCCCTGCCCATGCATGTGCATGTGCATGTGCGTGGGCATGGACGTGAATGGGGGAGCATTCGCCTGGCCAGCGACTCGAGGCAGCGCCACCCCAGCCCGCCCAGCCAGCGAGCGCTTCCTTCCCTAGGCAGGCGACAGCGAAAGTGTCAGCCGTGGACACTGATGATGAATACATCACAACTCCGTTGCAATACGGCTGTCGGCGGGGATCACAGCCCAGTTTCTTTTTGTTTTGTTTCGTTTTTTAGCCCCACAGGCAAGCTCCCGCTTTTTATTAATATCCCTTGGTGGGGTGGGATGGGGGGGAAGCCAGTTGAGCAAGGGCATGAAATGTCCAATCAACAGGCCGCCACCATGCCCCTCGTGCTCAAGCTCAACACAAGCTCAACATGCCTCGAGCTGACAAGCTCAACGCGCGCCTTCCTGCCAATATCCTTTATATTACCACCTTCTGTAGATTGTTGTGCACGCCCCGAACCGGGAGCGCGCTCTTATGCACCGGTTGTACAGAGGTCGACAGAACAAGAGAGACCCCAGTTCGCAATGCGTGCGCATGGTTTGAAAGCCCATCGCTCGGCTGAGGTCCCCAGCTCAGCACTGAGACTCTGTCCCAGCTTGACCCTTCCTGCCATGCTAAACCTCGAACCCAAATGTGAAACCGTGCAAACATTCATCAGCCGACCTCCTGTTGTCATGACTGTCAAAGACGTATTAAAATCGCCCCTCGCTGGGGCTGTGCATCGTGAAACCCTCTCAACAACTTCCACCCCCAGTCCAATTCCCAATCCCCCTTGTATTAATAAAAAAATAAATGAAGTTCAACTTTTGTACAAGCAAAGCCGAAAATTTTTCATCGCTGCCATCGCAAGAGCTTAGGGTAGGTTGCTAGCGAGTTCAGCTTTCTTTCTTCTGGAGACAGTCGAGTCGAAGCTGGGGGGTCTGAGCCCCGTCTTCCCTCTCCAAGCAGCAAGTCTCCGCCAGTACTGGCAAGTTTGGAGCCCACGGTTCGGACGCATGTCTAAGCCTTGCGAGAGCGAGTGGTGGCGCCATTCGTCTTGGCTCCAGTAGTGCTGGCACCGTTGGCGTGGCTGTTGCTCTTGCTGTTGGCAGCGACAGCAGCCTGCACGTGCAAAGGGTCGGGAAGAGGAGCCTGGGACATGCGTCGCAGAGACTTGCGGGTGGTGCTCTTACCGCCCTTCTTGTAGGTGGCAAAGTAGAAGGAGATGAAGAGAACCAGATACGAGCTGAGGATAGCGATACCAGAGAAGGCAGCGAATTCCTCGCCAGCGCATTTGCCGGCGTTGGGTAGCCAGGGGAAGTAGGTCGACGTGAAGTAGGTGTATGAGGCGAAGTATACGAAGCCTATGAGTGCCAGAAAATTAGCAAGCAGCCCTCCTCCGTCTCCAGCGGTTCATTTGCACGCGTCACTCACCAAGATCAATGATGAACTGGATGATCTGGAGACGAGTGACCCACTCCTTCCACCAAATACGGATGCCACGAGCGCTCTGGAAATAATACCAGTACATGACGACGTGAACAGTCAGGTTAAGAGTAATCGGAACCCAAGAAACCGACGTAGAACCAATGAGCTGGGTATAGCATAGAAGAGCAGTCGCACCGTGGTGGTAGCAGTGAAGGAAAGCTGCAGACACGGAGAGATTAGCGAATCGCGTCAGCAGTTGTGATTCCCGGCGAGGATAAACATACTCAATGGCTTCTTTTTCAAGAAGAGGAAGACAGTATCCAATAGCTCAAGATACTTGGTCAGGTAGTTGAGCTGGGCACTTAGTTAGTCGAATACTGAAGCACAGGTGTGCCGCGTCATTCAGTCGTACATACGTAGTACAGTACAACCATGGGCTGAGTCCAACCACCATCATAGTGGCAGATGGCGTGGAAGACACCATTGTGATAAAGCTCGGGAACCAGCTGCTCAATGAAGAGGACTAGGAGAATACCGCTGATGGCAGTGAGGTAGAAGTTGTGAATGAGGAAGAGCGACTTGAGTTTGAAGGGCTCACGACTGCGCATCAACTCGCGACCACCAAAAATAATCATGTAGTAGATCACGATGAAGATGGACGTCGACTTTAGCGTCGACATGGGAGTCTCAAAAGGCACAAACTTGAATTCCTCAGCCGGATACCCAACAACGGCCTCCCAGGCCTTGCTGAAGATGGGCCATAGATGGACGCCGAAAGGACGGTCGATCGTAGGCAGCGGGAGCTGCTCAAGCAAGCCGGACATGTTGCGAGATGGAAGTCGGGACTTGGCGAGCCGCGGCAGGCAATTCGGTCTTTGCGTTGTGCAAAAGGGGACAGGTCCGGTCGCTGGGTGCTCGTTTTGAATGCACTCTCCCTTGGTGGCTTCCGGAGGATTTGAGTTGTGGCGGCGTTGACCAACACTCAAACGACGCGACAAGGACCGTTTAGTTCCAACGCGCGGGCACGGGTCGGCACAACAAGAACAGAACCAAGGAATGACTCGAAAACGCTGAATTGGCAATGCTTCTTTGCGAGCAAAGAAGCTATCAGCCGAACAATTAATAAAATACACACGATGATGGACGAGCTGGATAAGAAGGAATGGGAATGGGAAGGGGAGGAAGGGAAGGAGGAGAAACGGGTGAGGATGACGAGGAGACACTACGGCGGAATCAAAGACCACCCGACGGAAGGCCCACGAAAGGGGAAATTTCCAATTGCACTTGACACATCTGGCAAGCCGCATGTGATTCGTCGGGGATTGCCATGCCCGCCCAATCATCGCCCCACACCTGCTTGACTGTTGAGCCTTGAGAGATGCATCACGTGACGGGGACAAGCTCCTAGGCAAAAAAACTCGGCATCTCGGGACTGATCAGAGACGTTAAAGCGGTCCCATTTTTCTGCACTCCTGGGCTGATCGGTACCCTGATTGCACTAGAATCAGGCCTTGATTGCCCTGTGATTTGATAAGCATAATGCAGCCCTTTGTATGGCTGGGAGTTGCTGGTACTTTTTACTCTCGTACTGGTTCCTTGTGGACGGTGTATCTTTGAATGCAAAATGTCTTATTAGTTGGGAATCGGGATCCTCCTCGGCTCGAACCCGGCACCTTCGAAGGAGGGAATCAATCAACTGGGTTTGATTACATAATAGACTCTTGCCCCCACACCGGGAGAGAGCACCGACCAACGGCTTAGTCATTCCCATCAGCCCATGTGCTTCACCTCTAGCCAAAGGCAAAGGCCGAAAAAACCACAAACTGCCCTTCGAGTTCCACATCATTGACATCGATATCTACGTCGTCTTCTTGCCGCGACCCCCCTCACCACAGCTCCCACGATGGCCTCCGTCTCCCTGCTCCGCGTAGCCGCTCGCGTCTCAACCACTCTCGCCCGCAACGCCGCTCGGCCCGCCGCTCAGCCCCTGATGGTCCGCGCCTTCAGCACGTCAATGCCCCGACGAAGCGAGCACGCCGAGGAGACCTTTGAGGAGTTCACTGCCAGGTGAGCAATTTCCTTGTCTTCGCATACTGTGGCTGAAGCTCCCGAATTGCGTACGACGCTGGCTCGCGTGTGTTGCCCGTGTTTTTTTGCAAAGAGCATGCTCGGAATTGCGCACGTCCCGGATACTTGCAACGACTCCAAGACGCCCAGCTGGGCCGGATGAGCGCAATATTCGTGCCGCGCTGCACATGCCAACGCCCGTATCGAAAGGCATGGCCGGAAGCCGCAGGACGGACTTCCAAAAGTTCCAATTGGCTAACTCGTGATCAATGCCAGATTCGAGAGGGAGTTTGACGGCGTGCAGGATGTCTTTGAACTCCAGGTACGTTTTGCACATGAACATTTTGACGCCGCCGCCGCCATTCTGCCACCAACAAGCGTCCAGTCTATCGCGGTCATACACGATCCATACTAATCCCCATTGGCCAGCGCAACCTGAACAACGCCTTCGCCTACGACCTCGTCCCCTCCACTTCTGTAATCGCTGCCGCCCTCAGGGCCGCCCGGAGGGTTAACGACTTTGCTACTGCTGTCCGCATCTTTGAGGGTACGTTCTTACGCCGCAGTCAATTGGCATGCCGGAGCATCACTCACTCGGCAGCCGGCACTGCAACCAACTGTCCCGGTCCTTTCCCAACGGATTGCCCATTGCTACACTCACGCACAAACTCTTTATTCCCCCAAGCTAACCCGCCATCTCAATGCAGGCGTCAAGGCCAAGGTCGAAAACAAGGGCCAGTACGACCAATACCTCAACGAGCTCAAGGTCCTCCGGGACGAGCTCGGCGTCCCTCTCAAGGAGGACCTGTATCCTGAGGAGAAATAAAGCCAATATCCAAACAATATCCAGGACTCTAAGAGTAGGAAAGGGGAGTGGTGTTTCTTTGCAAAGGAGTAATTTGTTTGCTGCCGCTGGGGCGGAAACAAGTCATTTTGTACATGTTATTCCAGGCGGATGGGCAGTGGAGGGCAAAGATAGACCGGAGGGGTCGGTTCCGTTGACAAAGGGAACAAGCCGCAAACCAGTGTGTTATATGACAATTCATATCGGAAGGTATCATCGATGCCGCGACCGCTGCAATCGGAGTGTTGCATTTGTCGGGCCTGTTGTCATTACGGCTGCAGCCCATTGTACCCGCTGACACCACGATGGAGCTCGTACCGTTCAACATGGACATCAAGTTCCATGTGAGATTTCGAACGTCCAACTAATCAGAAGCGGACGCTACAAAGCCAAATCATTCAGGTTACAGGTAGGCCACATCGACAGGCAAAAGCTAGAGGTCCAACCCCAACGCCAGCCAGCCGATCCGGCATGCAGACAAGGAAGAGAACAGAAAAGGCAGCCCGATTCGTCCCCTGCCGTCCGGACCATCCTACAGAGAGAAGCACTACATGCCGCTCTCAACCTCTGAGATGCTGCCACCTCCCATTCGGCGGCTGCCCCAGAAACTGCATCCCCGCAAGCACACCCCCCTCGGTGCTCGTCGGAGCCGGACTCGTCCCCCTGCTAGTCGAACCGCCTGCGCTGCCGTATGTCGCCCTCCCCGTCCTCGGACTCATCATGCCCATCCTTGGGCTCCGCGGCACGCTCACGTGTCTAGTCTCCCTCCGTCCGTTCCTCAGTGTCCGCAGTTCCTCCCTGGCCAAGTCCAGCTCCAGCTCTCGCTCGCGAAGCTGCGCCCTCAGATCCCGAATCTGATGGAGGTACGTCTTGATTGTGGCATCTGCCTGGATCTGGTGAACCTTGCCGAGTGTCTCGGCCGTCTTCTTGGACAGATCGGCCACTTGTTCAACGAGGTCGGCATTTTCGCCGCGCAGAACGCTGGATGCAGTGGTAGCTTCTTGGTAAAGTCTGCGAGCGTAGTCGGCGTCCTTGTGGGCGTTTTCAAGGCGCTTCTCCAGCATGGCGATTCTATCGAGGGATTCTTGAAGATAGGACTGAGTCTTGGATAGAGGCGACGGCTCGTCTGGGTTGGATGGGTCGGCGGTCAGGCGGACGACGATTGCCTCGAGATCAGCAATCTTCTCTTGGGCCTTTTCTGCATCTCGTCGGCCCGTTTCGTTGGCCTGGACCAGGTTGGACTCGGCCTTGAGCGCATCCCGTTCAAATTTGGCGCGGTCTTCCACGGCCTGCCGTTGTGACGAGTACATCTTCGCGTTTGTCCTTTGGTACTCCTTGATGCTGACCTCGAGTCCGGAGATGAGACTTTTGTACTCGGCGTCTCTGTCTGCTACCTCTACTTGACGCTGGAGCTCATTTTTCTGAAGCAGGTTAACAAGTGGGCTTCTCGTGTGCAGTGGGATCCCATACCTGCTCAGCCAAGGCTTGTAGGACACATATTGGCACGCTGATATGAGCGTGGGAAGCCTTGAGTGGCGTGCTTTCGATATTTGCAGAGTCCAGCAGCGTCTTCACATCATCAGGGACTGGTGCCTCGTTCGTCTGCACCGTCGACTGCCTATGAGACAAGATGCGCATCCGCTTCACATCTTCGTCGTCAGACTCATCCTATCCATTGTTAGGAAAGCTATTCATCACTGGAAGGGAGTCAACTTACCAGTTTGCGCTTCCGAGCATTCTCAACCTCCGGCGTCCCTTCGACAGGCATCTGCGAGCGCGATTGAGAGTTAAGATAGATGTCCATGACCTCTTCGGGGACAGGCAAGGGCTCCCAGATTATTCCCTCAACCTGTCCGTTCAAGTAGTCGAGGAACAGGCCGGCAATCTGGTGAGGTTCTGGATACCCACGGTCGGGGTCGCTCACAAGATGTCTGGACCGCACTATCCCAGACATAAGCGCGTTCTTCCTCTCCAGGAGTGTTAAATCGTCAGGGATGTAGAGATCGATGTGTTCAATAGAGTGTGTGGTGACCAGCATCAACACCATCGGCGACCGCGCTTCTGGAATCTCCGGCTCTAGCTTCTTGGCAATTTCTGATCCGCCATAAGAGTGATCATATCCGATCACAACATCAAAGTCATCTCCCTCAACATTCCGTCCAGGAAGTATAAGGGTTACCCTGGCTAATGACGAAGTAAACCTGCTCTTAAACTTCCCAATATCAACACATACGCACTCGATCTCTAGTACCTCTGTTAGACGATAGAGAAGTCTTAATAGGTCCGTAGAGCTGGCTACAATTAGAACGTGGGTTTCTTTCTGAATCCCTTGCAGGAGTTCATATATAAAATTGAACTTGGAATTCGCGTCGTAGCAGTATTTGATGAGCTGTTCCGAAGGTAAATCTTCAAGAGCGCCACCCACTGCGTCTGGGGGATAGTCGCAAATACTGTGCAGCTGACTGAAAACTTGGTCAATCTTCTGAACGAGAGCTTCGTCTGGCTCGGCGCAGTCCTCGCTATTGAATATGGCGCCAAACTGAGTAACATCGCTCTTTGAATCAAGCAAAATTTTATCATACAGCGGCCTCAGGCGAGCCTGGAAAGGCAGTGTAATGATGTGCTTCAGGGTAATGGGCTCCGGAGATTCATCACTAGATTCTTCGTTTGACTCGTGTTCTTGTTGGGGTTGTCCCATTGAAACAGACACGCCAGAACTTCCCACGGTGTTAGAGGGAAGGTTGTCATGAGAAAGTAGCGATGGCATTAGAGGTAGGGGAGCTGCGAGGTCGGGCTGTTTAGAGATGTCCGCCAGTGAGATGGTGGACAATTCGGGTTGAGACTTATGTGACACATCCGGCATCATGGTGCCAAAGGCAGATAAATCTGTATTCGCAAGAATTTTGTCAACGATACTCTTCATTGAGGTCACGGCAGAGACCTGGGAAACCAAGGGGGTAATATCAAATTCTAGTTGCTCACTTTGAGGCCCTGGAGATGCATGCTCAGCAGGCGAAGGTTGTTGGTGACGATCCTGAATGCTCAAGTTGGTAGCTGGCATCTCGAAAGACGCAGCGCGCTCGGCAGCGTGTTCGGAAGGGGGTCCTTCTCGTGGATGTGGTGAACCGTCACCTACGACCGTATTGAAGTTGAGGATTTGGCTCAGCTCATCAACAGCCGATGGCCGTGGCGTCGGGTTTGCGGGCTCATTCGCATTTTGGTTTTCCATTGCGAGGGCGAAAAGAGACTCGTACTCAGGCTTCAGCTCAACTGGGGACACCTTTAGGGATGACGAGGGTGATGAGTTGGCCGCGTCGTGGCTGACAGAAAAGGCTCTAACATGCGATACAAACGGGTTGATTTGCCAAACCTGGGCGTCTTGGGACTCGCCGTGAGATTCGCCCCAAAGTTCTGCGGGAAAATCAGCATTCAGCACTTCAGTGCTTTTCGAGTTTTTCTTTGTGTCTTCAGAAGGGGATTCTTGGCTAGACACCGAATTCGCGTAAAGTTTGAATTGGGCTACCGCTACTTGAGAAAGAAACACAGGACTGCTAGCGGAGGCAGCAGCAAGGTCTTGGTTTCCCTGGGGAGACTGGACAGAAGGCGGCTCTGTTGCAGGTATCGTTAGGGCGAAGTCCTGGCTTGCAATGAGAGACCGCACTTCCCCTCGGCCAGGTTGATGGGATGGGATGTCAGCGTTCGCGTTGGATCGATCCGAGCAGCTCTTTTCTTCTTCTTTGAATATGGAACCAGCCCAGCGGCGAGGTGGGCTAGATAGTTCCCCGGCAGGGTAAGCCAGCTGGGAACAAGTCTCTGGCTGGATTTGAGATTGAGTCTGGTGCTGAGATATTCCGCCCTGTGAGCCCTGTGAGGACGGCTCAAAGTCTATGGCCGGCTGTTCCTGCGTCCAGGTCTGTCCAGAAGGTTCCTGCGAATCAGGGATAGTTTGTCTAGTAAGCTGGGAGGCCAGGAGACTCCGCTCGTCCCGTTCTTCCAATTCAGCGACTGACTGCGAGGACTGGCCGCTGCTCTGGGTATTATGTTGGCTGGCGTATTCTGACGGGTCAAAGTCCGACTTGGCCTGCAGCTCAACAACGAGCTGCTGGGAGAGTCGAGCGTCAAAGGTCGAATGGGCAAGAGGGTCGAGGCCGTCAAGTTCGTCAAGGCTGGCTGGAGAGGATATAGAGACAATAGATGGCACAGGCTCCTCTGACGGAGTGGCACCACGCGAGACTCTAGCAACCTTGGTGGGGCGATGGGCGTCGACGTCGTCGGTGTCGTCGGTGTCGTCGGTAGGAGACCGTCGCCGACGAGATGCACCAGACGGGGCGGCTGCCTGGGGTCTCTGCCGCTTTCGCCTGTTGGACGGCCGCGGCGACTGGCTGTCTGGGCTATCTTGAGTGCGATTCTCAGTCGCCTCAGTCGCGCGTGCCTCCTTTTTCTGCTCCCACTCGTCTCGGGCTGCGTCTGTCACTTCTCGGCTCTAGGGCCACAGACAGGCGATCAGCGTTGTACAAGGCGGCTACCCAGGCAGGATAGGATGACGAGAAGCTCAGAACATACCCAGGTGGGAGAATATGTCTCGCCAGTCGTTCTATTATGGTCCCAGTCGACCAAATATTCGACCCGACCCCGTACTACCCGCTCGTCGAGGATTGTCTTGATGGTGTACCAGTCGTTGTCGCTGTCGTGCGGGACGTCAACGGTGCGCCGTAACTTTGCTTCGCGAAGTTGAGGGCGTCGTGGTCCGGGCATTGACCTGGTGGAAAGGAGCTCCGCGGGTAGCGTACGAGGTGCCCGAGGGTAAATATGCGACCTGCACAGCGGAGGAAGTCGCACAGAGACTCGCAGACAGACCAGGCGGCCGGCGGTTCGGTCTGGCGCAAAGCGTCGACGCAGGGCGGATGTGAGCTGGTCTGCGCAGCCCGAATACAACAAGGCTGGGGATGAGGAGCATCGGTTCGGCCAGGACTCCAGCGGGCGGACGGTCAGTCAGGGTTAGGGTTTCTCGTGCCTGGTTGATCACGTGGGCGACTTGCTGCTCGTCTTGCTCAAGTATCGTTGAAGGTTGGGTCCGCAGTAGGGCAAAGAAAGTATTTGGTGAAGAAGGTTGAAAAAGAGAAATTGGGCCTTTTTAAATCTTAGGTTGATGTGCTTTCAAGCGTTGCTCACAATGCAGAGTGTGACAAGTGTTTCCTGGTGCTGAACACTGAGCAGCAGATCAGAATTCGAATACAGGCATCCTTTTTGTCCCTTTGGCTTGAACTCACCCTGCACCCGCCGCCTTTCATTGAACATTCCACTTCCTACAAGAACAATCTCATTATTTCGACTGGTCAACTCGGTACAACTGATTGAGTTCTCGCTCGAGGTAATCATTGAAATCAAGCACACTTCCTCGTACAGCACCGGTCTGACAACACTCCCAGCAGCAGCCGCCAAAAATCTCGTCGACGCAGATCGAGTTCCACCCATGTTGACGAAATCACCAACCAAGTCAGACCCGGACTTGCGCATCGAACCTACCCTTTGCCTTCGACGACTTGACTTGGAACACACGCCATAGCTCGTACGCGCATTATCGATCAGATGCTACGTGCAGTGGCCACGGCGCCTGTCCGCTCCTACGCAGCTCAACTAACCACGTTTCCAACTAAGGCTGCGTACAGCACTCTCACTCACAATGTCGGCCACATTCTCAATACAGCCCATCGGCCGCTTCACCGGCCAGAGCCAGCCCGTAAAAAGACCAAAGGTGTTTTTGATCATAGCCAGCTATTTGTGTTCGTCCGCCTGGCCCGGCTGACTCGCTCAGGAATTTGCCTGCTTTTCGTACGATGAGAATCATGAGTTTCGCCTCGACGACTCCTCCATCAAGTATTATTACACCCCGCAGCTGGGAGCAGACCTATCCCGGGGCTTCAACACATTCCAAAAACTAGATGACTCCAGAGACGAGCATCTAGATGGCCTGCTGAAGACCATCCTGGCGCATGAAAGGGAGACGGGGAAGAAGATTGATGCCAACCTAGTTACCTGGCGGGGGATGATGACCAAGGTGTGCCTCTTTCCACCATCCGTTCTGTCCATGCTCATATGAGATACTGACGAAGCAGATCATGGCGGCGCCATTTGAGCAACGGGATGGGTGTGTGTATTCCTGAGTCACGTCTGGAAGCCAACTAACGGGCGTAGCTTTGAGATGAATGCCACTCTGTACCAAGAATGCATGTACGTATCCCGCACTCGACAACTGGGCACCCCAGCTCACCAATCTCCAGCTTCATAGAAGAAAACAACGAGTATAAACTCCAATCCCGGGCCAAGGAGAGCCATCGCGGGCCCCGACGCGGCCCCCCGTTAGAAGTCATGCAATATTGGGGTATTTCCGCTCTGCCTCGCTCCCCCTCCGTCCCTCCCTCGGACCGTCGCCCTCCCAAGGCTCGTAAGGACACAAGGACTCACCCTTCCCTTCCTCAGGCTATAAGTTCGAGACCCTTTCCACGCTGCCCAAAATATGGGCGGAAACATCGAGAGAGTGGATCGAAAACCGCGAGAACCAGACCGTCAACAACAAGGAGCAATACTGCTCCGTCGTACGCACCGGCATCGGCAAGACCATCCTTTGTCTAGGCGGCGAAGTAGACGCAAGCACGTTTCTCCTTCTCCTTCTCTCCATCGCTTCCCCCTGTGACTGCATATTCCCAAAAAGACGCCGCCCTAACAAGAAAACCAGTATGGGACTCCAAACCCCTGCCCGGCCAGCCCATCAACTGGGTCGAACTCAAAACCACGGCTGAGATACGTTCCGCACACGACATGGACAACTTCCACCGCAAGCTCATGAAGTTTTGGATCCAATCGTTCCTGCTAGGCGTGCCCAAAATAATCGTGGGTTTCCGCACAAGGGATGGCATCCTTGTGGATGTCAAGGAGATTGAAACACACAATATTCCGCAGACGGTGAATTCGAGGCCCGGCGCGCAGTGGAATGCGGACATGTGTGTGAATTTCGCGGGCGAGTTTCTCGAATGTAAGCACTTGCTTTAACCCCCTTTCCCCCCGGTTTCCCTTACTTTTCAAGACATTTCCCGCCACCTTTTAACTTGCTCCTACTATTTAATTTAACTCATCTTGTTTCGACCTTGTTCTTCCGAACCTTGGTCCGTTATTGCTCTTACAAGGTAGACCATTCACCACGGCCGCGACAATTCGCTGACCACGCACGCAACAACAATAGTTCTCCAAACCACCATCAATGATGAAGGTGTCTGGCGCATACGCCGCCGGCCCGCCTCGCCCACCATCGAAGTCTTCAAGGTTGAGGAAACAGGCCACGGCAGCATTCTCTCCGAGGAATTCAAGAACTGGCGAATTAAGCTATCCCTGGGCCCAAGCCCAGAGCCCTGAACCTTTGCGCGCTTCAAGCAAGATCAGTATTGCTCCGAGAGATACGTCCCGGTCATCCTGCCACGGCAAACCGCCGTCTGCAAATTACGAAACCGATATCCGAATGCCCTGGACTGGTGCACACTCGCCCTGGACTACCTTGACATTCAAAACTTGATTGAAAAAAGAAAGAAAAAAAGGCAAATGCACCATGGAAATTATCATGACGTCAAGAAAAGTTGTGTGCAATCGATTTTTTTCACACATCCTGCCTAGATCTACCTACAAATCAAAAGCTCAAATTCCTGAAACCCTAACGCCATGGTCCGGTGGAATCCAACGAAACAAGAAGCAATATATCCATACTACCAGAGAATGGCAGCCACAGAACCTTCCATGTGTATATGGAACTTTTATCCAGACATGTATGCATTCCGGATGCCTGTCCACATTCGAAACACGTGATGCAAACAATCTTATGCTTTCCGAGCTGTGCTATGCAAATTCAATGCAGTCGCGCTACTCAAATATCGTACACTCGAGCGTACTCATGCCAAAAAGAGGAAAAGACGAAAAAAAAAGGTGGTGGTGGGGGGAGAAGGCCAACAAAACCACAAGAAAAATAGCAACATCTTCATTACCTGCGTGAGCAGGCGTATCTCATCCTCAGTAATCGTGAAACAGTACGCCAGGTTACATCTCAACCAGCACGATGAGTTTATACAGCTGGCCAGCGGATGCGGAGGTTGTCGGCCCATCGTTGATATAGAATATCAGACAACTGCTTGCAGTGTTCCATACCGCTTCGTGCATCCCGGCCGGGGTACTTTTCTTCCAAAAGGCCTGACTTCTCCCTATCAAGTTCCTTATCTGCCAAGCTGGTTCGAGGAGATGCAGTCTGGCGTCGGCGGTGGCTCTTGAGATGGGGATTGTTGGAGCTGAGGACTAGCTTGGTGGGACTGGCCAGGGAAGGGGCAGAGCTCTTGACAATGACCGTTCCTAGAGGAGTCCCGTCGTCTGGATCTTTTTGCACCGGCTGTCGAAGAAAGGAGGCGTTGAGCTTGTTGTCATGTGATATGGACCCAACGAGGTTGCTCATGAGATGATATGCCCCTTCTGGGTCTACAGCATTGAGGGCGGCGAACGCGTCCGACAGCTTGGCCAGAGCTTCCCTCTTCTGCATAGCCGACGTCTGGGCATGCAATTCAGCCAGAGTGGGTTCTACGGCCTTGTTGTATAGACGCCTGCCCAGGATGGCTTCCTTGCTATAGGGCTCGACGGGTGACGCAATAGGACAGGGAAGGTTTTCGTCGCAGAAAACATCATCGGGCGAGGATGGTCCTCCGATTTGGCCATTGGTCGAGCTGTCTGAAGGAACGCGTCGGAACAGACGCATAGTCGATCCAGAATTTCCAAATGACATGTCGGTCTGTAAGGGCTTCTTGGGTGCGACCGTGGGACGCGGTGACCCGCTAGATCGGACAGAGTTGGAATGAGCCAGTGATGGGGCGCGGCGAACGGTACACTTTCGCATTGTGCCTGTTGCCGGTGATGACGGACCCAGTGGTCCCTCGGCTGTGTCGAGTTTGCGCAGACCTTCTTCAGTGGCCAGCATTGAAGATGGCTTGCGATGTCTGATGGTTGGCCGCTTGGGTGGCACCATCGCAACCGACTTGACCGTATCAAATACCCACTCTTGGTCTTCGTCCTTTGGGGATATTGTTTGCAGGGTCTCCTGGTAGTAGATGGGATGTCTCTGACGATTCTGGTTGGCCTCCCACATTTGGCGACGCGCAATGAGTTCTTGCAGAGCTTCAACCTTACCAGCACAACGAATGAAACGGTGCTTCAATAGATCCCGTGCTGAGGGTCGGCGCTCATAGTCCTTGGTGAGACATTGAGCTACAAAGTCCTTAAAGTCTCTGCTAAAGTCGCCCTCAAGTCGTGGAGGTGCGTTCTTTGGAATGTGGAAAAGAACCTTCATGGGGTGAATATGGCACAATGGGGGCTCGCCGTTGGCCATCTCCATGGCGGTAATACCTAGAGACCAAATATCTGCCTTGAAGCTGTATCCGTCTTGTTGAATAACTTCTGGGGCCATCCAAAACGGGGTACCGACAAAAGTATTTCGCTGAGACTTGATGTTGGTCAATTGAGCGGCGACTCCAAAGTCTGCTAGCTTGACCTTGCCCGCTTCAGAGAGTAGGACGTTGGCAGCCTTGATATCCCGATGGATCTTGCCCTCGGTATGAAGATACTGAATGCCCAACAACAGCTCGCGGCAAATAATGGCTATGTGTGTCTCGCTAAAGTTGGCGGGTTTCAACTATTGGATATTTGGTCAGTTGATGCAAAGGTACGGCACACGGACAAGTACAGTCGCAACGCACCAAGTCTAGACAGGAGCCGCCCCCAAGGTACTCCATGACAATCCAGAGCTTATGTCCCCGAAGGAACGAGCCTTTATACTGGGTCACAAACGGACTGGAGCACGTGCTGAGGACGGCTATCTCGGCCTGTATGTCTTGGATATCATCGTCGTTGGACTCGAGATCGATCTGTATATATGCGTAAGGGGTAAATTGTTAGCAGTGGGCCTCGACATCACTGTTGGCGTCCCGTTTCCTAAAACTAGGTCGGGCTGGGTACGCACGTGTTTGATGGCCACGGTTTCGCCTGTTGCCTTCTCGATGCCTTTATAGACGACACCAAAACTTCCACCTGTTGAGAGGTGCGCATTAGCTTCGATTTTCCAAATCGCATTGACTGTCGGGCACAATGACTAGGTAGCTGTTGTTAAAGATTGAACTTACGGCCAAGCTCCTCCAAGACCTGATAGTGCTCTGCAACACCCTCATCGGCCATGTTGTCTTGACGTCATGCAGCGTGCCGTTTCTTGAATTGGGCTGGAGCACGAGACGGCCAATGCTGTGCCTGTGGACGGACCGTGGCAATCCGAGATGGAAACGCCTCGGAACAAAAGTCTCACGGGCCAGAAACGAGGGTTTGTACGACTGCGCCGAAGGCGTAAATCTAAAGATATCGATGTAGAGACGGGGAGAAGAGAACAAGAGGATGTGAGCTGGATCGTGCGGCTAGATAATACCTATAATAATAGGCCGGATCGCCTACCCAGCGGAGGGTACGCCGTAACTTGGTGGTAATCAATGCCGGCTCGCTTTAATGAGGTGTGTCGTTCGTTGTCTGGGACAGCAGCAGGGCTGGCTGGGTGTAGAGCTTGGACCGCTCCTTTGTTTACAAATCTCCTTTTTTGGACAGCTGCGACTGGGGCGGCTTGCTGGGGACCTTGGCTGCTGGGGAGGGGGGAAGAGGAAGCGACAGCATTAAAAGTATTGTCGAGAAGGAGAAAAGTCGAAGGTCCTCTTCGCCTTTTGTCGCATCGTGACTCGGCCTGCGATGGTGTTGACAATTGCTACGGCCAAAAGCGAAAACGTGCCACGCGAGCAACATTGCTGCATCTGGATTGTGCGTTGGAACGAAGCCGGCTTTAGGGCGGACCGTCATAGGCCGGCCGTCACACCGGCGGCCCAGCAGGGCAGCAGTAGTCAAGTTAGCATTGCATTGTTACTAGACGACTGATGCTGCCTACTCCGTATTCTCATTAGGAGCATTGCGAGCCGCTAATTCGTCGCAGCATCGTTGTGCCCACGCGCTGACAGCTGTCATTGGTCAACGCCCGATTCAGCGGGCACAGCGCGCAGGGTGCTGTGGCTCAGGGGCGCTCTAGGGGCGGCCAAGAGGCGGCTTGGGGGGGCGTTTTTTAGGCTCTGTCCAGGGCGTGCATCCCAGTTGCCCTGGTAACGGCCGCCCCTCTGTTTTTTTTCCAACAGGCCGCATCGTGCACCGTCGGGCGACGCTGTTGCTGTCACCGTTGCTATGCTGCAGGAAATGGACGCTTGTCAAGCAACTTGGACCGACCGTTCAAGTCAAGTGACCAGCAGTTGAGACCGTGAGACCCCTACGCGACTGGGCACACCCGTTGTTCCGTGACAAGAAGCATCTCTCCATTGTCCAACGTCGTTTGCCAAGTCAGACCGGCCGCTAGTCCTCCAGCTAAGCATCTTCATACCTGCAACCTCCTGATTCTCTTCGCCTCTTTTTTAGTTCCGGTTGAACTTGCAGCATCGAATGACGACCACAGCGACTATGCAGGGTGAAGAATCAACCTGTGTTCCTCACTCCGATTAACCCATCTTTTGTTGGTGCAAGCCGTTGTTTGTCCACCATTTACGGACCAACGCGGTGCGAAACCTGCATGCGACGCGGTGGTTTTGGAGCCGTCGAAATTTCATTTGCGAATTGTCTCGCATAGACCACTCATTGCCCATCAACATTGCCGTGGACGTCTGGACTGCACGAGCCCGTCCCGTCTTGAACTTGCTGCTAAAATGGTTCCTGCACCACAAGCGCTCCCAGCCAAGTTTCCATGCTGGTGCAGAGCTGTTTATTCTTGGGGAGGCGAGGTCTGTGTTGCATCCTTGCCCTGTTCCATATCTACCTGATCTACAAGCTCTGGCAGAACGTCTCAATGGCCCCAAATCACTGACATATACACAGTCCAAGCGAGATCTAGGCTTCATCGAAGGAGATCTCATTGAGTGTCTGAATGCAGGCGATGGATCGTGGTGGGTTGGACGTCTGTACCGAGATCGAAGAACAATTGGATCCTTTCCTTCCAACTTTGTCGAGATTCTCCCTGAAGAATTCCGTCCCATGACAAGATCGGCGAGCCCCTTGCCAGGAAGCAATACCCCCAGTCCCAAAAACTTACCGGCCAAGTCAAAAACCTTTCGCAAGCCCTTCGAAGCATACGCAAAGGCTCCCCATTATACCACGGCTAAACAACCAACGTCCTATCGCAATCCTCCCAAGACTGCTTCATCTGCTGCCGCGGCCCCTGCCCCTGAAGCTCAGCAGCAGCAGCTCAAAGACAAGTCTGCCAGCTCTCTCAACAGATCAGTCCACGATACCATTGACAGGGTACCATCGCCGCCTGCGGTGCGCAGATATGGCTCTCGGGCACCATCGCCAGCACTATCACAGTCCTACCGAGACGGTCATCGGGGCACATCTGCAAGAGATTCTGCTCCTCCAGCACCACCCCCTCATCGACATGTCGGCGGCGGATCCCGACCAGGTGACATGTCACGGCACGGTTCCAATGCTTCTTTCCGTCCATATTCTCCTGCGGTCATGACGAGACACGGGTCGAACGCTTCATATCACCATCCGCCACAGACCCCGACACATGCCTCGCATGTGCCTGAACATAATTCCGTACGTCAAGGAGAAGTGAGTGAAGAGCACACACCCCAGGGTCCATCACCATGCCAGCACTCTTCCGATGAGCTTCACATGACACCATCGCCGCTAAGAGAAGCGATGGACAGTGTCATGAAACAGCTGGACCAACTAGATGGGCTAGGAAACAGTTGGGGTGGCGACCAGGTCCGGCACGCAGAAGTGGAGGAACAACCGCTTGGTCCCTGGGCACCAGAATCTTTTGATGCAATTGCAAACAAATCAAGGCGCAAGGGCTCGGGGAACACGAGACCTCTTACATCCATGGGAATAGCCCACCGTGATGAGGGTTACGAAACCTGGAGTGGCGGATCCTCCCAGGATACATCCCTTCAAAATGGTACTCGAGGTCAGAAGCACGAACTGCCCGAGTTAAGCAACTATGTGGAGCGCATGGAGAAACGATTCCAGAGTATGCATCACTACAGCAAAAGCGCAGGGGTGGCAGCAGACATAGATCTTGACGCCGAGGGAGATATGCCTCCTCCACCACCACCACCGAAAGGTCAGCCCTATCAAAGACCCAGATCCTCGGCTGGTGAGCCAGCTGGTCGCCCACGACAATTGAGGCCTCAACAATCCGCGTATGAGATAGGGCGCGGTAGTGGTACCGCGAACGGGAGTGTAGGGAGAACGATGACGACCAGAACCAACACCACCAATGCTTCGACGGGCAACCAAAGCCACACCAGCTCATCAACCCAAAGTAGCGGAAGGACTCTTTGGAGTGGAGTTTCAGCTGGCGGTATCAGTTCCACGAGTGCCGGCAGTATGGCTCGTCAGCATATGCGCTCGCAGAGTGCTATGGACACTCGCGAAGCCGAGCTAGACCGTCCCGATTCACCCTTTACTGGCGTCACATACCACAGCAGTCATGCGAGCCAAGTCGCCGGAAACAGTCGGTCGGAGGCCCAGACCGGCGTGGAAGACGATCTGACAGCGTGTATAGGAGGATTGGTCCAACCCAAGGCACCTAAACGAAGCATATTCAAGAAGATCTTTGACTCTGCCAAAACTGGTGTTGCAAGCAACAGAGGCAGCATTGCAGCAGGCTCCATAGGCGGAGGCAATTCAGTTCGGGCATCGCCATTCAATCGACCACGGCCTTCTGCGGCGCAAACTCCCATGAGCTCAAGGATGACTGGTATCAGTGGCCCAGATTACGGGAGCAATGCAGCCCGAGATATGGGACTCACTGGCGGTAGCAGCGTGGACTGGGTCCAAGTTCGTCGCGATGTGAATAGGTCAAATTCTCTAAGCAAAGCGGAGAGGAACGAGCGTCAAGAGCGTTGCCAGGTGATGGAATATCCCGCCTTGAACCCGGTGGACGAAATGTACGAGGAGATTGAAGGCGACGAGGCAGCAGATGGTATGCCAGTGAGAGAGACAATCAACTACCAGTCGATAAATCTGAGCCAGGTGGATAAAAACTCACGGTTCATCGGGGATATGCCACCAATGACGAGTGCTATTCAACTCGCAACAACTTATGTGTGTCGACCTTACAGAAGCGATGTGCAACGTCTGCGAGCTATTTTTACGTGGGTATCTGAGAAGATCTGCTGGGAGGAAGACTTTGAGGGCGATATTGACACGCGTCGCGTCATCCAAGCCAAGAGGGCCTGTGCGGAAGAATACGCCGTCCTGGTCATGGAGATGTGTGCTGCCGTTGGGCTGGAATGCGAGATTGTCCGGGGTTATCTCAAGAACCCAGGAGATGTGACAGATCTCAACATGATGCCTCGATCAAATCATTGGTGGAATGCTGTCATTGTTGACAATGAGTGGCGCATCATCGATTGCTGCTTGGCCAGCCCATCGAACCCCAAGCGTGGGCTATATTCAAGTGCCAATGGAGCGACGGCCGACTCTTGGTGGTTCCTCGCTCGTCCGACGGAAGTGTGCTGGACACACGTTCCCGAGCACCACGATCAGCAGCACATTGTGCCCCCTGTGGCTCATGAGATCTTGCTCAACCTTCCCTGCACTTGCCCATCGTTTTTCCGCAACGAAATTGAGATGGTTGACTACAACACGGCTGCGACGAGAATCGAAGATCTTGAAATGGTCCACATCAAATTTAATGTGCCAGCAGACATTGAGGTGGCCGCCGAGGTGGAAGCTCGAGCATATACTCGGGACGCAGATGGCGATGTGTTTGAGAGTGGAGAGGTTGTAAAGAAGAGAGCGCTGGCGCAGGCAGAGTGGTATGACGGGGTGAAGCGGTACACGGTGAAGGCCCTTCTTCCAGGAGACGAGGGCCAGGGCACACTCAAGATCTATGCTGGCAAGCGTGGATTGATGCACAGTATCAAAGACATTCCTCATCCATTGGCATTCGCACTTCCCATTGTGCACACGGGGGAGAATCCGCCATACGACTTTGTGACCCGACACCCTACTCCGCACGCTCAACGTCACGACATCTACGTGGTGCAGCCTCAATGTCAAAGACTAGCTCTTAACAATACGTTTGTCTTCGCCATTCGACAGCACCCAAGCTCGACGTTTAGCGGACATAATTCGACGTTGACTCCGGCATCGAACCCCGGACGGACGAGCCCCAATCCCTTTGCCCGGCCGAGTTCGGCTATGAGCATGAATGCATCGAGTGTGAGCGGATCGAATCCCAGCTCAGCCAGCGGCACAGTGGCAGGCAAGAAGCCTGCCAAGCTGGCTATTCAAACGCCCGGCGGCAAGATCCTCCGTCTTATGAGGAAGGAAGACCGCAAGGGCATTGCCGTTGGCAGCAGAGGGCTATCTGACGACGAAGATGTCAGTGACGGCGGAACATGGGAGACCATCATTAAATGCTCCGAGAGGGGCGTGTGGAGAGGTTTGGTGTTGGCAGACCGCACCGCGCGATGGTGCGTGTTTGCCGAATGGACTTGTGTTGGCTAAAGGGGTTAACGCAAACCGCCACGGCCATGGTGGCGCGGGAATGCAGAGGTGACAGACGGCATACTGAATTCGGTCTGGAGAGCAGAAATGCAGCCATGGACGTCGGCAAAGCGTCAAAGGAGACCGAGGCTCGCGATACATGCAGACAATGGCGTTGGGAATTTTGGACGGCCTTCATTGCTGACCAATTCGCTGCTTGATTTTAACGGAGGGACATGTCAGGACCATGGTGTTTGGAGATAGATACTGCGCATATACTGTATCATAGCTTGTAGATTTCGCTTCATTTTTTTCTTCTTCAACAATGGCAATGCTTGATAACAAGTATGTTGTGCCTGGGGACCGAGCAGATTCTGCTCGTAATATTTATTGGCCAATGGCACTGGGCTAATAGTACCCGGGCACCTAGGTACCTAGATACTTAGGTACTTAAGTAGGTACCTACCTCTTAAGTACGGAGTGTGTCATGTAGCAATTCCCACAACATGCGGCAGGCGGCAAGCGCCAAGAGCCGTGCGTGGCTACTTCCGCCAAAGCCCAGCACCAAGGGAGCATTCAGATGTTGGATGCATCCGTCGAGCTAAACCCTGTCGGGACAAAACACCGGACCACCGGACCACCGACCACCGACCACCAACCACCAACCATTGGCGACCGACTCTTGACGACTGACCTCCAGTTTGGGGTTCCAGTCCATCACCTCAATTCCGGAGCCGCAATCCCAACGACGTCCCTTCTGCGCACATCGCCCGCCCGCCACCCTGCCCGGCATTCACGAGGCCGCCGCCGCCATCTGTCGACAAAAAAACAAACCCACGTGGATTTCGCCATCCTTTGGTGTTTCTGTTCATCGCCACGGACGGTGCGCGCGTGTCGCGCAGTCGCTTTCGAGCCAGCCGCCCCCCACCACTCTGCGAGGACACGCGAGCCTCGCGAGCCGTTCGAGTCCGTCGGAGCACGACACTTTGACGTAGAACCCCGAGTCTATCCTCTGTCCAACAAACCGGGTCGTTGTCCGCTTCTCTGGTGCACAGTCCTGCGGGGAAACGCAAGTCGCTGGCGTTTTCTACGCCCAGGCATCTCCCTCATCCAGACTCGTCATCTCATATCCTGGTATCGGCCGAGTCCGCGTCCAGAGTCTGATGCAGACACGGCGGATATGACCTACCGAGGCACGCTGCCTACGGGGCAGCCGGGTTTTCCAGGCCAGCAGCAGCAACAAGACCGTCACCCCATCTATGGCATGGACGGCTATCAACACCAGGCGCAGTTTCAGCAGCCGCAATCCCAGCCGCCCCTTCAGCAGAACCACCAAGGGCTGTATGTCAATGGTGTAGGAGGCCAGTTTTACGGCCAGCCGCAACAGAACCAATTCGCGCACCAGCAGAGTCAACAAGCTGCGCGTCAACAGGAGATGCTGCAGATGCAGATGGCCCGGCAGCACCAGCAACACCAACATCAGCAACACCAACAGCACCAGCACCAGCACCACCAGCCAGAAGCGCGTTTCGTGGGTGGTGGTGGTGGAGGTGCCAGCGGCGGTGGTTATCATGATTATCAAGCCATGATGGCGCAGCCTCAACGTATGATGCAAATGCATCAGCAACATGCGTGGCCGCAGCCGCAGCCGCAGCCGGCGTCGCAACATCAGCAGTATGCTGGTCATCTGTTACAAGCGAAGCAGCACGCCCAACACATGATGCAATCGCAACAGTCGCAGGCTTCAGATCAGATGTTGCAGAGAATATACCAACAGCAACAGCAACAGCAACAGCAGCAGCAGCAGCAACAGCAACAGCAACAGCAACAGCAACAGCAACAGATGCAGCAGCAACAGGCAGCCCAACAACATCTTCGATCGCCGCAAATACACCAACAGCGCGTATCTCCGCAGCCGAGAGCATCGCCGCTGTTGCCGTCGCAGATGCAGAGGAAGTACTCACTGCAGGGACAAACGGGGCATCAGGCGATGCAATCTCCCATACAGCAGCACTTGCAGCACCAGTTCCAGTCGCCGCCGCCGCCGCGGATGAAATCTCGTACACCCGTGCAGAATCAAATGCATCTTCAACGACCCCCAACACAGTCGCAAACACCACCACAACCGCAGCATCAAACACCCCAGCTCACGCTTACGCCGCCTCCTCCGCCTCCTCCTCCGCCTCCCCCACAGCCTGCTGCGGAACCTCTTCTAGAACCGGTACAACAAGTACAAGAGCCGCTGCCCGTGTCCGTACCCGTACCCGTACCTGTATCCGAGCCCGAGCCCGAGCCCGAGCCTGAACGCGAGCCTGAACCTGAACCTCAACCTGAACCTGAACCTGAACTTGAGCTACAGCCTACTTCGACGCTTGATCTGCCAGTGGAGGAGCGTCCCTTGCCCCCTGCAATTCAAGAGCCTATCAATTTTGTTAATCCATTGGATATTTTCAACGCGCCACCGCCCCCTCCGTTACCACCTCTGCCCATGGGCGACCCCAAAAGCTGGGGTAAGAAGGAGCCCGATCCAGAGCCTGTGGTAGACTCTGTCGCTTCCAAGCCGTCCGAACCAGCTGTCAGGGTGAAATCGTCGCCAGCGCAAGAGTCAATCACCGTAAACACCAGTGCGGTGAAACGGGATATCAAGCCCGAAATTAAGCAAGAGCCGAAATATGAACCCGTTCGTATCAAGTCCAGTCCGCATTCGTCGGTCACAAATTCTCCCGCCCTTTCTACGAAATCTCCGAGCATCACCAAGCGATCGCCAGCGCCAAAACCTCGCGTCAACACAATTCCTATCATGGTAGCGATAGCTGAGGAGTGCCTCGAAAAAGCCCGCAGCTCCGTGCACGACGTGGCCATGTCCCCCGATCCCGAGAGGGTAGACGAATATCAAAAGTTGATTGCCACTAGCCTGTCATGCCTGGAAGCAGTCATGCAGAACAACAAGCTCGCGCCAAGGGAAGAGGCTCGACTGAGGATGAGATATGCTGCTGTTTTGCAGGAAGAGACGGATAATTTGATGGAAGCGGAGACGGCGCTTGGCAAGGGCATCAGCCTTTGCGACAAGGTAGGTCAACAATTAAACGTGGGGAGAGTTGAAGTCCTGCTGACGGTCGCAGCATCGCCTAATCGACCTGAAGTACTGTATGCAGTATCTCATGCTGAAGGTTCTGTTTCAACGCAATCACAAGGCGGCCCTGAAAGCCGTCGACGGTCACATATCCGACTGCGAAGCGTGAGGCAGACAGACTAGCTAATGTCAATTTGTCAAGGCTGACAGTCTGCAGGTTCAAACACGTACAATGGTACTACGTCTTTCGTCTGCTCAAGTCCACATTTTACATGGCCATGGGCAGCGCCTCAGATGCCGCTGCCCTGGAAAACATCCGAGCCGTCCAAAACGTCGCCAACTCGAGAGGTGACAACGCCATGACGGTTTTCGCATCAATATTGGAAGGGCTGGCGCTCCTCAAGACGTCCAAGGATAGCAATGTCGAGCGTGTGCAGTCGTGTATTGCCCAAGCAGCCAAGTTCCAATTTGATCCCTCTGTCAAGATTATGCACCTGGAAATCTTGACTCTGGTGCTGGACTTTGCGTCAAGTCTGTACCATCAAAGTCCCGACACGACAGCCCAGAAACTTCGGTTGCTGCAGCAAAGATTAGACGAGTGCGAGGAGTGGAACAACGTCCGGGCGGATTTCCTCATTCCCGTCAAGAAACAGCCCTCAAATACCCGTACCGTTAGCGAGGAGACATCGGCGATCATCCGGCTGGCGGGCGCGGGCGAGGGCGAGGGCGACGGGGAGTCTGACTTTATCGTCATGTCGTTCATGACCAAGGTGGAGCTACGGTCACTCGTGTAGGGTCCAAGACGGCAGAAGATTGCGCATCGTTTTGCTGACTCGATTGCGCAGATTTACTTTCAGCGGGCTGGCAAACATGCATAAGCCTTCGTCGCAAGGACGACGCTCCACCGAGTTTTGGCTGGAGGGCGCCAAGATCCTCGACACATGTGAGCAGCAGCACGGAGTCCGCTCCATTCGGTGCCTGCCTGCGCCGCCAGCTAACGACGCGACAGGGGACAGCTCAACGGCCGGTATTCCGTACGGACCTTCTGTGTCGTTGTCGACGGCCGTCCGACAGAGGTCATGGCGGGCAGAGGCCCAGGCCTATCTCAACACACTGCTGGGACTCCTGGCAGCAAGCCACTGTCAATGGGGCAAGGTGAAGCAATTCATGGAAAGACTCGAGACTCTAATCACACCGTCTACACAGCCCACGATAAGGCTACTGTCCCTGTACCTGACCGGCGTACATCGCCAAGGGACGGGCAACCTCGAGGCCGCCCTGACCATCTTCCTCGACGGACGCTTCGACATACCCCAGACATGGTCGAGCGGCGTGAGGGCCGGCCAGCGAGAAATCGCGCTCCTAGCCGGCCTGAACCGGCTGTGGATCATGCAGCATCCCGGCTGCAGAAACGACTACCTGACGCACGAGCTGATTGAGCAAATGCAGCCGTTCTGCTCGAACCACTGGAACATAGACTTGCGCACTGCATGGCACAACGTCGTGGCCGCGCTGGAGACAGATCCCCCGCAGCAGCTGAACCAGCAGAAGCAGCACATTCAGGCGGCCGTGTCCGGCTCCAAGGTGACCAACAACATCCTGGGAGCGGCAGTCACGCTGTGCATCATGCGCAGCCGGTTCTTCGAAAACGTCATCGGGGAACAGGCACTCAAGAGCGCGCGCGCAGCGTCCAAACAAGCCCAAAGGAGCGGCAACATGCTGTGGCAGAGCGTCGCGGACGGCATGCTGGCCCAGTCGTACGAAGTCCAGGGCCACAGGGACGAATCCGCCCAAGAGTGGGAGAAGGCTACGAGGGAGGCCAAGGATGCATTTGCAGGGAGTTTGGGCACGGGTACGGGTACGGGCATGGGCAAGGGGGATCGCTAGTGCTGCCGTCGCCGTCTTTTTGTACTTTTCAAAAGAAAAACGCATTCAGGGACCCGGGCGTTTTGTTTTTTTTGTTCTTTTCGGCTTGCCGCCTGTGCTGCTACACCTGCGCTGCGCTTCTTGTTGTTCCTCCTCCTCGTTGCACACGCACCTCTTCCCCTCCCCTCCCCTGGCCTCTCATGTTTGGCGAGTTGGCTGCGTGACGCGGAGGAAATGGCATACCTGGGCTTGTTTTTTTTCGGGCTGGATTTGTAAGATCAATTGATACCTAAACGTTGCAACTCAGGGCCCTGCATGTATCGAGGGGGCTTCACTGGCATAGACGCGGAAACAATAAACAAGTGTCTCGTCTTGATTTGCGATTTTGGCTTGATTTTTCATTGCACATGCCGTTTCGGGGGGGTTTCTGACCCCCTTTCCCCCTTGATTTAGTTACATGAATGAGCCGCTGATATTATGGTACAAAACAAAACCTGGTGGTTGCGTGGGAATTCACCCCGTCTTCGCCCGTGGCATACTTCTAACGACGCCCGAAGCCGGGAGGAGGTTGGAATCCGGGCGGCGGCATGAACCCGGGCGGCCCTGCCCCTGGCGGTCCCTGCTGTCCCAGCGCCCCTGGGGGCCCGGCTGGGAAGCCTGGAGGGGGGGCCACTGGGTACCCGGGGGGATTTGGTGATGCCGAGGGAGGCCGGTACGCGCCGGGGTGGAAGTCGGCGGGATTGGTGTAGTTTTGGCTCTGTGGCGGCCGAGCTGGGAGCCCTGTGGGGGGGGGAGGCAGAGCGGCTGGGGATCGAGACTGAGAGTGAGGGCCCGCGCCGAAGGGAGAGTTGCGGTGCAAGTTTGGCGGCGGCGGCGGCGGCGGCGGCGCGTGGTGATGAGCGGCCGCCATCGGAGGCAGCGCGTGGCCCGGCAGCCCAGCAAGCGGAGGGGGAATCTTGGCCGGGTCAAAGCCGGTCGGGACGGGCGACTGCTGGCCGCCCTTTGACGGCGGTAGTGGCAGCGGCGGCGGCTGTTGATGCTGTTGCTGCGAAGGCGGCTGGTGCGGCGGCGGCGGCTGCGGCTGGCTTTGCTGTGTCACAAAGGCCGGGAGGGCCTGGGCCTCGGGCACAATGTTGCGCTTCTTGGCCTGCTTGGCCAGCTCTCTCTCGGCCTCGTCGCCGTGGCGCTCCCCCCTGCCGTCCTTCTTGAAGGCGTACTGCACGCTGACCTCCTTGCTGAGCATGTACTGCCCGTCGAGGTTGGCGACGGCGGCGTCGCTGCTCTCGAAGTCGCCGAAGCTGACGAAGCCGAAGCCCTTGCTCATGCCGCCGTCGTCCCTGGCGACCTTGGGCAGGCTCAGCAGCGGGCCGAAGCGGGAGAAGGTGTCGTAGAGGAGTTTCTCGTCCACCATGGGGTCGAGGTTGCCGATGAAGAGCTCGGCGCCAATGTCGGCGCCCTTTTGCTTGTCGGCCGACGCCTTGTTCACGCGCAGCGACTTGCCGAACAGCTTGATGCCGTTCATGACGTTGGCCGCGTACTCGGCGTCTGATGGCGTGCGGAACTCGACGAAGCCGAAGCCTTGGTGGTTCTGGGTGACGCGGTCACGCGGCATGTGGATGTTGTGGATGGGACCCATCTGCAGCATGACCTCGTAGATTGTTGCTGTCGTGGCGCGCTCGTCGATGTTGCCGATGTAGATTGTCGCCTCCTTGTCCTGCTCCCTGGGCTGCTGGTTAGCATTGTGTGTGGGTGAGAGTTTGTTGTGGCCGACGGTCACGCGAGGTCGGCTGGACGCACCAGTGCCTGTTTTGCGCCATTTTGGACGGCGGTCGGGGAGGCTGTATTTATTCGTACTGAATGCGATGGAAGATTTGTCGTCGCGAGTTGAGATGTCGCAAACTCCAAAGTCGAGGTTGGGGACTTTTTGCCGAAGTTGGTCCGGGCGTGGGCGGCTCCAACTTCTGGATCTGCCTTTTTCCCCTTCTTTTTTTTCCCGCCCCCTTCAATGCCGAAATCTCGCGGGAGCGACAACAGCTCATCTCTACACTCTGTACCCCTTGACAATTTGGCTGCGTGCCGGTCGTTTCTCTCTTTCCCAGTACTGTCGAGCAGATTCCGCCCGACATGATTGCTCTGTCTGAAGAGTCCAAGGTTCGCATGCCAGTGCGTCTCCGGGCGCATCATGGGGAGATGCTGACGGTAACAGGAGCGAATCGCCAAGGTCATTGACGTCTCGCGCGTGGCGATCCACTAGTAGGTCCTCTGCCTCGTAGCCACCTCGTCGATTCATACTGACAAGCGGCAGTGGCTACCTCCCGCTGATTCTGTACCTCGGTAAGGCGACACGACGCGGAGCAAGTCGAAGGCGAATGCTGATTGTAGCAGGCTACACGCGCAGCGACCCTCGTCCTTCCATCATCCGGTACGCTTGCGCCTCCCCCTTTCCAGTGCGTTTCGGCTCGCTTGCTGCGCTCTAGGTGCTGATTGCGTGCACAGCCTCCTCTCTCCCCTCTCTTGAGCAGCGACGTTGTCGGATGGGGAACGGCTCGGCCGCCTTGTATTAGTATTCACGTTTGGGAGCATGGTAGAGGGAGCGGATGATAAATATCTTGGCATGCACGGAACCGTGTGCAGGGCGTTGCGAAGCTTGCGGCGGCATTGTACGAAGATGGACAGGAGGCAAATGTATTCAAGCCGTGCATAGTTGGACCACTCGCGGGATTTCTGCCAGTTCCCCCTCCACACTCGCCGGATTCTGGCTTATGCATTGATTGAGAGCTGTGTCATTTCTCGTGGACTGTGCTGCCTCGTGTGAACGGTCATGCGTCGTCGTGAGTCGTGAGTCGTGACCGTGGTCTGACGTAGCTCGACGCCGAGGCTCCCCGAGCTCCAGCTTTTTTTTTTTTTTTTTTTCCCCCACAGAAAAAGTTCCCACACCTCAACCTCAACCCCCTCGCCAACCTCGTTCCTGATGACGCGTGCCATGCTCTCCCCGTCGACAATGTAGCCGTCGCCCTCCCCGATCGCGCCAAACACCCTCTCAATCTCTACATGCCGGACCATCGCCATGGGGGTCCGTCTCCCGCCGTGGTCGAGAGCGTTGCCGGCCTGAGCGCAGGCGTCATCTCGACCGTCGTCGTGCATCCCTTGGACATCGTCAAGACCCGAATGCAGAGTAGGTCCACCGCGCCGGCACTCTTGCGCCTGCGAGTCGCATCATTCTGCCATGAGCTCCGTCCACCTTCTTGCTGACCGACCCTCGGCGCGCCCAGTCTACCGGAGCGCCGGGCAGTCCGCCTCGCCCCCGACGACCGTCGCCATCCTGCGATCGCTCACGTCCAACAGCCAGCCCATGCTCTCGCTGTACCGCGGCCTCACGCCCAACCTCGTCGGCAACGCAACATCCTGGGCCTTCTTCTTCTTCTTCAAGTCCCGGTTCGAGCGCGCCATCGCCTACTCCAACAGCCGCAGCCGGCCGTCGGCAGCAGACTACTTCCTGGCCTCGGGCCTCGCCGGCGCCTCGACTTCCGTCCTCACGAACCCCATCTGGGTGCTCAAGACACGCATGCTCTCGTCGGACAAGGGCTCCGCCGGCGCCTACCCCTCGATGCTGGCCGGCGCGCGGGCCATTTGGCGCACAGAGGGCGCGCGCGGCTTCTACAGAGGCCTCGGCGTCTCGCTGCTGGGCGTCTCCCATGGCGCCGTGCAGTTCGCCGTCTACGAGCCCGCCAAGAGGGTGTACTTCAGCAGCCGCGTCGCCGAGGGGGACGCGCACCCGCGGCTGACCAACGAGGCTACCGTTGTGATATCGAGCGCGGCCAAGCTGATAGCCGGCGCGGTCACGTATCCGTACCAGGTCCTGCGCAGCAGGATGCAGAACTACCGCGCCGACGAGAGGTTCGGGAAGGGCATCCGGAGCGTCACGACGAGGATTTGGGCCGAGGAGGGTGCTGCCGGCTTCTACAGGGGCTTGGTGCCGGGCGTGGTGAGGGTCATGCCCGCCACGTGGGTGACGTTTTTAGTCTACGAGAACGTCAGGTACTACCTGCCGGCGTGGCTGGCGTAGAGCTGCCGCGACTGGTTTCGGCCGTGGGCCTTCTATCGCCCGCTTCCGAGGGATGCGAGGATGGTTCTGCATGGGATTGGCGTCTGGGGGGCGCGTTGTTTTGCCTGGCACTCGGGGGCAGGCTGCTCAGGCCCTGATGCTCTGATGCCCTGATGCTCTGACAGAGCGAGACACGGCAGCGCCCCCATTTACTCCTGATTTCTTCCATGCCATTCGACTTGTACCGGCGATCGACGGGAGCGGGAGAGGGAGATGGGGGTGTCGTGAGGCAGGCAGCTACACGGATGCGTCGATTACCCCAAGACGACGGAAGCGAGCGCCAAGGTGAGCGGGACGGGGTTCTTGCTCGGACGGGAACAGGCTGGCGTGAGGGTAAGAGACGCTGTGTAGCCTGTGATGTGCCGTGCCGTGCTGTGCTGTGCCGTGCTGTGCTGATCGCGCCGCCCCCAAGTGAGGTGAGGCTGACTGGACATGTTGCGCCGGCGGTAAGATGGACGGAGAGAGATGGATCGATCGATACTTGGGCAATCGAATATTGAGCTGCCGTGATAGGCGCGTTCGCTTTGGGCTCTCCCTTCCCCCATGGCGTTTCTCTGAAAGGGAGGCAAATACAGCAGGGATCCGGGTTTCGCGCAGAGTCAGAGTACGGCCTCGCTTCCATGTACAGGTAGACGGGGAACAAAGAAGTCTTTTTTTTTTAGAGACTAGCACCCTACTCCGTAGTTACTTTGAGTCTTGGCGTCTCTTTTCCCTCTGTTGGTAGCAGCAGCGACGTGCCGGCCCGTACGGACCAACATGAAGGCTTGTGAAACACACCAGCAAACCCCTCGTGGCCTTGACCAGCAAGGGCCTGCAGAGAGCAGTAGTCGTTTCCGTTAGTAGTTCGTCCCAGGCTAGCTAGCCCGTCGGAAAGCCTGCAGAACCCCCACGCCGGACAGGCGGCAACGGGGATTATTTGAGATCGTCTCCCATGGACCCATGGGGGTGAGCAGAGGGGAGGAGGCTGCCGGCGGGCCACGGCGGAGCCACTCACATGGTAGGGAATGCTGCTGCCTGTGGTGTGGTGGTCTCGTCTTGGTCTGTTCTGTCTTGGTCTTGGTCTTGGTCTGGGTCTCGGTCCGGATGGCTTTGTCTCGTCCCCGCCACGTTGGAGGGTTGCAAGAGAGCTGAGAGAGATGCTTGTCGCGAGGACATGAGACGAAACATCCCCCACACGATGACAGCTTTTTTCAACGTCGCGGCAACCAAGACACACGACTTCTGGGGCTGTGTGAGTTTGCCCGGGGTGCCGTTGCCGTTGCCGTTGCCGTTGCCGTTGCCGTTGCCGTCGCCGTCGCCGGGGTCGGGGGCCTGGCCAACATCGACTACTACTCGCTCCAGTACGTTGGCTAGTTGGTAAGAAATTAAGAACCATGCATGCGGTCATGTGGAGGAAACTCTGGGGACTCGAAGCCATCAAACCACCCCGGAGAGCCGGCGCTGACGGGTGGAGAAGGACATGGACCACGGAGTATTTATCCAAGCTGATAAACTCCACCTCCGCAAAGTCCTTGGTCGCCGTAACTTACTGACTCGGTCCTAGTAGACGAAACTAGGATCCGGGCGGTGCTGACAAGCGTTGCCCAGTGCCAGCTAGGCAGCCTTGGAAGAACCAACGTACCCCTTGTCTAGTCTGACGTCAACCTGTGTTGGCTCGTAAACACGAAGCATGTACTCCGTACCGTGTACGTGACAGCCCAGTGTTTGGACGTTGGCCGTCGTTCGTCTTACCGGCTACAAGGGGCGGAGGCTCGTCGAGGTCGTGTCGCGTGCCGGGTCGAGCGTTTCCATGGATCAGCTTAAGTAGCCGAGAGCACCTCCTCCCCCCCCCAGCCTAGAGACTCCAAGGACGCACTGAGTGTCCGGCCATCCGATACAACCAAGCACCCGGACACCTTGGCGTCGTCTCCAAACCATGGACAAGAAAGCGTCTGCTGGTCCGCCGGGATACCCGGGGCCGGCCTTGCATCGCGACGAGCAACGGGGCCGCCGCGGGTCTGCGGCTCTCAACGTCATCGAGAATCCCCTCAAGGTACGTACGCAAACACCCCCCTGCCGGGCTCGTTGCCTCGTCAGTCTTGGCGACCAAGGTGCTGGTCTGACTGACACGGCTGTCTCTGTCTCTGTTTCAAACGGCGGCAGCGCAAATCGGAGCAAGACAACATTCGCGATGCCAGGGCCTTTGCCGAGACGCACGGCATGGCGGAGCACGCCGAGCTCTTTGGCCGCGCTGCCCTCGTGGCGCGAGACCCGCAGAGGTTCGAGACGACGTCGGAGCTTCGCGAGGAGGAGAGGAACGCCTTGGCCTACGAAAGAGATCACAAGTGGCACGGCCCATTCATGCTGTGGTACTCGATCGGTCTCTGTGCCATCGGCGCCGCCACCCAGGGATGGGATCAGACGGGTGCCAACGGTGCCAACCTGTCCTTTCCTGAGGAGTTTGGCATTGCCGGCCAGGGCAGAGACGAGTGGATTGTCGGCCTGGTCAACTCCATCATTTTCCTCACGGCCGGTCTCATGTGAGTGTGGGTGGCGCGACTTGGACCCCAACCGGCCTCGACGTCGTCGTGTTTCTTCTGCTTGTCCATGTCCATGTCCCTCTCCTCCTCCTCCTCCCCCTTCCTTGGCTGCTCACCATGGCTCACAAACTTCAACTTCCTTCTGCAGCGGTGCCTTCATCGTCGACCCGCTCAACCACTACCTCGGCCGACGAGGCGAAATCTTCGTCACAGCCGCCTGTCTCACTGCCACCCCCATCGGGTCCGCCTTTGCCAAGTCATGGCAGGGACTCTTCGCCGCAAGGTTCGTCATGGGCATCGGCATCGGCGCCAAAAACGCCACGGTGCCCATCTACTCGGCCGAGATGGCCCCAGCCAGGACGCGAGGCGCGCTCGTCATGTTCTGGCAGCTCTGGGTCGTCGCCGGTACGACCTGGCCCTTTCTCATTTCCCGACACGTACATTTTGCGTGCTGACAGGCCTCTCTTCTCTTCTCCGCTCGCAGGCATCTTCCTGGGCTTCGCGGCCAACGTCATCGTCAAGGACGTGGGCAAGAACGCCTGGCGTCTCCAGTTCGGCTCCGCCTTCATCCCGTCCCTGATCCTCATGATGGGCATCTTCTTCTGCCCCGAGTCTCCGCGATGGTTGATGAAGCACAACAGGTACGGCGAGGGCTTCCGGTCCATGCTGCGCCTGCGAGCCCACCCCATCATCGCCGCGAGGGACTTTTACTACTCCCACGTCATCTACGAGGAGGAGAAGAGGGAAGCCCGCGGCGCCGGCTACTTTGCCCGCTTGTGGGACTGCTTCGCCGTGCCCAGGATCCGACGGGCAAACTACGGCGCATCTACCGTCATGATTGCGCAGCAAATGTGCGGGATCAACAGTGAGTTCTCTGGACCCCTCTGGAGCTCGACCGCGGTCCGCTCCGGGCCGCGGCGACGTCTCGCGAGAAGACGAGACAGAACTGAGGCGTGCGGGTCTAGTCATCTCCTTCTACAGCTCGTCCATCTTCAGGAGCGTCGGCTACTCCGCCACCGAGGCCTTGTATGCGTCTCTCGGGTACGGAGCCGTCCAGGTCGTGGCTACCATTCCTACCCTCTTCCTCATTGATACCAAGGGGCGAAGAACCCTGACCATGATCGTAAGTCCCTCTCATCATGTGGCATGGGCCTTGGGAGCCGGCACAAGGACTGACGCGTCCATCCGGCAAAAGACGTTTCCTCTCATGTGCATCTTCCTCCTGGCTGCCGGCCTCTCTCTGCTTCCCAACGGTGCCTATCACATTGCGGACCAGGATGTGAACCAGAATCCTGCCAACGACCTAAGACCTCGCGGTGCGCGGATCGGACCTGTCGTGTTGTAAGTATTCACAGGCAAAGGGCGTGCAGCTTTGACCGACCCCTGGTTTACACCGGTCATGTCGGTGGTCATGGCCGCGGTGGTGATTCCTTCTGACTGGCTCTCAAATCACCAGGTTCGTCTACCTGTTTACCATTTGCTACTCACTGGGCGAGGGGCCAGTTGCCTTCCAGTACTCCGCCGAGGTCTTTCCCACGATTCAGCGTGAGCAGGGAATGGCCTGGGCCGTCTGCATCAACAACACCTTTGGTAAGTTGGCCCGCGAGCCCCCGTCCCCCATCGATACCGCCGACAAACCAGGCGCGGCAACGTCGACTTCTTGTGCTGAAGAGGATTCGTCCATTACTTGGCAGCTGGCATCCTTGGCTTGACCTTTCCACGCATGAAGACGGTCATGACCTCAACCGGTGCTTGTAAGTGAAAAGCCCTACAGCCACGGCCCATGATTTTCGCCACGCGTCCCCGTATCTCTGACCTGGATGCACAGTCGGTTTCTACGCCGGCCTCAATCTCGTGGCGTGGGTCATGATCTTTTGCTTCGTTCGAGAGACCAAACAACTCACTCTGGAAGAACTGGATCGTAAGTGGCGCCCCCTTGCTGATTCATGATGGGAGTCGGACCAGGGATGCCCCCCCTCCGCACATGACACTAAGACGGTTCGCAGAGGTCTTTTCGATCCCCACAAAGAAATTCATACACTACGAAGCAACTGTGTGGCTTCCGTGGTTCATCAAGCGCTACGTCTTCTTCCAAAAGCTGCCGCGTCCTCCGCCGCTCATGGAGAAGGCGGAGAGCGAGGATGCCCTCAAGGACGCGTAGGAGCGAGGGACTGCGCACTGTTGCTATGCGGAGTCGTGACCCTGTCGCCGGGATGCAAGCAGGGCGGTCGTCTCCAGGATGACGGTTGGCGAATCGATAGAGTAATGATAGTTTCCACGTCTGCACATGGCCCGGTGACGTTTCTCTGTCGTTGTGTCACGGCGATGCAAACCGGCACATTGACGAAAGGGCATGTTTCGTCCACAGAACCCTTTCTCAGCCCCAAACGAGCCCATCCACATCAAATAGAGCTTCCACATGCTTTGCATAAGCCGTTGTTCCAGCAGCACGAGTAGGTGAGGGAAAAGGAACACATTAAGGAACCCATTGCGACCTCGCCACGTCACGAGATTGCAAAGTGATGCCAATCTCGAGCGAGGAAAGATCGGATTGTAGCAATCAGTTTGCGACGCGTGGCTATGCATGCGACGAGACCGGTGCTGTAACGCACCCTGCCCGGCAATACACGGGCGCCCGACTTACATTGCCATGTGAATGGGACGTGACGGACTCCGACCGCCGTCCAGACTCCAGACGATGCAGTTGCAGAAGAAGCTCGAGTAGGCTCACGAGTCACCCCCCCAAGGTCAAAGAGATGGTCTTATTTCGAGGCCGGGCACCGGATCGATAGATGCTGCGTGGAGTAGCAAGAGCGAAACGTTTCGCCTTCTCCTGCGCCTCCTCCGCCTCCCGCGCCTCCCGGGGCGCGCTCTGCCTCGAGTTGACCCCGCTCCGGCTCCGGCTCCGGCCCCGCAGTCCCGGTCCGCCAGCAACTCGAGTTGACTTTTGAGCCTCGTCCCGCACCTAGCCTGGTCTTCCTGCCATGACCCTCGCTCCCCCATCAGCAGCAATGTCCGCGCCCCAAGACGACAAGGTGCTGCTGTGCGTGCCCTTCATCACGCGCCTCCTCCAGGCCCACCACCGGGCCGCGTGTCCAGGGCGCCCCCTCTTCATCGGCCTCAACGGCATGCAGGGAGTCGGCAAGACGACGCTGGCGGCGGCCCTCGCGGCGGCCCTCCAAGACCGCGGCATTCACACGCTCGTCTTCAGCATCGACGACTTCTACCTCCCCCACGACGAGCAGGTCAGGCTCGCCGCGGGCCATGCCGGAAACGCGCTCGTCCAGCACCGCGGAGAGCCGGGCACCCACGACGTCGCCCTGGCGCAGTCAGTCTTGGCCTCGCTCGCAGACAACACGCCCACCCGCATCCCGCGCTACGACAAGGCCCTCTTCTCCGGGCAGGGCGACCTCCTCCCGGCCTCCCAGTGGATCCGCGTCAACCACCCGGGCCAGCCGCCGGTCCGGGTCGTCATCTTCGAAGGCTGGTGCGTTGGCTTCCGGGCCCTCGAGGCCGCCGAGTTGCGCGAGAGGTGGGCACGGCCCAGTAGGACGCTGCGGAACCACAGACTGCAGCATTTGCAGTTCGTCAATGAGCAACTGAGGAGTTATGACGCCCTTACCGATTTCCTTGACGCGTTTGTGCACATCGACTCGGAGGATGCAGTGTACGTATATGCATGGCGGCAGGAGCAGGAGGATTCGCTGCGAGCGACGAGGGGTGATTCGACGGCGGGCATGACTCCGGAGCAGGTGGTCGCATTCGTGGACGCCTACTATCCCGCTTATGAGCTTTACACGGACGGTCTGAGGAGAGGCGTGTTCAGGGACAGGCCGGGTCGCCAGTTGCGCCTGGTTGTTGACAGGGACAGAAAGGTCAAGGAGATTGTGCAGATATGAAGCTTGCCTCCATACGTCACGAGTTCCATTGGAACTGGTACGTGCGGAAGTATACATGAAGCAAGTAGAGCAATCGTGTCATCAGCCCGACGGGGTATATGTCGGCGTCGGCGCCCCCGTTTTCCATTCTCCGCGGAAAAAATAGCAAAAAAAACAAAAAAAAAAACGCCTCGCTCGTTGATCATGACCTCAACGAGAACCAAGTGCCAACTCCAAAATACATGCATTCCTCGCCGTCTTCACCCCATTTGCTAATTACTGTGTACTTTACTCCCGGTACAGGATAAGTGCTGTTTTCTTTGCCAGCCTTATAGATCCTTATCTCCCACCACTCGTTGGCCATCTTGCTTCATCTTGGCTAATTTCCTGTCAATGGCATCGGTCCGCAAACGAATGGCCTCTTCTCGATGAGAGGCTTCTGTCTCGAACGACCGGATCATTTGGCGCTTCTCGCGCCGAGCATTTCGCAGCCGTTTCATCATGTCCGTGAACTGCGCGGCAAACCAGTCGCCCGAGTCCTCCCAGTCCTCGATGGACATGTTGGCAAAGAATTGGCGCTGCTCATGTTCCCCTTGCTGCTGAAACTGTTCAAGTCTTGATACCAATTTTGAGGTAGACATATCGTGGCCGTTCATGCCAAGTAGTTGTGGCACAAGGTCGAATGGCTCCTCCTGAAGATCTTGATACGTCATGGAACTGAGGACTTTGTCGTCATAGTCCAAGCTTGGTCGTCTACGCTTTTTTTCCTTGGCCGGCGCATTTTGGGTCGATTTCGAGGCTAGGCCGTCTTCTCGAATCAGCTTTGTGCGATGTCCATTTTGCATCTTCGACTTGGGAGCGGCGTGAGCATTTCCAAATGCACCAAGAGCGTCAAAATCGTCATCCGAGTCGTTAACGAGAATGGATTCATTTAACTTCTCCTCCTCGAGATTTTGTTCCCATTTTCCACCCCTCCCTTCGATGAATTTGTCTCTAACCTTGTCCTCCTGGACGGGCAGGGCATTGGTTCCTGGAAGCTGTCCACGATGAATTCGAACTCCGCGCATTGGCAACTTTGCCTGGCCAGGCGCTGACTGAATTGGAAAACTATAGACCGTCTTCTGCGACTTGAATGGCCTTGGGCCTGGTTGAGCTTCGCTGGTGTAAAATCCATCTTTCATAAGTGATGGATGGTAGCGGTGCACGCCTGGAACAACAGAGAGTCGGCCGTCTGCACCCAATGCGAACTCGTGCTCCCGGCTCGAGGCGACCGGAGCTTGCCTAGGTGGTAATCTTTGAATCTGGTTTCGATCTTGACGGGGGTCCTCCACCTTGATATCTGGAGTTCTTCTGATGATTAGGTCCTCAGAGTCATTGGCAGGGGTTGACAGCCCCGATATCATAAAATTTTCCCCAAGCTGCGAGCCGTTGAAGATTTCGTGTTGCGACTGAGTTGCTGAGACCTTGTTCACTGGTTGTCTGGCTGGGGATTGAGGTTTCTGCAGATTTCTGAGCTGACCACCTAGGCGAGGACTTTCCGGGGGCTTGCGGACAGCTCCAGGGAGGGGAAGTCGTGCAAACTCTGCTAGTTCTTGTCGGGTAGGAATATATTCCTTGGCATTTGGCGTGACCGAGCGTTTCTCTGGCTCGCAGTGAGTCGGTTTATCGGTGGCAGCATTGTAGTTGGCGTTGCTATCAGACTTGCCACGAGCAAAAGCCTGAAGCCCACGGCTCTTTGCTTTGAGTCCGGGTTGCATGCTGGCGACCCTCCGAGAACGACTGTGATATGCAATGACAAAGTTCAGAGTACGACGGTGCAAGAGGCAGCTTGCTGGCCAAGTTGCGCGGCTTCGGGAAAAAAAAAAAAAAAAAAGCAGCTGGCCGTGTCGGCGAAGCTCACCCTCTTCGACGGGAGCCCAGGTGAGCTGCAATCGGCGAACAAATGGGCGGAAATGACTTGAGCATCGGACCGTTGACCTCAAGGTCATTGGAAGAGCTCGCACTCCAACATTGGTTGCATGCAACAGGCAATCCAGGCGCCAATGCTCCCGAGCCTCGAGGTCGATCGCGGACACGCCTGAGTCCTGAGTGCTGACGAGAAGACGACGCGTGTGCAGAGCAGTCGGGTGCGTAAAGTGGTTGGCTAAGCGGTTCTGTCGCGCGCCATCAGGTGACAGACAGTGGCAGACCACGACTACCCTACTTGGCAGGAACGACCAGGCACATGCAGCCACGAGAAGCGAGAAGGTGCAAGTGGGCCCTCCGGCTCCGCTGGATGTCAACTGGTCTTCTCTGCAGTCGCCTACTTACTTAAGTACATAACTTGATTGATTATCCGTTATTACTCATGACTGCTACTACGGCACTTTGGAGCACGCCATCCCGCCTTCACGGTCATGACAACTCAACACGTCAGCTAGCTCGCGCCTCGGGTCGCGTCAACTTGATGCAAGCCCATTCCCGCAGCCATCGCTCATACGACGTCCTTGAATGGCGTTTCGGCATCCTGAACAGCGCAGAGGAACCATGCAAAGCTGCTAATCACCATACCGCGCGCGCTCGACCCATGTAGCTGCTTGGGTAGCACAGATTAGCCACGATGAAGGACCCGGCTCCAGGTGCTGCGCCATCATCGTCGCCCCCTCCAACAGCTGCAGAATCGAGCGTTTCCGAGCTACCTGCGTCTGGGCAGACGCATCTGTCTGAGACGGCGACTGAAAACTCCATCCTTCGCCTCCGACCCCCGAGGACCCTTCCCCGTATGTGCTGCCCAAACAAGACTGGCCAGGCCCGCGTGCTCAGCCAGCAGTGCACAAATTTGCGCCGTGCTAATGGTTCATGAACTCGACTACAGCTTGGATTGATTCCTACGAGGAGAGATACGGCCCCGTCAGCGATGAGCAGCTTCGTCTTTTGCAGCCACCAGCGCGTATCTTGCACCATCAAACCAATTCTTCTCCGAATCCACCTCGACGACGTGTCTCCAAAGATGGCTTCGTCGCCTGGGATGACCCGGCCCTGGGGCCAGCCCAGACTGCTCGTTCCAGAATCCCTCACTTCCTTCGATATGGACGCGCTTCTATGCGCGGCAGAAAATGGGATCACTTGCGCTCCAACGAACCCGTCATTGTTTCCACCCATAGACCGGCTCCAGCCCAGAGCGCCTCGTCATGGTCTGACTTTATACGGTCGTCCTCATGGGGGCGGATGCCCAATGTAGAATCCCAAATCGTCGATTATCGGATCCTCGATCAGATGCAACCGACATTCAACAAGGAAACGGATGTTCAGTTCCACCACACAGACGTGCCTAAAGATCATCCAAGTTTGACGGCTCTGCCCGGGCGTTTCTGGAACGGAATCATGCGGTATCCGCTGTCGCCGTTTCTATTCCGGTTGGGCGTAATGGTGACTTCGATCCTGGCACTTGGAATTGCAGCTCGGATATACCAACTGGAACACAACATCAACCGCAGCAGCGGTGCTGAGCAGTCCCAGGTAGTGGTTGCCATCGTCGTGGACTGTTTAGCAATTCCTTACATTGGCTACATGATATGGGACGAGTACACGGGCAAACCACTTGGTCTGCGGTCAGCCATGTCGAAGATCTCACTGATCCTGCTGGACTTGTTCTTCATCATATTCAAGTCTGCGAGCACGGCCCTGGCGTTTGAGAGTTTTATATATCACAATGTGCAGCAGAGGCAAATCATTCGTTTGTCCCTGGCTCTGGCTGTCTTTCAGCTCATTGGTCTCATTTCGTGGTCGATGACTTTTACCATCAACGTTTTCCGAACCGTCAAGCGGCTAGGAGGTGGAGGGGACGATAGTAATGCGGGTGGTGTTTGATGAGGACGGACAAGGCATGTTCACACTGGCCTTGACAATCTAGCCCTGAGACGTTTCTCTGGCTGTTTAGTAACTATTGTAATCACATGATGGGCGCTTCGGGGGTTTGTTTGCAGCGAGATTCCAACCACACGGTACATTCATGATTAAGCCATTGTACGTACTGAGAATTGCTACGGTGACTGCTGGTCGACGCGCAAAAAAAAGCGTCGCCATCTCTCCATGGCTTTGGCGTTTATCCCAGCCAAACTCTTGTCCCTTTTTAAATGCACATTCAGACCCAGTAGCTTGAATAGCAGGCATTCTCGCTCTGGACATTGCAGCGGCGCTTGCTGTCCGTGGGAAGTCGACTTTGGCGCTAGCCTGTTTTGGTACAAAGTGGTATTTTTAGGAGGTACTTTTTGGTACATCAGGTCCCAAGGCTGACTTGACTGGTTGACTGAGACTTCACGGCTCTGGAGATCGCCTCTTGTTCGGCTACTGTCATGACTTGCCTTTGGCCAAAAGCCTCGACCGCATCTTTGTGCTGATTCCGCGCATCCCTTTGTTCCTGCGACTCAGACCCGGCTGCGTGCATCCGCACAGCTTTCCCTTGCCTGCTCGCTTTTGTGCATCGCCAACAGTTTCCTTCCGCGTGGTGCGCGCCGGCTCGAGACGGAACCACATCGCAGCCTTGGCCTACGTCCCAAGCCTGAGCTCCTGCATCGTTCCTCCAACCTGCTGCATACCTGCATACCTGCATGCCGCGCCGCAGCTTAGCCTAAACGCCTCCTTTGACCTTTCAAACCTCACTCCCTGCCCGAAGCAGTCCCTTTCAGCTTCAGCGCCAGGAGTCCAGGACGCTTCCAGGAGACATCCTCACGGCCCTTCTCGTCAGGCTTGCCTTGGCCGCCGCCGTCGTCACCGTCGCAGATCCGAGCTCTCTCGCTACCCGTGTGCTCCTTAGCCCGCACGACTCTCGACTCGAACACGGCGCTGCCTGCTCGTGACGACTGCGGCCACGCCGTCTCTCCAACATAAAGATGGCTGCACGGATGGTCAGTCCCAGCCAGATGCCTCCGGTCCCCAACAGAGAGGACATCGGGGCGACGTAAGATGCTCCTCCCCGACCGCTGCTGAACGACAAGGCATGGCTGACGTGTTGTGCATTTCAGATGGCAATATCTCCAGTCTGGCATCACTCGTATCATGAATGAACTAGAGAGGGGAATCGACATGCAAATGTACATGGGTGTCTACACGTGCGTACTTTCTTCTTCTCGTCTCGTATCGACTCGTCAAGCTGTCGCCACGGTCAGAGAGTAGTATGCTGATTTGCCATGGCACACAGCGCAGTTCACAACTTTTGCACGTCACAAAAGGCCGTTGGTCTTACCGGGCCAGCCATGCAGTCCAATCATCGTGGAGGTAAGTCATGACGCGGCAGGTCGATGCGTCTGGCGCCTTTGGCCCTCAGTTTCAGCTAACACTTTGATTCGTGCATAGCCCACCTATTAGGCGAAGAACTCTACAACAATCTCATTACCTACCTCCACAAGCACCTCGAGGAACTTGTTGAGGCATCGAAATCGCACACCGACGAGGCACTGCTGGCATACTACATCAAGGAATGGAACCGATACACCAATGCGGCAAAATACATCCATCATCTCTTCCGATACTTGAACCGTCACTGGGTCAAGAGAGAAATCGATGAAGGGAAAAAGAACGTTTACGATGTCTACACTCTCCACCTCGTACAGTGGCGCAAGGTTCTGTTCGAGCAGGTCTCGGGAAAGGTAATGGACGCCGTTTTGAAGCTGGTGGAGAAGCAGCGAAACGGCGAGACAATTGAGCACAACCAGATCAAACAAGTTGTCGACTCCTTTGTGTCCCTTGGTCTGGATGAAGCTGACATGTCGAGATCTACGTTGGACGTTTACCGCTACCACTTCGAGCGGCCCTTTCTGGAAGCCACCGCAGAATTTTACACGGCAGAATCTAAGCAGTTTGTTGCCGAAAACAGTGTTGTTGAGTATATGAAAAAGGCTGAGGCGCGACTGGCCGAAGAGGAGGAAAGAGTCCGCATGTATCTGCACCAGGACATCGCTGTGCCATTGAAGAAGACTTGCAACACAGCGTTGATTGCCGAACACTCGACACTGCTGCGGGAAGAGTTCCAGGTCCTCTTGGACAATGAGCGAGAGGAAGATATGGCGAGAATGTACAGCCTTCTCTCCAGGATTCCCGACGGTCTGGACCCGTTGCGGACTAAATTTGAAAAGCATGTGCTCAAAGCTGGTCTCGCCGCTGTCCAGAAGGTACAGTCTTCCGAAGGCGACAGGCTTGAACCCAAAGTGTACGTGGACGCGCTACTCGAGGTGCATTCACAATATCAATTATTGGTCAAGCAAGCATTTAATGACGAGCCCGAGTTCACGCGCTCGCTGGACAACGCGTGCCGGGAGTTCGTCAACCGCAACGAAGTATGCAAGGACACTTCCACAAAGTCGCCGGAGCTACTAGCCAAGTACACGGACGTCCTGCTCCGCAAGAGCAGCACCAGTATAGAAGAGGGCGACTTGGAGCGAACATTGACCCAGATCATGACCGTTTTCAAATATATCGAGGACAAGGACGTATTCCAGAAGTATTACTCCCGGATGCTGGCCCGACGTCTCGTCCATAGCAACTCATCATCGGACGACGCTGAAACTAGCATGATCAGCAAGCTCAAGGAGGCCTGCGGCTTTGAATATACAAACAAGCTGCAACGCATGTTCCAGGACATGCAGATCTCGAAGGACCTGAACAAAGACTTCCGCGGTCACCTGGAAAGCGTTGACTCGCTCAAAACCGTCGATTCAACCTTTTCCATTCTCGGTACCGGTTTCTGGCCACTGCAGGCCCCATCAACGCACTTCCACCCGCCCGTGGAAATTGCGACAGAGATTGAGCGCTTCACGCGGTTCTACAAGCACAAGCATGACGGGCGCAAGCTGACGTGGTTATGGCATTTGTGCAAAGGCGAAGTCAGGGCGGGATATTGCAAGAACAGCAAAACGCCATTCACGTTCCAGGTTTCAATCTACCAAATGGCTATTCTTTTACTATTCAACGAGAAGGACACCTACACATATGACAACATGGTCACCGCAACACAGCTGAGCACCGAGGTTTTGGATCAAGCGCTGGCCGTCATCCTAAAGGCCAAAGTGCTGTTGATGGATGGTGGCTCAGGCGAAAAGCCTGGGCCAGGGAGGTCCTTTAGCCTCAACTACGAGTTCAAGAGCAAAAAGATCCGGGTCAATCTCAATTTGGGCGGGGTGAAGGAGGCCAAACAGGAAGAGACCGAGACTAACAAGACCATTGAGGAGGACCGCAAGCTAGTCCTTCAGGTGAGCGCACCCAAATCCTGTCCACAAGACAGAGAGGTAAATGACCTTGTTCTGACATTGTACACAGTCGGCCATTGTCCGAATCATGAAGGCACGAAAGAAGATGAAGCACACGCAGCTGGTGAGCGAAACCATCAACCAGATTCGCTCGAGATTTGTCCCCAAAGTTGGGGATATTAAGAAATGTATTGAGATCCTCCTGGACAAGGAGTACCTTGAACGCTTGGATGACGACGAGCTGGGCTACCTTGCATAACGTCACACCCTGAACGCACTCACTCCTCTGCGGTGTGGACAGCATCGACGACGATTGTGGCGGATTATTTGCCACAGCACAGCATCCGATTGTATCAAGCAACCGTGCCACGGACTGCACCAGGATTGTGTAGTGCTGCATCCCGGGTTCCTCTTGTTGTATTATGTCGAGCGCGTAGGGCCTTTATGTTCCTCGCTACGAATGCACACAATCCTATCCCATGGACTGCGACTGCATTCTCGCCTCTCTGACGGCATATATCATTAGCAGGGGTGGATAGCATCCGTAGAGCATAGTGAAAAAGACAGCCACTGAACGTAGAATCCTGCGTCGTTTCAACTTGAAAGAGGGGGGATGGAAGTCCGGCCACGGTGCGGCCTGGTCCTTCTCCCTCGTATGTATGCATTTCGCTGCCTGCATGGGGTTGGACAATCGGCACTGGAGCACGATTGCATGGGGCAAAAGTACGGGACGGGTCTGTAGACAAGGCGAAGGAAGGAACAGTATGAACAACGGGAGAAGAAGAAGAAGAGGAAGAGGAAGAAGCAGCAGCAGCAGCAGCAGCAAACCAGAGAGAGGTCGCGATACAGACTTTCAGGGAAGCAATCAATACATAATGCATTACCATATATTCGTCCGCCATGAGCAACTTTGGTCCTCGTGGGTCAACATTAGTGCAACCAGTAAGTAGTCTATCAAAGTAGATTTTACAAAACCAAACCCCCAATGGCTGTAAATGCCCGTCTCGTTTATATGCGCAGTCAATAAAGCCCTTTTCCCCTTCGCACCAGCGCGACCATATCCATTACAGTACCAACCTACAACAGCACCACCAACTACTCGCTGGCTTGGACTTTGGTATCCTCCCCCCCGGGCGTCTCTGCCATGGCCATCTTCTGACTCGTCTTGGCGCCCGTGACGTCCTCCTTCTGGAACCCATTGTTCTTCGAGCCCAGCGCAGCATCCTCGTCCCTTGCGGCGTCACTCGCCTTTTCGGGCGAGGGCGACCCCGCCACGTCTTGGAAGGAATCGTCCACTTCTGAAGACCCCCCGACGGGCCGGTCAGAGGCTCTACTTGGAATACTCCCGCTGAAACTGGCGTGCGTACCGGGCCTCTTTGCGTCATCTGTGCTCGTGGACCGCGAGACGGGAGGGCTCACCATCTGGTAGTCGTTGTCAATGGGACTGGTGGCGACGGCGGGATTGTTGTGCGCGCCGGGGGAAGGCGATTTCTTGCCGCCCCAGCCAGATGCCCAGCCACCTGTTTTGCGTTTCTCTCCAGCCCAGCTTGCCCAGCTGGACATGTAGGCGGACGCTTTGGCGCCGACCGAGTTCATGGTCTGCTGGGCCCTGGCGAGATCCACGGGATACGGGGGTTTCTCCGTGGAAGACTTTTGGCCGGGCGTTTGAGCGCGGGACTCTTCTGCGCGACGGCGCTGGGATTCGCGCAGGTACTCCATGTCGGAGTAGAGCTTGTTCAACATGGTCGAGGCCTTTTCTCGACCAGCGGCAAAGTTGCGACCGAGAATGTCGCGGCCCTGCGCCAGGCGTTCGTCAAGATGGAGATCTTTGATCTGACCGGCAACACGGCGTTGAATGTCGTCAATGGTAAGACCCCCGGCACAGGGATGTTTGGGTTCCGAGACGGCGAATAGGTTCGTGTCAGTGTGAGCATCCCACATGCGATAGTTGTCGGTCTTTTTCCATGCTTCTATCCATTCGGAGCCAAAGTCTACGGCAGGATCGCTGTCGGCGGCGAGGGCAGAAGGATCCTCGCCTTGTGAAACGAGAAAATTGCGGAACTTGACGGACGATATGAGCCCCAGCATGTAGGCCTCGAACTGTGATCTGATAAACTGTTCGCTTCCGATGTACTGCATATTCTTGGGTCTGCTGGGGTTGGCTTCGTCCCATGTTTCGTTAACCTCATGGGTGAGAAAGTCTATCCATCGACGGTCTGCAGGTGTAAGGGCTAGTGCCGCCTTGAGAGATGGCGATGTGATGCTGACAGTGTTTTCGTCCAGGTTGATGAGGATGTCGCTGTGTCTGTCCTTTTGCTGGAGCAGCAGTGAATTGGTGCTGCCGACAATATATGACTTGGTGCCAAAGTCGGCCAGGACATCCAGCTGTTGCAACGGCGTATAAGGCCCAAAAAAGCCACCCTAGGAGTCGCGTCAGTTGAGATGGTTGCGGCAAAACCTGGGTATGTCTTGTCCAACCTTGCCAAAGATTTGCAGTGGGAGGCCCATAAAGGTCAACAGAGAGTTTCGATTGCTGCTCTGTAAAGTTGTGGGCTTGGCAAGCTTCTTCTCGTAGCTGTCCAGTTCGGCGTCTGCACAGTCTTCCAGATTGCGGATCAAGCCGGGTATCAGAGAAATGAGAGAAAACTGAACCATGCACAGGCGATCACATCTCGAGCCAAAGAAGAGCATCTGCAAATCATTAGAATGGCGCAACATGAAGTGCATAAAAGGCATACCTTTGGCTGCAGTAAGCAGCACTTCAACAAGACTAATGCTTGCCACTTGAACTCATGAATGAACTCACGCAGACTCATGCCCAAGTGCTGGTCACGCTCAGATTCTTCCTTCAGGAGGCCCCTGGCCTTTTCGTCAGCAAGACTCTCTTGAAACCGGCGCAAGATGTCAATGTCTGTGAATTCGCGTTGGGCAAACCATGCCTGGGTGACAATGCTGAGCCGCTCACGCAACATGCCAAAGGATTGTGGACTATCTGCAATAACAACCACGGCCTTTTGCACTGTTGATCTGGTCACATCCGCAGGGCGGTGAACTAGTTGAGACGCATCGAGCTGCCGCGTACACGATATGCCAAACAGTGATGTGGCAGGTTCAGCGTCGGTCTTTGGTTTCAATAGCGTAAAGTAAGAAAAGTCCTCTTCAGAGCTAATATCTCAGTCAGCAATGTTTTCTCCCTCCCCCCTCCCCCCCGGCCGAGGACAGTAGGGGCCCCTCTCGCTACGTACGCGTGAGCTCCGTCACTCAGCGCCATGAATGGCAACAGTGGCCAGTTATATTTGATAGCCGGATCAACTCCCTCGTCGGCACCAAACCACGTCTCCACCTCGGGTCCCCGGGCGTGATGGAATCCAACAACCGTTACGAGCGGCGAGAATCCATTGCCGGCTGGGGGGTCCGTGTTGGCGAGGCCGATGGGAGTCATTGCCGGCTCAGTATCCGCCTCATCCGGAGAGGCTAGGCCGTTTTTGCCTTTCACGTCCTCGGATGCCATCGTTTCGAGCCTTTACCGCGGCCACAAGCGTTGTTCAAAGAGCAGCTTTCCAATGCCGTAGCGCGCCATGCGCAGAAGGATTGTCGCCAATGTTCAACTCGACGATATTGATCTGCTTTCCAGCTTGCAGATGTCTCGCTCAAAGCGATGTGGCTGTCGGCCAAACGAAAATACACATAGGTAGGTGTAGGATAAGGGCCTGTCCAGCGTCGACAAGGAGCACTCGAGGGTGTCGGGAAAGCAACGTCTCGTGACGTGTCCCGCACTACAGGTTTGGAGGGCAGAGAGCGATGGAGAAACAGATGGCGGGAAACGGGAGGAGGCAAAACGAATGGTCGGCAGTGTCTCGCCCGGGGCCAGTCGATTTCTCAATGTGGTGCAAAGTATAGAATATGCAAGGTGAAGTGTCAAATGCGGCGGGGACGCGGGTGTGTGTCTGCCGGCGATATCGTTGGATGTCGCGGTGCGAGGCCGTCGCGAAGGCGCAGCGATGATCAAACGGCGGAACCAGCACGAAAGACTCGGCGGCGGCAGGTATTGTCTTGCATCTATTCACCTCCTTAGCTCGGCGCCTCGTGATGGCTCCGGTTGCAGGTTCTTGGCACTGTGAGGGAAGATGAAGAAACACCGACAACTCCCATCAAAGACCACGGAGTAGAAATAATTTCACGACCAAAGAAGCCGCCCCGCCAACGCGCCAGCCCCAAACGGGGAAACAAAGGCCCTCCGGCAGCCACACTGCTCAGTGCTCACCGGCCACTGCCAGTCACGTGAATGAATGCCGCCCCCCGCCCTCGCCCTGCAAGGACCGACTCCGACGGAATGACGCAACAAGGTCAACAAGCCGTGACGAAGTCGTGTCGACAATGACCATCTCAGATGCGACGCTCGTGGAGCTGTGGCAGCTATATTTATACATAGCTACCTACCGTCTCGCCTACCGGACTGTCTGCCGGCAGAATCTGGCCCCGACGACAGCACCTAGCCGACGGGACAACGGCTGGCGAGTCCAAACTTGAGATAGTAAGAACGGGGATTCCCCTGGGCTTTTCTTGCAAGTCGCTTTGATGCGTGGCCCGACGGGGACTAGATTCATTCGGTTTTAACACACATCATTGCCCCTGGAAGCATCACAAACACTTCACAACTGGACTATTTCTGTACAGACGACTTTCCGAGACCGTTTCCTGCGTTCCAGCCCATGTAATGACAGACCAGATCCAGGCCGATCAAGGCCAGCTGAGACGCTGACTTGGCTTTGTACCCTGAAGTGGTACTGCTGTCCATGGTATTCTTGCTTCAAGCATTACGCGTATAAGATGGCCTGCCCGCTTCCAAACGCGCAATGACTTTGCTCCAAACCAGCATCCAGCCAGATCATTCTAGCTCTATCCTCGTCATTGTCAATCGGTTGTCCCACAGGCGTCCCAATCTGCCTCCCAGCCCACTCACTATGAAGGCCACAAAGGCGTTGGCAGTGTCCCTTATATGGTTCTCATCGGCCGTATGGGTCGCAGGGGCCGAGACCGATGGATCTTGTGAATGGAGGCTAGCGCTGGACAACACACCTGAACCCAGGACCTGTAGTATTTTTCGGCGCTGCCCTGGAGAAGATTGTTTTTGCAACGGCCCTCCTTTGAGAGGACGCTGCCGGTCCTCCGTAAGTTGGACACCTGAGCATCTGACTGAGAGGAGGCTTTTTCTAATGCATCGCCGGCAGCAGGGTTAGGGCGGAGCACAGATGCTTCCTGAAGCAACGCGAAATCCTTGTTGGCGCCGAGTCTACTGGTTGCAATCGTCCTCCATTGATTCAGCTTTAGCCCGGCCGATGGTGCATCATGTCCCACGTCATGACGAGGTCGCTTTCGACCTTGAGACAAGCTGCTACGGCGCAGGCCTTGCTGGGTCTCGAGTTAGCATGGGCTCATGCGAAGGGTCTCTTTTCGGGCGGTTAGCAATGAGGCATCCAGAACTGCGCGCTTGCGTTCTCTGCGGTAGCATCATCAATCAGATATTTGGACAGCGGCAATGTATGTATGTGGTTGGCAGTAGCATATTCAGCATAGTCCTCGGCATACTTAAGTAGTCAACTTCTGATGTGGTTGGCTGGCGTGACTCATCGAAGAGCACGAATTATAAGCAACCAACTTGTTGGTTGTACAGCGTCATGTCTCGTCTGGATTCGTCATAATATCAGATATAGCGTTTCCTATTCAGAGGCTGCGGCTGGTCAGTTGCCCGCCCAAGTTGTCGCGCTCCGTTACATAGTTAGGCTACCAAGGACGATCTGGCAAGGACCAGCCAACAACTAATTCGCAAAGGGGTCGCGAGGCCACGATAGAAGCCTCCCAACAAAGGAGCTCAGTAACTACCTTGGGTTTCAGTCAAGACCTACGACACCAAAGCTGTTTATTATACTACTTTGAACACATATGTACACATTCAAACTACGCCCTTATCACACGCTTATTATCAATATAGCGGCGTGTTGCGTGCTGCGGCTTTCAGACCAGTTGCCACAATAAAAAGCGTACCTTGCGTGTAGAGAATCTAGACATGGAGGGATGAGAAAGTCGTGTAAACATCCAAAAAAAACTAGTCGTTTTCGGGGAATAGGCGTCCTGAGCATCCACGACATTATGAAAACAATAGGCAGTGGTGAGCTTGTAGCAGGTGGTTCTTGGATTGCAGTTGGGCACCGAGTACTCCGTATTTCGCGCCATAGTCTGGATGTGTCCAGATACTAGGAGTTGGAGCCTCTTGGAACGGTCCGCCTATCGCAAAATAAGGCTACTGGAAGCCAAGACCAGAGAGGCCACTTGATGACGTGAACCATATCAAGGCGGCCATCTCTCTACACCATGGAACCGATGAGCAAGGAAACGTGGGGCCCATGGTTTCAAGTCGTGGGTGCCATCTGCCGCCTTTCTGTATCTTTCATCTTGTGCGTTAAAACCGTTTGTTTGGCTCTGGAGGTGCGTACAGGATATTCGACACTCCAAGCGGAGCCCCGGGAGTTTAGGACCTTAGCCTCACTTTGTATATATGTGCGCAGCTGCATTTTAACCACGTCTTGATCGGACAGCCCAGTGAGGGCGGCGTCGAAGGGAATTCCAGTCCTGATCTCTCAGTAGTCAGTACAAGCCACTGCCGGCGCCTATGCATTGCATGAGACAAAACAACGTGCGAGCATTGTGTCGGTAACGGCCAGGGGCATGGAGGCGTCAGAAGTGCCTCCACCTTCTCGCACCCTGTGCAATCAACACACGCTGACGATTCTGTCTGCGGCAATTGCCGGGCTACCGGCACTAGCCTTCACGCCTTGCCAAAGGGAGCAGGCAGTGCGTCGCTGGGAATGCTGGTCTGTGGTGTGTGGTCTGTGATCTGTGGTCCGTGGTGCTTCCGCGGCAGACGGACTGCAGCTTCCAGCACATGAATATGATATGGTTGTCATCCTGCAGACGCCTACACGTGGACGACGCCGGCTTAACCGGACCTGTCACCACAGGGCCGACCTGAGAGCGACCACAAGGGCAAACTTGGTAGGTCAGTAACTTTGCAGACCTGTTCGGGTCCATTGGGCCACGTGTAAACCCCTGTCACGTTTGGTCAGCCAGCAGTGTCTCATTAAAGAAATGAACATGCTGATTTTGATTCTGCAAGTCGTCGATGAGTGTCCGTCTGTATTTTATAATTAGCGCAGCGAGATCAAATCAATGGGGCCTGCCTGATTGGACTCGGTAAGGCCAATAATTCCTTGCATCTTGCTGGCCTCCAGCGTAGAAACCACAGATGTTGTCCGTGGTTAAAATTGCACAAGGGGGCCCAGAACAGTTGCCGCCCCCCGGGGTCCCTGTCGTTCTCGTGGCTCGTGGATGTTGGCTGCGGACGCTGAGTGGATGATTCACTTGGCTGAACAGTCTGCCGCGGCGATCTTGTCTCTTGTCTTGGGTCCCTTGATCGTCATCTTGTCTCCCGCCCGGCGGAGCTGAGTGGCCATGCGCCGGCCATCGTGGTAACGTCTGCTAAGCCCGTCGCTCCAACCAATTCTGGGCTTCAGCACCGGGGGAGTAATGCAACGGCAATCAATGAAGCGGGCAAGCCAGTAACAAGTCTGCGTTGAATGGGCATGGAATCCTGTAGTAAACTTTGGGGCCTCGTCGCGGTCATCCACCCAAGTCAGAGCGTGCCAGAGCCAGGCCGCGAGAGCATGGCTATGATCGGGTGGTCAGCACAACTCCCTGCAGTACTCCGTAGTACGAGGTTGGTATGCATGTCCCGTCAGTGAAATATCGATATTGGCAGCTGGCGGATAAAATGCATGGCGGCCCTATGAGGAGGTGGCACCAATGCAAGCCATGATCCGCTGCGTTGAACAACGGGCTTCGAGAGGCTGCCTTGAGGGACACTTTTTTGTTTCAGGAACAGTCGTGCTTCCCTGCGCCTACGTTTTGCTTCGTTGCCGGCTGGTATTCCACGTCCATGTCTCGCCCATGGTTCGAACTAACTACTATTAGTACGGGCGTGTCTAAAACCACAAACGCAAAATTTTGTTTTCAACGGTCAGGGTCAGGGCCCAGGGGTCGAGGCAAGGTCGTCACGACGTCGTCGAGACGTTACGAACAGGCCGCAGGTGTCTGGGCGCAATTTGCAGTCCGAGGTCCTGGACTCCTGGCCGTAGGTTTGTGGTTTGTTGTGCTGAGACGACGAATGGCGTGGCGTGCCCGTCATGCAGGTAGGGTTTGGCTGCTTAGTCATGGCCGGCTAGACCAAGGCGCTTCGAGGTTGGAAAAGTGGCGGTTCCGACTCCTGGCTGCCAACCCTACCAACGTGATTGAGTGACCAGTCACGCAAATTGCCCTCCACGATGTCGTTTTTTACTCGTTCCAAAGCTCTAGCCTCGCTTTAGTGCGCCCGTCCGAACGGACATGGAGGATAACTACGTACTTACTCTGGGACCTTGTCACCCGATTGCCCTCCGGGGCCCTCTCTCGACAATCCGTACCGCTCTGCACAACGAGAGGACTCTGGGTGACATCGACTTGACAATGGTATGGGTTGTATACAGGGGTAGCGGATGATGGATGGTGCGTGCGCGGTCGGCGGTTCGTCAATCAGTTCCAAAAGAGAAAACCAATGACCAAAACGACTTGACAGAACAAGGCTAGCCGAGATTCGATCTGCCCCAGGAATAATTATGTATTTTTGTAGGCACACGGAGCATACATACACGTTCCATGGCCATGGCCCATGATAATCCAACCTCAGTCCAGCCATCTCTCCTCCTGGCAGGGCCGACAACAACATTTCTAGGCGTGTCTATCTCTGCTGATGCCTCCAGAACTCATGAGATCTGATGATATTCGCCTGGGGGCGCCAAAAAAAAAAAGGGGGGGGGCAGCAATCACACCCGTCAGAGTAGTCGTTTCGAGTGCCTTCAGACGCCAGAAACCGTCGTGGACTACATAGCACAAGGCGTGGACTCGTTTTGTGGGTGGGGACGCGGTATTGTGTCTTCTATTTACATTCTGGAACCAAGTTCAGAAATTGAAACCGCTTATTGTTGAAGTAGTAGTACTACCACGTATGCAAGATGCGCAGCGTCCTGTTCCTGTCCCTGTCGAATGCCACAAACCAGGCGCTTTGATATAAGGTCTGGTGTTGCTGCGAGTTACTCGGCTCGGGCCTTGAAGCACAGCACTTCTGGCTGCAATTGTTGTTTCCCTTGTCACATGACTATCTTTTGGTTGGGGCCCGTCCGGTAAGAAATCTGCCGGCACTGCTAATGTCCTGTCTCATCCTGGGATGTAATGAACGACCTGGCTTACGTTACCTGGGTAAGCTTGCCAGTTGGTCATGAAACGAAATAAGTACTTGCGCAAGTGCGGAGGACGCAGTAGCTGCGCGCGATTTGGCTACCTACCTAGGTACCTAGGTACTTAAGTACTTAAGTACTTACTCGAGTATCTAGGTACCTAGGCGGACGGCACTCCGGGGAATCCGGTTCCATCTCCTCTGTGCGGCAGTTGTTGATCTTCTCCCTGGCCAGCCAGGACTGATGACATGGACGGTCGGTTTTGGGAATACGTATTCCTACTTAAGTACTTACTTGACGCTCCAGATGCGTCGCTAAGACTTGTGCGAGGGGAAACCTGGCCGACGTCAACAAGGGGCATGAGGGAGGGGCATTTGAGCCGGAGCACCCATCACTCGGCTGTGCGGTGCGGGCTCACGTATCGTATCGCATTTTTAGCATTGCGCTCCGTATATAATTTTAGATCCCAGCCCGCCGTACCGGAACTGGCATCACCGCGCATTAGTCGCAGTATGCGAGGTCGGCACTCCCGATAATTGAGCACATTCACGGTTCATGGTGTCCGTGAGCATGGAATTCGGCAAACATGGCATCTGGCCCATTTGTCCATTCGTCTCAAGCCTGCAGTGGGCCGGGACTTTTGGGCATATGATGGCGACTTGCGCTGGAAAAAATCATGGCGTTATCCATCGATTGCCTGCGGCCGCAACGCATCTACAAGTCAACGATACCGTCCGTACTGAGTTAAGTAAGTAGGTACTTAGGTACTTAAGTACGTAGTGAGCTTCCAAGTCATCATCCAAGAAGTACATAAAAGTACCTAGTTACATTCGCGTTTTCCCCTCTTTCCATACCACCAGGTTTCACCTAAAGTAAGTATTTTAGGTAATAATTAATACTCGGTGTTTTGCCTGATTGCAACACCCTCGTCATTGCCACTTTGGCCGTTCCAGCTTCGTATGTGCGGCGTATGTGATGCAGAAATTATTTCCCTACTGCCTCGCGGCACATGTGGTCTTGGACCAACAACCACCTGACCACGTCAGCTAGCAAGTTCCCAGTTGAAGGCGCCGTGACATTGAGGAACATTGCTCGAGGACAAGCTTGGGGGGGGGGGGGGCCCCACTCGCCCAAGGCCCGTCGCTTGCCACCCGCCAGGCCATTTGCACTTTCAAGTACTACCGAGTAACGACTTCGTCGCTCATCATCGAATGCTCACCATCAAACCACAAAACCACAAAAACCGCCCGCCTAATCCTTCCCCTGTCGTTTCCACGTCAATTGGTCTGGCCTCTCTACCTAGATCCCCGTCCCCGTCCCCGTCCCTGTCCCCGTCTCCGTCTCCGTCTCCGTTCTCATCCTGCTCCCTGGTCATTCCTCGAGCTGTCGTCCTCTCGGCGTGCCGCCCACCTAGCTGTCCTGCCTTTGCTGCTACTCGCATGAAAGTGCCAGAAGGCCAGAGCGCCAAACTACTGGTAAATTACTAGGACTCGAGCTGGCAGGTAGGAGCTCCCTTCGCTGACAGTTTAGCTCGGTGGGCCTGACCTTGTTACGAGGCCTTCGGTAGTAGTTCCTCGTGAATATCCGCTACTCCCGTCGTTGTTGCTCGCTGCTCCTGGCGTTTACCATTGCTACCAACGCATCGACTCTCCCCGGTCCCAACCTTCACCAGCGACGTAAGTACACAAGCCACTCTGTCAGGAGAAACGAACGCTCCGGCTATTCTTATCCCGCAGCCTCGTTCTCGAGCATTTACAATATCGCCAGTTCCACCCGCCCGTGACCCATCTCGGGGTAAGCTGGCCCCGCAAGATAGTGGCCTAGCTGAGTGAGGGAGAATCGAGACAACATAGTAACCACCAGGGGAGTTGGTAGATCGTTGAAACTTGATACTATCCGACAGCCTCGCCACCGTCGCACACCACCGACCGAGCCCTCTTGTGGGCCGAGCTGACCTGGGCTTCTCGTTGATGCCTGTCGACACAGATTTGCCGTACTGGCCACCGCGACGAATCGACGACAGCAATGTGTGGATAGTGGCATCAATCAGCGACAACCATTGACTCTGAAACCCCGCCAGCTGCTGGTGTTGAGCCTCCTTCGTGCCTTGGTGCCGGCGTGGGAAGCGTCGAGGAAGAAAAGTCTTCGTCATGGGTGGGTGTATGAGCTCCAACAGTGAGGAGGCGGAACAGAAGAAGAAGAGTCAAGCCATCGACAGAGTAATAGAGGAGGATTCAAAAAGGCTACGGAAAGAATGCAAAATATTGCTTCTAGGCAAGCCAACCCCTTCCCCTTTTCGGGCGGAACCATGATACTCGGCCGTTGCACCCTTTAGTCGTCAGCTAACCATTGCTTGAGCAGGATCTGGCGAAAGTGGCAAGTCTACTATCGTCAAGCAGATGAAAATCATCCATCTTAAGGGATATTCAGAAGATGAATTGTATAATTATCGACCCACCGTGTTCAAGAATCTTGTCGAATGCGCCAAGGCCGTCATCACCGCCATGCAACAATTCGACATTGTGCCGCAGTTCGAAGACAATAAGCGACATATTGATTACTTGATGGAATATCAAGCTGAATCCGGCCCGCAAGCACACATTGACCCCCAAGTCGGCGTAGCTATCCAATCACTGTGGGCCGACCCGGCGAGTGAACGTTTGATGGAGCACCAGACCGAGTTCTATTTAATGGATTCCGCGGAATAGTAAGCAGCGTCTCTGTCGCCGAATTCCTAGACCGTCCCTAACAGAGTTGTCGATAGCTTCTTCCAAGAAGTGTTACGAATCGTTGCGCCCGACTACCTGCCGAACGAAATGGATGTGCTGCGAGCTCGCACTAAGACCACTGGCATATACGAAACGAGATTTCAAATGGGCCAGTTGAGTATCCAGTGGGTCAACACTTGAACACTTCCTCCCATCAAACCGCATTACTGACTTCCAGATAGTATGTTCGATGTCGGTGGGCAACGAAGCGAAAGAAAGAAGTGGATACACTGTTTTGAGAATGTTACGTCAATCATTTTCTGCGTCGCTCTTTCCGAGTATGACCAAGTTCTCCTTGAGGAGAGCAGCCAGGTGAGCCAATATTCATACACGGAGTGTCATGGGCTTCCAAGACTGATCTCTAGTGTTAGAACCGTATGATGGAAAGTTTGTTGCTGTTTGATTCCGTGGTGAATTCGCGCTGGTTCATGAGGACCAGTATCATTTTGTTCCTCAACAAGGTTGATATTTTCAAGCTCAAGTTGACACGATCACCATTGGGAAATTATTTTCCAGACTATTCTGGAGGAAATGACGTAAACAAGGCCGCAAAGTATCTGTTGTGGCGATTCAATCAAGTGAATCGAGCACATCTGAATCTATATCCTCAGTAAGTCACGTCACCTTGCTCAGATATTACGCAAATGTTGCGCTGACAACCAAGTCCAGCTTGACGCAAGCTACGGATACCTCAAATATTCGACTCGTCTTTGCGGCTGTCAAAGAAACAATCTTAAACAATGCTCTGAAGGACTCAGGTATCCTATGATGGAGACCGTTGTACTCACTATGTTCACGATTTGAGCAAGCAGGCTACATGATGCTGGCGTCCTAGAGCATATCTTGGAGTTTTTTGATTGGGGAAGGGGGTGGCGTTGCTATTTACGTAGGTTAGGATGCCCATGGACACGGCTTTCTTCTGTTTTACTTGCTTCACGACCTGGCCAGTACAGATGGCTACATTAATCTACCCAGCCATGGCTACGATTGCCAGGGTACCGAGCCTCCCCCTTCCCATTCGACGGACCTCACCATGTCGCAGGTGCACACGCTTATTTGGTGTGCGCCCTTCAACCTTTTGTGGTGTTTCGCGAGACAACTACAAGGAGAAAAGGACGACTTGAATGGTGACAAGACTATGCCATTGAGAGGACTTCGGATAATTACGAAAGTTTTTTGAGGACTGAAATGACGACATGTTTGATATGACTATCCGAAGGGCGAGTTCTCTACATTTCGGATGTTACGGAAATATCGGGGCCCCTGGATAAGGAAAGGCCAAGGCTCGCTGTTGGTGTCAAAAAGAGAGAAAAAAGAGGAAAGCCAAGGTGTTGAATAATTTACAGAATTGGACAAGGCGTTGACGGGAGTGACCAAATGCCACAAAATGTGCGCAGAAGAACGGTGACGACAACAGTAGCTTTTGGGCGGCATGGAGCAAGATAGGTTCGGACATCCCAACCGTGTAAAAGTGCCAGCATAATGAAAATCATTTGGAACGACTGTTTGGGTTGTGGTGCTTCTTGCCACCGCCTTGTTGCCCTATTTTATTTTTGTGGCGTCTCTTGTATTGAGAGACCTGAAGACATGTTGGACCGGTTCGGGCATCGTCGTTGGCATATGTTAGATGCCTACCCTATAAGTAGGCGCCCGGATAGACCACATTTGAATGCAGCTTCGTAAAACTTAGTACCCAAGACAGTTGCGGGACCGCTCGTGACCGCATCGAGCTTCGACGAGCTCCCTGAGTCTGGTCTGGATCAGACGATCAGACAACCCTCATCGCGCTGTTCTGGCACGGCTTAATGTCTCCACAAACGACATACATAAATAACTTTCAATCGTATATTACCTCGACAGAGCTACAAGCGCCCAACTGCAACGAGAGTAGACGGGAGGAAATGGGGTTAGGGTAGCAGATGACGTCTGCATGCCTGTGTACCCGCTTAGAAAGAGGGGAGGTGGTGCGGGATGGCAAAGAGCACGGAACAGCACGATGAGGAGGCACATCTCTCGATGCACGCCAGGCCAGCTTGAATTGCTGCGTTTGGTTCAATGTTACCGCTCCAGAGTGGCTGGGCTACGGAGCACACCACCAGTGCATGTACGATGGCGTTCCCAGGTTCGGCGTGTCAATCCGATGGCTGATTGCTGCCCTTTTCGCGTTCAATGTTTCCCCTCTCTTGCTGGCGTTGCTCTTTATCTCCCCTGGTCAATTCGCCGAGCCGTCTACTCCGTACGTTTTCTAGCTTTCATCCGGCTCGTCCGTCTCCTCAATTTTTCTTCTGTACATCAGGGAGGTTCAAATAGCCCCCCGTGAGCTTTTCTTGAAGCGTCTTGTCCAAACGGCCAGAGGCTCGCCATCATCGTTCCTTCCGTGCTCCGCTTCACCACCCCGCTTTCCGTCTTGACTCGACTTTCTTCACCCACCAGTGCCACCACCCAGCCCAGTTCCCAGTTGCCTCGCTTACCCCACCAGAGCTCCCCCGCAGCTGCAACGGGCAGTCATTATTACTAGTAGCGTTGAACCTGGGGCTTGAGGCAAGGTCGAAGCTCTTCCCATTCCGGGGACATTTTCCCCATGTCCCTGAGACTGTTCAAATGCAATTGAAGCCCGGGAATTCCGTCGTCTTGAAAAAACATTGGCTAATTTTTTTTCTTTCAAGAAAGCTTGAACCTCGTAGACGTCGACACCATGGCCACAGAACAGCGACTGCCGACGAGGGAACGTCGTCCCTCGACTTCAGCACCCATTGTGGATATTACTGGCGGCGTTGGGCCTGCTGGCATCTCTCGTCCTAAGCACAAGAGGACCTTTACGGGCTTTGGGGCCGGAGAGATTAGGAGCGTTGAAGGTGAGTGAGTCGTGTTGTAGTTTCTCCTGCCGATTGCACAACGTAAGACAGATTGTACTAGATTTTGTCCCCTCGTCATTGTTTCACGTTTCACACACGCACCCATGTCTCTTGCAGACTGCAGCTAACCCGTCGACTCACAGCCTCCATCCCCGAGCCTCAGCGGGAGGCCTGGAAGCGAAACCAAATAGCCAGCTTCACAGACAAAGACGGGTTCGAGAAGGAAGTCGTGCGCCATGTGGAAACTACCCTCGCCCGGAGCATGTTCAACTGCGACGAAATCGCGGCCTATTCGGCCACGAGCCTTGCCTTCCGCGACCGTCTCATCACTCACTGGAACAAGACGCAGCAGCGTCAGACATACGTCGATAGCAAGAGGGTGTATTACTTGAGCTTGGAGTTTTTGATGGGTAGGGCCCTGGATAACGCTATGCTGAATGTCGGGCTCAAGAACATCGCCAAAGGCATGTGGTGAATTCTTGCGCTTTGCACTGTGTTTAACATGAAAGTGTGCAAGTGGCTGACTTTGTTTCTGTTCGGCTAAGATGGCCTTTCTGAGCTAGGTTTCAGAATCGAAGACGTTGTCAAGCAAGAGCACGATGCCGCCCTCGGGAATGGTGGTTTGGGCCGTTTGGCGGCCTGCTTCCTCGACAGTTTGGCCACGTTGAATTTCCCTGCATGGGGCTACGGCCTGCGATATCGCTACGGTATTTTCAAGCAAGAGATAATTGACGGTTATCAGGTCGAAGTGCCTGATTACTGGTTGGATTTTAACCCATGGGAGTTCCCCCGTCACGATGTGACCGTAGACGTACGTTTCTTTTCCCTTTCCATTTCCTGATTCACCACCTCGCTAACCATGAAGCTATCTGTAGATCCAATTCTTCGGTCAGGTCAACAAGAAAACAACTGGCGGGAGAACTATATCCGTCTGGGAAGGCGGCGAAATAGTCCGAGCTGTAGCTTACGATGTCCCAATCCCAGGCTATGACACTCCGACCACTAACAATCTCCGTCTTTGGTCGAGCAAGGCCTCTGGTGGCGAGTTCGACTTCCAGAAGTTCAACAACGGCGATTATGAGAGTTCCGTGGCCGAACAACAGCGTGCAGAGACTATCAGCGCGGTGCTGTATCCCAATGATAACCTGGAGCGCGGTAAGGAACTGCGTCTGAAGCAGCAGTATTTCTGGGTGGCGGCGTCGCTGTATGATATTGTGCGCAGATTTAAGAAGTCACGGAGGCCGTGGAACGAGTTTCCTGACCAAGTGGCTATTCAATTGAATGACACGCATCCCACGCTCGCGATTGTGGAGTTGCAGAGGATTCTGGTCGATATTGAAGGTTTGGAGTGGGATGCTGCGTGGGAAATCGTCACGGGCACTGTAAGCCTTCCCCTCTTGTATCCGTTTGCATCATGTTTCTGAGTGACAACTAACGAGGGTCAATTTAATAGTTTGGATACACCAATCACACTGTCCTCCCGGAAGCCCTCGAGAAATGGCCCGTCGGCCTCGTCCAGCACCTGCTCCCCCGCCATCTCCAAATCATCTACGACATCAACTTGTTCTTTTTGCAGAGCGTAGAAAAGGCTTTCCCTAGCGATAGAGAAATACTCCGCCGGGTCTCTATCATTGAGGAATCTCAACCCAAGATGGTGCGCATGGCGTTCCTAGCCATCGTCGGCTCTCACAAGGTCAACGGCGTTGCAGAGCTCCACTCAGACCTCATCAAGACCACCATCTTCAAGGACTTTGTCGAAATCTACGGCCCGGACAAATTCACCAATGTCACAAACGGCATTACCCCGCGCCGCTGGCTGCATCAAGCCAATCCCCGACTGTCCGAACTGATTGCCTCCAAGTGCGGCGGCAACGAGTTCCTTAAGGACCTCACTCTGCTTAACCAGCTGGAGAAGCACATTGGGGACAAGAAGTTCCGAAAGGAGTGGGCAGAGATCAAGTACGCCAACAAGGTGCGTCTGGCGAAGCATATCAAGGATACCACTGGCGTGGTTGTCAACCCTGCCTCCTTGTTTGACGTGCAGGTCAAGCGTATCCATGAGTATAAGCGTCAGCAGCTCAACATCTTTGGGGTAATTCATCGGTATCTGACCCTCAAGGCCATGACACCAGACGAACGGAAGAAGCAGTTGCCGCGCGTGAGCATCTTTGGCGGCAAGGCTGCGCCGGGGTACTGGATGGCCAAGCAGATCATCCATCTGATCAACTCAGTGGGCGCGGTGGTGAATAAGGACGAGGACATCGGTGATTTGCTCAAGGTTATCTTCTTGGAGGATTATAATGTGAGCAAGGCGGAAATAATTTGCCCTGCTTCGGATATTAGCGAGCACATCTCGACCGCCGGTACAGAGTATGTATGCCTCTGCCACACATCGGTTTCGTCCCAGGAACCCGGGTCCCGAAAGGTCCTCCTTGAACGAAGTTGTACTGACTTTTCAAAGGGCGTCTGGAACCAGTAATATGAAGTTTGTCCTCAACGGCGGTCTCATCATAGGCACGTGTGATGGCGCAAATGTATGTCTCTAACCCTGCAAATATTCCATGGGTGCCCGCAGACCTGGCTCTAACGGCAGCAGATTGAGATCACGCGTGAAATCGGTGAAAGCAACATCTTTCTCTTCGGCAACCTCTCCGAAGATGTTGAAGACCTCCGCCACGCTCACAACTACGGCTCCCACACCATCGACCCGGACCTCGACAAAGTTTTCAACGAGATTGAAGACGGCACATTTGGCAACCCGCACGACTTCAGCGCCATGATTGCAGCTGTCCGCCAGCACGGTGATTATTATCTCGTGTCGGATGATTTCCACAGCTACATTGAGACGCATCAGCTCGTAGATGAGGCGTATCGCAACCAGGATGGGTGGATTGCGAAATGCATCACTTCAGTTGCTCGTATGGGCTTCTTCACCAGTGACCGGTGTATTAACGAGTACGCCGAGGAGATTTGGAACGTTGAGCCGCTTGCTGTTGACAGGCGCTCATTTTGACTTGGGGCGAGTAGTTATAATCTGAGGCAACCGCTGACTGCCCAGTTCTCACCAATGCAGCGAGAGGGGAATGTTCTATATTTCAGGAGGATATGAACGATCTTTTTTGGCCTTTTTTTTTTTTTTTTTGAACGAAAGTATTTGGATAAATAGCTCAACGAATGGGCTAAACAACACACATGCCCGATAGATGCACTCGTATGAACTACACATGCATGAAATACTCGACCATGTTGGGGCTGTCCGGTGGCTTCCACTAGAGTGTTGCGAGTTGCAGCAATGGCTGGGTGCTCGCAGTAGGCAGCACCGACTTACGAGGGTTGACAACAATAGGCTCGCGGCCCCAGCGATTGTGGCTTTGTTAGTTGCCAGGCCAGGGACCTGATTTCAATAGGCGTTTCCAAAAAGCGGCCCGTAAGCCCACGATGTTGGCTTGCCTCCAATCAATTTTCCCGTGTCAAGGGAATCGTGTTGTGACGGTGGCATCAGATTGTTTGCGATGGGTTGCCGGAGCATTTCGTCCCTAACCGTTCGGCCCGCTGCGCCGATTCTGCACTCAGCCGGCGATGAAGGATGGCAGTGTAGATCGGTGGACGTTGCCGCCGTTAGCGGAATACAAGTATCTCGGCATGGAGGCCAGGGTGACGAGAGACATCCCCTTGGCTGGGATGGTGTTAGTCGCCTCCGATCTGAGAGTACCGCATGGACGCCAGGGGATTGGCGCCCAGGTGCCTTGGAAATTTGGGTTCGGAGCGGGAGCAACTAATAAAAATGCGTCTGCAATGTCGGAGTCGGGTCCCTGCTCTGCGGGCCGTGGACAATTTGGTTGAACGAATCGCCGTGTGCCACCGTGGACACACACAAGAATGCCATTTTTTTCGGACATGCATGTTTCGCTTGTCGTGGGGCAGCCCCTCATGATGAAGTTCGGCTGGGGGCCGTGTGGCCGTGTGGCCGTGTGGCCGTGTTTGTGATCGGGAACACGGGCGATGACGTAGCAGCCTCGTGTGCCAGTGTCAGTCTGCTGCGCATCCCCTTGCCCTGCCTGTGGCGGGGGAGGGGTAGGTGGGCATATTCGAATGCGTCATGAGAAATCGACGTGGCAGATGGTGATTCTCAGCCATCCGGGTCTCGTCGACACAGAATTGCATTCGAGACTGTCGAGTGACCACTGCCGCTGTTAAAGTCCACTGTCAAAGTTGGCTAGGCTAGGCTGGTCCCCAAGGCTAGTCCAGGCCGACATTTCCAGGTTAGTATGATGCGGAGGGTTGACGGTAACGACGTGCAGATTCGAGCATCGTCGGGTCGGGGGCTCAGGGATTCCCGAATCAACGTCAATGCCGTCCCAGGTGCTCCGGGCTGGCAATGACGCGGTGTTCTGTGCGACGAGATATGCACCTCGAGATTTGGCTGTCGCTGTTCTTGTCGTTATAGCTCAAGGTGTCCCTTCTCTTCTTTCCGGCAATCCCGCCGATACGTGTCTGGGTGAAGGGGCCTGGTTGTCGGTTAGCATGAAGCGGCGGAGTTGATCGTCTGAGCGACAGGTACTTGGTACTCACTTAGTAAGTACCTAGGTACCTACTTAAGGTAGGTTAGGTACCTAAGGCAGGTGCCTAGTAGAGATGTTATCGGGCAGGTAAGTAACCTTGCCCCTACGACTTCCAGAGGAAAGAGCAAGCATGCATGAGCACTTGCCGCTGGTGCCGTCATGGTGCATTTTCACGGCACCTGCTGGCTGGCTGCTGGCAATTCTGAAGCGGAGTGAACTCGGCAGCCACCAGACGGGACATGGGATGCTCAAGTCATGGTTCGCCAAGAACAATGCCAATGTTTTGTCCTCTCGACACTCCCTCGATGGATGTCCTTGCCGCCCTCGACCAGATCTTCGCACCCGGCACCCGCCGTTGGCGACATTGGCCGGGAGCTTTCGCATCGGGGCATAAGGTTAATGCCTTCGGCCTAGCGTTGTTTTGCCAAGCGGCTTTTCTCGTCAACATCAGCATCAGCATCTCACCTGGGGCTTGTGATGCGGCATCTCGCGCATTGCTGGCACATGCACAAACACCAACGTGCTCCAGACTCCAGTGCCTGGGATCTCGATCGACGGTCCACTCGAGGAGGGCCTGGCTCTCTCCACGGCCATGTGTATTCACACGGACACTTGACACTGGCCGAGCTAACAGGCACGCACGCCCCCAATGCAATGCAAAGCCCAATAAGCCGTCTTTACCAATGGTCTGGCTAGTTGAGCGGAGACGCCTCCGGAGCCCATCTCATCAACCAATGCGGCCACGGCCACGGCCACGGCCACGGTCACCATGCTGTCCTTGGGCCGCTCGGGTCTGGTTCTCTCCTGCTGGATGCCAATGAGCAAAGCCCAACCGAGACGGATCCAAATATTGCGACATTATATCGCCCTGTTTTCGCACCAGTCGTTGTTTTATATACTCCCCTCCTCCCTCCCTCCCTACGTGGCCGTCGACCGTCCATTGTCGCTTGAGGTCTGAGGATCCACGCCTCAGTTACTCTTCAGCCTTCTCTGCATCACGACGGTGGTTGCGGTTCCCGACTGAGCTCGAGGTTCTGGAACAGCGACAACAGGCCCGCGGCATCTTCAACGTTTGTGGCCAAAGCTCGGCGACTCCTGTCCGCAAGAAACAGTACTTGCTCTCCGAAGAAGGCTTCAACCATGATTTGTTGACACGGGCCGGACTAACACGCGCACAGTTTTGGTCGTCATCTCGAAGCTTCACCCACCGTCACTGCCTATACTCTCACAGCCTACAGGTGCGTAACGTGTGTTGCCGTGAACGACAGAAACAACCCGAACAAACAACTAGACCGAGCTCCCTTGCACTGAGAGCTTTGGACTGGTCTGACGACTTTGCCGGTTTGTCCCACCCTCTTGCATCCACCTGTCTGGCAAGCATCCATCAAGGCGACAGAATTCGTGCTCTGGGGGGAGCTCAAGCTACGTGCCCCTCAGCGCTTTGCGGGCACGGGCTAGTTCGCAGCAATTTGCAGCCAACTGGAAATGAAGGGCCCCCAAGGCTCTAGATCCAACGTCGCACCATTGCGCCGCTGTATGATATGCCAATTGCGAATCCTCGAAGCATTGGTTCCCTGTGCTGCCAGGAGAGGAGGGACAATGCACCTGCTGGGAGCCGTTTAGTGAACGGTGAGCAAGAAGTCCCAAAAAAAAAAAACAAAAAAAAAAACGAGGCCGTCCCGTTGGCACATCAAGGCCACCTACCACGCAAGTAGACTGCTCCACAAAGGCACCAAGTAGGGTCCCTCATGCCAGGCCTGACAGTTGGGACATGCTCACCGACATGGACATTGACAGTAAATGTACTCCGTACGGAGTACACACGCACATTTGATGCTGGGTCCCTGTGGATGATTGCCATTGACAGCTTAGTGGCGCCGCAAATACGTGCGACTGGGGCCGACGCTCCCCCAGACCGCAGAGCTTCCCACGCTTTGATCCAACCCCTCCGTCGATTTGACTTCTCTCACTCGCATCACCTCGAGGCTGCACTCGCCATCAGCCCCCCTCCGCTCCGTCATATCGCCATTGCTGACAACCTGACAGCTCTCTTGTTCTGCCAGTACAGCGACCGAAGCAAGTGCCTCCCCGAACGCGCCACCTGGCTTGCCCCGCTCCTCCATCTGCACTGCGACAACATTCGATTTCCTTCCTGCGACGAGCGAATCGCTGCCTGCCGGACGTAAACCACGGCACACAGCATTTCGTCCAGACTGCGCACACCCCGGAGACCGACCGAGCGACCGGCCGATTATTCAGGCCTTGTGGATAGTCGCAACCCATCACTTGCCGCCTCCGCCATTGCAGCGACCTGGTTGTCCCCTTCTCACCACCCAACCCCGCCGTCGTCTCGAGGTTCAACGCACCACGGTGTGCTGACCGCAACAATGGCCGAGTTCGTACGCGCCCAGATCTTCGGCACGACTTTCGAAATCACGTCCAGGTAGGCCAAGTCTTCTACAGAGCAGCCCGACATCTCACAAGCCGGCTCAGCGTGTTTGTTGTGTGCTGACTGGCCTCTTAGATACTCCGACCTTCAGCCTGTGGGCATGGGAGCATTCGGTCTGGTTTGGTAGGTGCACCAGTTGGGCCTCGTAGCCATGATATTCATGTGGCTGACTCGCCACCCGCCAATAGCTCCGCGCGGGATCAACTCACAAATCAAAATGTTGCTGTCAAGAAGATTATGAAACCATTTAGCACCCCGGTTCTCGCCAAGCGGACGTACAGGGAGTTGAAGCTGTTGAAGCATCTCAAGCACGAAAATGTATGCCGCTTCTCAAGACTAGCCCTGGACTTGATCACGCTAACCCTTGGCCACCAGGTCATTTCTTTGAGTGACATCTTTATTTCCCCCTTGGAGGATATGTATGCGCCGCCCTTTGAAGGCCATTATAATGGACGTACTAACCTGCTATGCAGCTACTTTGTCACCGAACTCCTTGGAACAGACCTACATCGACTTTTGACCTCAAGACCACTGGAGAAACAGTTTATTCAGTACTTTTTGTATCAAATCATGGTATGTAATCAAGCAACTTCGGGCTCCTTGAAGTTGAACTGACAAGTGTATAGAGAGGCTTGAAATATGTTCACTCGGCCGGCGTCGTACATCGTGACTTGAAGCCTAGCAACATTTTGGTCAACGAAAATTGCGACCTGAAAATCTGTGATTTTGGTCTTGCCCGGATTCAGGACCCCCAAATGACTGGATATGTCTCGACGCGATACTACCGAGCCCCTGAAATCATGCTCACGTGGCAGAAATATGACGTCGAGGTAGATATATGGAGTGCAGGCTGCATTTTTGCTGAAATGCTCGAGGGCAAGCCCCTATTTCCCGGCAAAGATCATGTCAACCAATTCTCCATCATTACTGAGCTCTTGGGCACACCCCCCGATGACGTTGTCAACACAATTGCCAGCGAAAACGTACGCTTTATGCCTTGTCCTTTCGCCAATTGTATCATTTACACCTGTTGCTAATGTCTTCAAACCTAGACGCTGCGATTTGTCAAATCTCTGCCCAAGCGAGAACGCCAACCATTAAAGAACAAGTTCAAGAACGCTGACGCCTCAGGTAAGAATGGCTCTACATCATGACCATTTTGAGATGGGATGCCTAATCGTGTGCTGTAGCAATCGATTTACTCGAGAAAATGCTCGTGTTTGACCCCAAGAAGAGGATAACGGCTACTGAAGCGCTAGGGCACGAGTACTTGGCCCCATATCACGATCCAACTGACGAACCGGTAGCTGAAGAGAAGTTTGACTGGAGTTTCAACGATGCAGATCTACCCGTTGACACGTGGAAGATCATGATGTATGTAGAGCCGCTCCACTCACGAGCGTTATGATGGGCTAATCTGTAATGCAGGTATTCCGAGATCCTTGACTACCACAACGTGGAGGCTGGCGTCGCCGCTATGGATGGTCAGGAGTTCAATGGGCAATAAGTCGATGGGCCGAGTAATTCATATGCGCTAGCATTGAGGGAGCGAATGGTTGGATACCTCGTCGTTCAGACGACGTCATACACATCAACATAAGAGTACAAAGACGGTGCTTGGAGCGCCATCACATCTATTCCTACAAGATACGCGCCAGCAATGTATGGAGTGTGGGAAAGCAAGAGAGCCTGGAGATGTGCTTGTGGTGCTTCGGAGAGGTGTCATTAGTATCCTTTTATGGCGTTTGGGAGACTGGTGGGCGGGGACAGTCATATATTGACATCCTTTTGTACAAGGTCCCTGGAATTGCCGAAGCTCACTACACTAGCACGGCGCTCTTCAGGAATAAAGTTATTATGGGGGGGCTTCTGCATCAGCGGTTGTGATTTAGCATGTCCGCTGCATGTAGGATACTGGACCAACCAAGCCGTCACACGGATCGGCTCAGCACGTTGTGCGCATTTGCATGCGATAGCATATTCTGAGCGGCGGCCAAATTCACGCTGCTGCGAGACGTATGAGGAGCATTAGCATCGGGGACCTCGTTCGAAGTAGGACAACTAATTTTCATGAAATTGTGTCGACACGCAAAGATCGCAACCATCCAAATAGGGTCCTCATATAGGTGAAGCTCATGCATACGCCGTTACAATATCCCCGGAGGCCATTGTGCAAATCTGCTGCTCAGGTTCAAATCAATGCCAACCAACCAAAAGCCTGTATGATGCCATGAATGCCAGTCTATCTATGCAAAGATTGACACGCTAATTCCACCTGTTTCGGCTTTTTTCTTACTCCTCCAAGAGCTCTTCAAGCTCCTCCATTTCACCACTGTGGTAGACCATGTCATAGAATTGGCCTTTTGCGTCAAAGAGTTCCCTGGGAGAGCCGTATCTGAAAGGCAAAGGGAGAAAGAAAAACGCAGGTCAGCAACGGCGTAGCTTGGCCGCGATGAACGCAAGGAAGCAACAACTTACTCCAGGACTCTGCCGGCGCTCATGACGACCACCTTGTCATAGTCGATGATGGTACGAAGACGGTGGGCAATTGTGACGAGGGTGCGGTTGTCATCGTCTGCTTCGAGGTCGTCACGGAGAATTCGCTGGATACCACGATCCGTCTCGTAGTCCATGCTGGCGGTCGCTTCGTCGAGCAGCATGAGTTTGCTCTTGCGGATCAATGCGCGACATAGAGAGAGGACTTGGCGCTGGCCGTGGGAGAAGTTCTCCCCGCGGGCGTCTACCTCGGTCGACAGCGTGATAGCCTGGGCGTGCCCGCGGATGGCGGTGTCGGCCTCGTTCTCGTCTTCTTCCGTCGCATTGCCGGAGAAGGAGGCGACGCCTTTGCAGTTGTCGAGAGCGGCTTCGAGCTGCTCCCGTGGAACCCGGCCTGTGGGATCAAGATTGGACTCTACTGATCCGCTGAAAAGGACTGCTTCCTGCGGGATGATGGTGAGGCTTTTCCGAAGGCGGGTTCGGGGGAGTTTCGTAATGTCTACGCCGTCGAATAGAATCTCACCAGATACAATGTCGGTGAAGCGAAGAAGCGACAGTACGAGCTGGAAACGGTCAGCATCGAATATTCCTGACGGACGACCCTTTTTTTGGAATACTCAACGTACCGTGCTCTTGCCAGATCCGGTTCGGCCTACGACGGCAACCCGTTCTCCGGCGTTGAACTTTAGATTGATACTGCTCAGGATGTCGGGGCCATCGGGATCATAACGGATCGTCACGTTTCGAAACTCAACCTCCCCGGATCGGGGCCAGTCTTTTGGAATCACGTGAGTCTCGTCATCAACGTACTCGGCTTCACCTTCATCCGGATAAGGCTTGTCGTCCTTGTCTTCGGGTTCCAGCTTGACGTACTCCTTTACTCGGTGGAACTGCGTTTCTTGATTAGCGAGGCTTCTGCGCGACGGGATTCATAGCTTTTTGGGTCTCGCAACATACACTTTGCATCTCAACTTCGAGGTCGTTCATGGCTCGGACCATATAGAGGACGGTATTACTAAGGTCGTTGGCATTGGTTAGAGAGAAGCCGACCAAGCCTGCGCCGACAATGCCTGCTTTAGAAATGGCAATGATGCCGGCAAAGAGTGAAACAAGGGAGGTGACGAAATCTATCCGGACACCGACCCATCGGTTGCAATTGTAGTTGGCCTCGGCTGTCGCAGACCATACACGGAGCTTGTCCGCAAGGTCGAATCTGAACCCCTGGGCCTTGCCCTTTCTGGCTCGAATAACGGCGAGGCCGGAAAGGGTGTCGGCAAACTGCGAAAATACGGGAGACTGCGAGGACGATGTGAGACGCTTGATGACGACGGCGGTTCGCGTGTACATTTCTCCAATCAACACACCAATAAAGCAGGTAAAGAGTCCAGGAATCATGAAAATGGGCATGATGGAGCTGACAGCACCCAGCCGGAAGAAGAGCATCATGAATATGTCCATGATCTGACGAACCATGCCACTGAGATTGCCGTCAATCGATGCCATATCGCCGGAAAATCGGTTGGTAATTCGGCCCACGGGAATGGTCTTGAACCAAGACAGGGGAACACTTATGATGCTTCTAATAAAGTCATTATGTAGACGTCGGGCGGCACGCCAGCCACCCCACTCAAATGTGATGACAATGAGACCAAAAGCGATGATCTCGAGAAAAATGAATGCGGCAAAGATGCTCAGATAATAGGCAGCGTCGACCGGCCTGCTCTTCTCGTACGCTTCAACCCAAATGAACAACCAGAAATTGGCACCAAAATAGAAGATATTGGCCAGAAACAAACCAAGTATGCAGGCAACGGCGAACAATGGGTGGCCAAAGTATCCCATGTAGCCAATCATGGTCCATCTGGTAACTTTGCCTGACGCCTTGGCTTCCTGGTCGACGACGTCCTTGACTGGCACGTCCTGGGCAATCTTGTCTGGGTCATTCAAAGCGTCTGATGTGGCTTGCAGATCCGGTTCCGGAGGTGTTTCCACGTCGGTTTCGCTGCTGTCATCAGCGTCGCCTCCGAGGACCTCAGCAATCTTGATGGGTCGGCGCACGACCCCAATGTTGGGCTCGGCCGACTTGACCTGGCCCTTTTCCAGCAAGATGGAGAGGTCGGCCTGTGCGGCAATCCATGGAACCTGAGTAACAAGGACCACGGTGCGGCCCTTGAGCAATTCACCACAGAAGCAATGTTTCCAGACGCCAGCAGAAGTCTTCGCGTCTAGGGCGGCGAAGATGTCGTCAAGCAGCAATAAGGGAGCCTTGGAGTACAGGGCCCTGGCCAGAGCTACCCGTGCTCTTTGTCCACCGGACAAGGACGTTCCGTTCTCCCCGACTGATGTCCGATCTCCGTCTGGTAGCTCGCGCAGATCTTCAGGAAGACAGCAGGCAGTCAGAACCCGGTCGTATCGAACCTTTTCCATCGGGCTGCCAAACAGAATGTTGTCTTTGATTGTCTCATTTTGTAGCCAGGACGTTTGTGAAGCGTAAGCAATGTCGGCCGGAACAGAGATGGAACCACTCTCCAGATATGTCTCTCCCAAGATGGCCAGCATGAGGGTTGATTTGCCGCTCCCGCTCTGACCGGTGACGACATTCAGGCCGTCCTGGACAAAATCTAGCGAGATATCCTCGAGTCTAAACGTGGCTTTCCTATTCCGCCTGAAGTTTCCCTTTTCAATACGAAGCGGTCCTTCAGGGTATTGAACCAGTGGCACAGTGCTGGAAAAGTACTTGTCGAGTCGGCCGAAAGCAACCATGGCACCAGCAAAGCTTCGAGCGAAATAACTGGCCATCATGATGTTTCGACGAATGTTCTTCACAAGGTACACTGTCGTGAAAGCCGTGGAGGCTGTCAACGGCTGCTGATCGACCATGACATGCAGGCCAAACATGACGAGCAATGAAAGGTAAGGGAAGATTTGGGTGATTTGATTGATGAAAACTTGCAAGACAGACACGCCCCACAACGCCTTTTGTTCAAAGGCACGGGATTCTATAATCTTTTCCGTGATTGGCTTCTCCCAGGCGAAGTATTTGATGGCTTTGATGGAAGCTAAATACTCGGTCACGAGCGAAATTCGGGAGTCCTGAGCTTTTCGGACCTTTTTCTGTGTGCGGAACATCCACTTCCCGAGAAGGACGGAAATAGGGGTTGCAAGCACGAGGATAGCGACTCCGACGATGGACACCCAGCCAAGCATCCGGTATAACCCGACAAAAGACACAATGGTTCCGGCAGGAACACCCACCAGGATCGTTATGACATCTCGTGCCTTGAAAATGGCATCGACATCTGCGGCCATGAGGTTGGCCAGTCGCCCGGCTGAGGTGGCCTTGGTGCTGTTTTCCTTTTCCTTGTCTTCTTTTTCGTCATCGAATTTGGCGGCAAAAGGATCATCTTCAAGTTCCATAGATTCCAAGGCCCTTTGGTACAGTTCCTGGGTCATGGCAGACTTTATACGAACGATGAGCCTAGTGGAAGTGAAGACGTATCCCTGGAACAGGATGGATCGACTCATTGGGCCAAAGAAGGTGAGCAGCAACCACACCCACGGCCTACATATGGCAGAGCTCGGGTCGTCGAGGTAGGCAAGCAGCTGGAACATGCCAAAAGGAGCTACGTTTTCGAAAACATAGGCAAGACCAATCCAAATAGACATCAGGGTCAATTCCCTTCGCTGGAAGCGCAGCGTGGTCCAGAGGGTGGACTTGGAGGCGGCCCTGGCACGACGAACCTGGCGGAGGAGATAGAGAGGCTCGTCATACCAGGCCAGTTTTGGAATACCAGACATGTCGAGCTTGCCCCAGGTGCCTTTCCAGATAGTCGGGGTCAACCACTGGTAGGTGCAGTAGTAGTTGATCCAGCTGGTTTCCTCCTCCAGGGCGGGTTCGTCGGGCACACGGAAGCCCGGAATCGCGTAGGCAAGCTGCGGTTGAATCCATTGGCGAGGCGTGCACATGGCAACAGCCAGGCCGAAGGAGAGGGCGGCCGTGGCTCCAACGACGCTGGCATCTTTGGGGCACTCGAAGTCGATTTCGACGCAGGGAAGAAGCTGGGCCGTAACCAAAATGACCAATTCAGCAAGGGTGACGAGGTTGACGTGGTGCAGGGCTGCCTGACGCCACAGGACATCCGTGGCCAGACGAGATAATCCAAGGGTGAAGGCGTAGGCGAGAAGAACGAGGTTGAGCACGTGAGCGCGTCCTTGGAAAAACGCGACCGCGAGGAAGGCAAGAGCTGCGGCTCGAGCCATCTGCGACAACACCTCGTAGCGCCATCGAAGACCAGACGCTCTGGGCTTGACGGCATGCTGCGAAGAGCCGTGTTTCGAGCATCGTCTGACCAAGTGCAGGGCGATCAAAAGACAAGACGCGGCGAGGACAGCGGCCTGCGGGATGCCGGAGCGAGCGGCGCTCGAAGCCTCGACGATCCAAGGCACTTGGGGAGCAGCTGACGATGAAGAGATGCTACCAAGTTCGGACCATCAGCGACAGACGACTGAGACGGCCCAGTTGGGAGACACGATGACGTTTCGCTTTCGCAACCAACACCTGCCCAAGTACATTGAAGTTTGGAACGTACCGACTCAGAGTCACCCGGGGGCCATCGTCACCGAGTACAACGCGGTTGTGCATCGGGGAGAACTCATAGTCGCGGAATCTGTGGATCACCACGTTCATAGCCGCGACAATTAAGTCGGAGGCCGACGCGAACAAGAGCAGACGAGCGATGAGGCCTCGGCGAGATCACGAAACAAGCGGTCAGGCGCCAAGGAGGGAGAAGATGACGACAGTGACCTATCCCAACAAGTTGCAACAAGCTTGGAATGCTGAAGTGCGCGCGCGTGCAACTTGTCTCGGCCGCCAGCCACCTCGTCTCGTCACTGCGGGCCGACGAACAACCAACATCAGCCACCAGCAAAGGAGGATCTTGGGCCTCTGTTCAGCCCTGTTTCAGGGACCCGGCGACCAGGTATCCTTGATTCCTGACTGAGCCTCAGCAAAGCTCTGGAGAAGTTGTGCATTTCACAACTGGCCGATTCATTCCGGGGTCAGATGGCGCACGCCCTTGCAGGATTCAGGCACCCCTTTTGGCTCACGACGACTCGGAACGAAGCACGGCTGGTGTGTTTTGGTCCGGTTGGTCCGGCTGGTCCCGGCCAAAAAGGTCCTTCCTCCCGATCATGGTACTGTACCCGGGCGTTGACGTCGTCGTCGAGGTGAATTTACGCCAGCTGATCACGACGTTGTTACACTAGCGTCTTCAAGTATAACCACCCGGCTTCGATATTTGGTCAGTAGCTTTTCCGGTAGGAAAGTTGTTCTTTCCACATAAGATCTGTAACAGTGACCATTGCCGTGACTGTGACTCAAAACTAGTGTCCAACGGGGGGGTGGCGTGAGTTTAATCCCGACGAGTGGCTCGACTACGACGTAGCACCACCACATTTTCACATAAACCTAGTTACCGCTCGGCGGTGGTGGCAGTGCCCGTCCTATTGGGCCGCAAAGAGAAGGTCGACCGACGTCCACGGGTGTCGGGTCGTTTCGAGCAGCGGTCGCAAATTGCTGCTCTTGATGATGACCAGACAGACACCATTCTCGGTCCAGCAAGTCTGACTGATGGACATGCGCAGAGAGGACACAGGACACAGGACACAGCTTGATGAGATAGCACCTCTTTGGAACAGCAGACGCCAGAATATTGTCATTTTGCCCATCAACTAATCATGGGATGCTTGGCAGACGGATACTTCATAACGTCTTTATTTATCCTGGAGCGCGATGTTCCCGTTCTGAAGAAGCAGTACATCCGCGCGACCCGTGAGCCGCATAAGGTTTCCGCAAAGATAAAAATCACTAATCGTGCCCGCCCCACTTTATGTGGTTCGGCTAGCAAAAGCCCTCACCACCAAAGGTGGTGCTCGACAGCAAGGCGGGCCGGACACCAAGGCGGGCCAATTTTCAACCTAATAACGCTATTAACCTCTTCGCCTATAATGTACACCCTTCTCGTCCCAAATTTCTAGTAGATCTAGTACAGAATCCAGACGCCATTTACGTGCCTTTTTAGCTGCTTCAAAAAACGTCCTCTTGGCGTGGTTGTGGCGCCTTTTGTCGGCATGCTCTTTATGCTTGCTGTTCGCCTGATGAACTCGAGAAAGGTCTTTGCAAAGGCGTGATTGGAAGGAGAAACGGCGAATGGTTGACGCGACAGGTATGCATTTGTTGGCGGTGACGGGAGGGGAGCCATATGAAGAGGTGCATTATCTGTTGACTGTTTTTCTAGACCGGGAAATAAAAATAGGACATGTATAGAAAACCAGATATTACAGCCCTTTTTAAAAAAAAAATCAAAAAAATCAAAGGTCGTCACTCATTCATTGGAAGCTTCAACGAAAAAAAAAACCCCGGATGTAATTACGCAGCTCATTAAAGATCCACCTGATCAATCGCCGGCCACCATTGAGACCAGGCCCCCTGCTCGTCGAGGTTATTGCTGACTTCCGCGAAAAGCTGGTTCAACAAGGTATTAGTGTCGAGCTCGTGCTCGTGCTCGTGCTCGTGCTCGTGCCCTTGAACCGGCCAAGTCGCCTGCGCCGAGGGCCGCTCCGCGCCCCGAATCTCCCGAGTATGCGCGTCGGATCTATCCACGACACGGAACTCGTGGACAGACTGGTGTAGAGTATCAAAGTCTGCTCGTGTGCGCCCCTGGTATCGTGTCCGGTCCTCGGTTGCTCGCTCGTAGAGCACGGATGCATGGTGTATCGTTTTGATCTTGCGCGTGCCGCCCTCTCAATGTTAGCGCAACGGTGGCCACGGTCGTGTCATGCTTGCGGGCGGCTTACCCATCCGTCGGCGATTTTCCAGACAAGTCGAAACTTTTCCAGGTAGTCGAGACACATTTTGAGACAGTCGCTTGCTCGCGGGCTGCGGCCCAGGTTCATTCGGGGGTATTTCGCCACGTAGAGGTTGAGGTAGCCGGCTGAGAATGCGCAGAACCCGGCAAAGGGCGTCATGAGATGCACGCCACACTCGGAGGCCTCGTGTAGAATGGCGGCGATGTGCTCTGCCGCGCCGAAGAGGAGTCGGGAGCTGTCGTCCCACCAGCCCTCGGGGGCGGGCGCCCCCAGCATGGGCTGGTCGACTGGACCCCGTGGCTCCGACTCCGGGGTCGGCAGGAAGGGGAAGTACTCGCGGTGAAGCATGAGGGTGCTGACAAGGCGTAAGCAGGGGCGGCGGCGGCAAGTTGGGAGCCCCGTCGACCGCTACCGCTGTGGGAAGGGGATTCTTACCTCACGTAGTACAGGAGATTGAGGTAGACGAACGTCTCGCCGAAGCCGAGGTGACAATGACCTTTTGCCCTTGCCCATAGCACTCACATGCAAGCACACATCTCCCATTATCTGCAAAAATCACCCTTCATAATCCATGATAGAAGTCCACCACATAGCCAATCACCATTCTGGTGTTGCGACGCGCTAACTGCGGTGTGCTGGCGCAATGGTAGCGCGTAGTCCTCCTAATTCAGTGCGAAGTGGGAACGCAAGACTAAGGCTCAGGGTTCGAGTCCCTGGTATACCGAACGCGCTTTTTTTATGCTCAATCCAACAACCAACCGTCCATGCATCCATCCATCCACAATTAAGGTATACCCCGTGCGTGATCCTGCTACCTGCTTTTTTTTGTCCAAAATTCACGGCGTCTCCAGCCAGCGAGGGATCCGATATCCCCTTCGCGTCACCAATCAACGAACGCTCTCTTAATCCAGCCCACGGCATCCCACGGCATCATCATCACAACGTCACGCCACGCCCCCATGCGCACAAGAACGCCTCAGAGGCTCAGACGCCCTCATCATCTCATCATCGTGCGCAACACAAACAGCAGTCGCGTAATCCCCGTCATGGCTAATCGACACCAAAGCACAGACATCCTCGCCGTCCCTCGCACCGGCCCTGATCCTCACCACGGGCGGTCCGCTCCCCAGCGTCTCCCCCGCCCCGCCACCCGCCGTCCTCCGCTCGATTATGACATCGTGAAAGGTGAGTCTCCGGCGCGAATGTGCCTTGATGGCGGCCTCCTTGGCGGCAAACCTGAGGGGCACAACGGCTCCGATCCATCAGTTCCCCTATTCTCGCTTTCTCCATCCACCTGTGCATTGTATCGTGCAACAACGTACCGTCCTGCCACAAACGCAGCCGTCCTCCACAAGTCTGTGCCCCTGACGCCGCCGTCGCCGGGGGAATGGTCCGTCTTCAAATCAGCCGCCGACCAGTTCAGCCGCGCGCCGTGCCAGGCAACTTCCTCGGGGGCAAGGACGCGGTTGATGAAGCGTGTGCGGCGGGGCCCGCGCAGGATGGTATATATACGTGAGATTTGACAAATGTCTGTGCCGATGTTAATGGGGAAGGGGAAGGGACGGATTGGGGGCGCCATGAGTGCCTGGCATGACTGAGCGATTGTATGAAAACGCGCGTTATGCGTCTTGATGGTGGCACATGAGCGACGGAGCGAGCGAACTTGTTTAGTCGGGCTTATCGATACTGCGCCGGCCAGCACACTACGTCATAAGGCCACCTGCGCACATGCAGCATGCGCTTATACATCTCATGCTCCACAGTAAAATTCATGCGCATTCACTATCAAGGCCCCCCCGGCTGGAAATATTCTCCCTCACACTTTCAGTTGCTGTTTTCAAACGCCTCAAATTATTACACTTATAGCCACTCCACCATGTCACTTGAACGAATGCCCAAACCTCGTAGACACATGCACACATACAAACATAACCAAACAAAAAAAGTCACCCAAATACCGCAACAGAATCAACAATATTCACCAGCATGAGACAGAGGAAACAAAGGAAAAACACAGAGAAAAACACAAGAGGGAACAGAACCGTAGATTAATAGAGCCAGCCCTCAATTTTGTTGCATCGCATAGATTGCCGCCGCTGCTTGCCAGGATCTTGCGTCGACATGTTACTCGTTGAGCAGAGGAGCACGTTCGGCATCACCGCCTTCTTGGCGACGCCACATGTAGTCCCTGCCCGTCCAAGCCGGCACGGCTACTGTCACCGTGGCAAGGAATAGGACGGCCATGATGACAAAGGCAAAGATCCACTGGAGGGCAATAACCTGTCTCTCAAACTGGGCGACTCCAAGGGCCGCAGATAGGAGACTGAGCCAAAAGCCCATAGTGTAGTCCTGTAACATTTCATTCACATGTTAGATCTTGACTGCCCCCCATTTTCCGTCGCCAGGAGGACATAGACAGGGAACGGGAAAAGAGAGATGACGCACTTTAAAGACAACAATAAAGAAGCCGCCATACACCAGGATGGCCCAGATAAAAATGTTACCAAAGATCCTGGCCACCAGATTGTGCGGGTTGTGAACCATCAAAGCACCGTTCCAGTAGATGGCGACGAAAGTCCATGCCAGGGGCCCCGAGGCGACGGGGGCATGGATGAAGCGCGGCGACGTGTTGTGGCGGAAGTACAGGATCGACAGGTTAAAAAAGTTGATGATGAGTATGACCTCGGCCCAGATGAAGTGCGAGCGAACAAAGAGCATGACGAACGCAAAGTGGAGGAGGTTATTGAGGATGAAGTGGCCGCCAACGCTCGCCGCGTGGTTGACGGTCTCGGAAACGCGTGAGAAGAGATGTGTGATGTAGCCGAATTGGAGGATGAAGAGAATGACCCTGACAGTATATTAGGAGAAAACAAAAAAAAAAAAAACACTGCAATGGGCAACTTGCTAGACGAGAGGAAGAAGGGGAAGCTCATTTGGGGAAAGGGGGGGAGACACACCAGTAGATGTCGCCGAGGACCGGGCTCATGGTAAAGGCGGTGCGGACCAGGTTGTTCTGGTCCCAGATGCGGCGGCGGATGGTGTAGCCATCTTTGGGTTCGTTGACAACATAATAGATGGATACAATGACGGACAGCAACCAGGTGAGGAGGGTGAGGAGCTTGTAAGTGAGGATGGAGCCGGAGCTGTGAGACTCGCGATGGCTGAATGGATTCCCTGAGCCATGTCAGTTTTTCGTGTATTCATCATCTCATTCATAGCAAGTGTGAAGCTCGACTCACAAGCGTTCCAGTTCGTCATGATGACGTTTAGTTTTGACGACTTCTTATCTCAAGTCCTTTCGAATCCAGCAGAACGATCAATACGAGATTTCTGTGTCGTTATGGCAGTCACCACAAGACAAATCCAACTCTTTGTCCAGTTTGCTATATCGGGCGATGACGAGGAAAACGGCGGTTGCTGCAGGGAAGCAAAGACGAGGAGATGAGGAAAAGGTGGGCGATGGCAGTAGTCGGGGCAGGCAACCAAGCTTGTATTTATCCAAGAAGCGGGGTTGCAAGTTGACTGTTGTAGCAAAGTATCCTTCTTATTAAACTAGGTGCTAAAAACAAGACGCAATGTACTCGGTATCGGCAGATCAATGACGCCAGTGTTGGGGTGACACAGAGGTGGCAGGCCGGGGAAGGGAGGCAAGGAGGAGCAGCCTGTTCTCAAATGCTTGGCGACGGGTGCTTCGGGTGCCTCTTGCTTGGGCTTGATGCGACTTGCCACCGACGAATTGCTCGGGGCGCGGCTGATTTTTTGGTGAGGTGAGCTGGGTGAGACCCCGTCTAGCCTAGCCCGAGTTAAGGCTAGCGGCCAAGCTGCCACACCCCCACAGTACAATCCGAGTACGTACAATCCCAGCACAACTACCTACGCATCTGGCAGTCATAGCCCCTGCGTACATCTGTACGTACGTTAAATATAAAAAATTAATTTCAAGAACGCCACGCTTTATAAGCTCGAAATCTGAAACTTTCCATCTGTTCAGCCTTGCTGAAAAGTGTAGTGCTGGTAAAATGATGTTAAGCTTTCTAGTGCTTACTCTTGCTACATCAACTTGTACCTATAGGAGGTGTGGCGGATGGCTTGTGGCTTGAGTGCCCCGAACAACTCCCCCCACCTTGGGTCGCGTTTGCCCACTCGAGGTGCCCTGTTGTAAGTTACTTGCATTTTTGGCTGTAGACGCAGCCACTTTGTACTGGTAACAGGTAACTGCATGGCGTCAAGTGCCTTCGACTTTTGCACCCGTACCCACTTTTCAATTGTTTGTCTCTTGAGCTAGTACCAAGTTGCTATAACTCATGCACTGCCGCCCTGTCTGTTCCTGAGTCTCGCCGAAAAGAATGACGACCTGACGAACAGACGACGGCAATTTCTTTCTTTTTTTTTTCCATCCGGCACCACAAACACGAACTCTCTCACGAACTTGCTCCTTGGTCCCTGCTGTTTGTTTTGTGGCACGTCATACGTCTGCGTTGTGGTGTTGCGCAGCCTTGTTGGACACGGTCACGTAGAGCCGATACGCAGGGCCCCTGAAATCCAAACTCAATTTCCCTCAACCATTGATTATTCGCCCAACTTTCGACGACGCCTTATTTTCCACCTCTCCTTAACCGATAAAGACCCCTTTCTTCTCCAGTGATGACCCTTTGGTCATAATCCGTTCGGCACTCTTCTCAACACAGATCTTTGATGCCGGCCATGGAGGTGTCATCTCCTCCGGCGCAGAATCCTGTGACCACGACCAATGGAGGAGGCGCGTCATCTCCTGCTTTCTCAACCATCGAACCGGAACGGGTGGTTGAGCACCTGGCTGCTGTTTGCCAGGTAGCTCTCGGTGCCACACGAGAGGATCTCGAACAGCCTGGGAACTTGTTGCATAATAGCCGTTATTCCGAGACTGTTTCGCGTTGCACTCGTTTTGCGAATGATACCCAAAACGTTCTGTACATACAGAAAGACATCGCCCATTTTTCCGCCGTTGAGAAGGCAACAGACGCTGCTGGTGAGCAAAAAGCTACAATTTCGGCCCAGCTCAACGTTTGAGGACTTTGCTAATGCGGCATGACGCCTTGTTGCGTCTTATCCAGTCCCGTCTTCGTTTTATTACACTCTTGCGACAGAAATATCCTCCTCCGTCACGACAGTTGCATCTCTCGTCCTGTTGAAGACGCCTCAGCCTATAGACCCGGCCAGACCTCTTACGTCACAAATATTTATTACTAATTTACCTGGGCCTGCCTCCCTTAATACCGCCGTAGGAGAGCAAGGCGCTTCACTTTCCCCTTGGGAGGTTCTTCATTCTCAAGTTCACCATGCACTGGTTCCTTACTTCGATGCCAACACAAAGAGTCAGCAGCTAGCAAACGGGTCTAGAGGCCGATCCGATGTCGATGCGAAGACAGGTATTCCTGTTACCAAAAAGAGATTAAACGACCTGGAGTTGAGCTTGTTGCATTTGCAGCAAAATGTCGACATTCCCGAGATATCACTCACCTTCCACTCTGTCGTCCAGAGTGTCCTTGATGAAGCCGACGTCCGCCACAGCAAGGCAGCCATCGACGCGATTCCGCAAAACCTATTGCAAGACAGCACTTTCCTGAATAGGCTGCAGGCCAACGTCAACACATGGATCAAGTCTATACAGGGCGTCACGAAAATGACAAAGGACTCGTCATCAAATACAAACCAGGAATTCAGTACCGCCAGTCAGGAGGTCAACTTTTGGCTGTCCATGGAGTCGGCTTTGGAGGGCATTGAGGGCCAGCTGCGAAGTGAGGGCGTCCTCTTGACGCTCGAGATTCTCAAGCATGCCAAGCGATTCCAGGCCACCGTTAGTTTCACCGCCGACACTGGATTAAAAGAGGCCATGGATAAGGTGCAGAAGTACAATCAGCTAATGCGGGACTTCCCCCTGGATGAGTTATTGTCTGCTACTTCGTTGCCAAAGGTCCAAGAGGCGATTTCACAAATTTTCAACCATTTGAATAAAAAGCTGAGAATCTGTCCATATCCAATCCGCCGAGCTTTACCACTGGTTGAGGCCATCTCTGCTGATCTTGATGACGGACTTCGTCGACTTCTACCAGGTACAGAACTGGTTAATCTCGACAATCAGCAGTTCCAGGCCCTCATGCGGACTTGCGATGGCATATTTCGCACCTGGGAGGAGAGCGTTAAGGAATTTACAAATGTAGCTCGTGAAGTCACTCGTCGCCGCAACGAAAAGTTCATTCCCATCAAGATCAACAAGAAGCACTCAGAACTCGAATCTCGAATCAAGTACGTCGGCACCTTCCGCGACAACCACGAACAACTTCAACGAACTATTGTCAACGTTCTTGGCCCCAAGGCCACGATTCCGGGCGTGACAGAGACCACTGGCACAAACGGAGTGATGGTGGAGGAAATCGGTGACGTGGATGCTGTAGAAGAGGTCAAACAAGCTTGGGAAGCACTACAAAATGTCGACTTGCTGGATGTCACTGAACAAGGTAAGGAACGATGGGTACGAGCAGAGAACTTGTACAATGAGCGCACAACCAGAGTCGAAAACTCGATTATTGCTAGACTTCGAGATCGGCTCGCGACAGCCAGGACCGCCAATGAAATGTTTCGCGTCTTTTCCAAGTTCAATGCCCTTTTCGTTCGTCCAAAGATTCGCGGAGCCATTCAGGAGTATCAAAATCAGCTCATGGACCACGTTAAACAGGCTATCAACGGACTTCACGAGCGATTCAAACAGCAATATGGTCACTCAGAGGCTCACGCCATGGCTCAACTCCGTGACCTACCTCCAGTCTCTGGAGCAATCATCTGGGCCCGGCAAATTGAACTTCAACTAGATGGCTATATGCGGAAGGTAGAGGCTGTTTTAGGTCCCGACTGGACACTTCATGCCGAGGGTCATAAGTTGCAAGAAGAAAGCGAGCTGTTCAAACACAAGCTTGATACTGGCAGAATCTATGAAGCATGGCTAACCGACGTTGGTCGACGAAAGATTTCCATCTCTGGACAACTGTTCGAGATCGCTCGCGTCCGATCCGCTGGCGGTATTCTGGAGCTCGCGGTGAACTTTGACCCTCAAATCATCACCTTGTTCAAGGAGACGAGAATCTTGACATGGCAGTCTTACGCTGTCCCCCACGCTGTCACGACTGTATCGAAGGATGCAAAGAGAGTATATCCATACGCTGTTAGCCTGATGGAGAGCGTCAGAACATTATCTCAGACAATGCGACAAATATCTACCATGGGCGAAGAGTCAGTCCTACTTAATGGCTATCGCAATGATGTTTACAAACTGATAGGTGACGGCGTTCCCCTTCGATGGGAGTCCTTCATCAACTCTCATGAGCTGTTCTACGCAGAGCAACGGCAAGCTCGTCCGATGCTTCCCGGTGGTGCCGAGTTTGCTCTCTCCAAGAGCAGTGAGAGCAAGCACGGAATGTTTATTCGTGGGTTTGCTGCCGCCGTTTCCGTTCTGCAAAGCAAAGCAGTAGCTCTCAGTCATATTCATGCCACTGTCGAGCAAGCTCTCAAAGAAATTAGCAACTGCCCATATGATTCTTCCGCTTTCCAATCTCGTCTCAACACCATCCAAACTGCTGTTGACCAACTGAACTTGGAGCAATATGTCAATCTGGAGTTTTGGGTGCGAGACTTGAATCAGAAGATACAGTCCATTCTGCTAAGTCGCCTCCATGCCGCAATTAGCGCTTGGATTGCTGCCTTCGAGGATGAAGCCTCAGATGCGGGTCGAAGGAAGAAAACTTCTGAAGAAGAGTTCAAGTCAGACGGGCCCGTGATGAAGCGCCTCGTGCTGGAATTGGTCATGCGAAATCAAGTCATCTATCTCGACCCTCCATTAGAGTATGCCAGAGCAAGCTGGTTCTTGCACTTGCATGACTGGCTGGGCATCGTTTGCAACCTGCGGAAGATCAAGGCAGCACGTTATCAAATGAGCCTAAGTACTACTGCTGCTGAGGAACACCGGTTCACCGACCTTCCGACCGAGTGCGCCAGCATACTTCATTGCGTATACGTTTCCGTCGAGAAGAAGCTGCAAGAAATCGGCGCCTATATAGACAAGTGGCTTCAGTTCCAGTCGCTCTGGGATCTCCAGTCTGAACAGGTGTACGATGTTCTTGGTGACCAACTGGCTCGGTGGCTCGAGTGTCTGCAGGACATTCGCAAAGTGCGAACCACATTTGATACCCAAGAAGTCAGTCGATCCTTTGGTCATATCACTATTGACTATGATCAAGTTCAGACAAAGGTGAACGCCAAGTACGACCAGTGGCAGCACGAGATCTTAATCAAGTTTGCAAGCCGGCTTGGGTACCGCATGCGAGATGTCAGCGCTGAGATCGAGAAAGCACGCAAGCAGCTAGAGGGACAGAGCTCCGACACCTCGTCTACCGCCCAGGCTGTCCAGTTCATCACAGCTGTTCAGAGCTGCAAGCGCAATGTCAAGTTGTGGGCCCCGGAAATCGACATGTTCCGGCAGGGACAGTCGACTTTGGTACGACAACGGTATCACTTCCCTAATGATTGGCTTCATATTGAACACATTGACAGTCAGTGGGAGGCGCTGAAAGAGATCCTGGAGAAAAAGTCACGTGTTATGGAGGAACAATCTGATGCCATGCGTGCCAACATTGTGGCTCAGGATAAGCTGGTCAACGAACGCATAGGTGAGATTATATCACAGTGGAACGAAGAAAAGCCCGTGTCTGGCACGATCCAACCCGACATTGCATCTGCTACATTAAGCACATTTGAAACCAGAATTGCGAGCCTGCAGGACGATTTACAGCAGGTCATCAAAGCCAAGGAAGCTCTTGATCTCCCCGTTGGCGCAGAAAGTTCTCTGGATGCCACTCTTGAGGAAGTCCGTGATTTTCAGTCGGTTTGGTCTAGCTTGTCTACCATTTGGTCTAGCTTGAATGAGACCCGGGAGATACTTTGGACTGCAGTTCAACCCCGGAAAATTCGATCCAAGGTCGACGATCTCATCAAGAGTACCAAGGAAATGCCTAGCAGAATGAGGCAGTACGCCGCCTTCGAACACGTTCAGTCTGTGCTACGTGGATTCCTCAAGGTCAACTCGATCTTGTCAGACCTCAAATCCGACGCTATTCGCGAGCGCCACTGGCATAAGATCTACAAGCAAATCAAGCCCCAGAAGCGATTCTCACCTAGCTCAATGACATTAGGCGATGTTTGGGACCTCAATCTAGTCGCTACGGAAGCCATTGTTAAGGATATCATTGCCCAAGCCCAGGGAGAAATGGCTCTCGAAGAGTTCTTGAAACAAGTCCGCGAGACGTGGCAAAACTATGCATTAGACATGGTCAACTATCAAAACAAGTGCCGTCTGATCCGCGGCTGGGACGACCTTTTTGCCAAATGCAGTGAAAATCTCAACTCGTTGCAAGCCATGAAGCATTCACCCTATTACAAGGAGTTTGAAGAGGAGGCCGTCTCGTGGGAAGATAAGCTGAACCGTGTTCATGTTCTCTTTGACGTTTGGATCGATGTTCAGCGACAGTGGGTATACCTCGAAGGCGTTTTCACCGGCAATGCCGATATTAAGCACCTCCTGCCCATTGAGTCGGGTCGTTTCCAGAACATTAACAGCGAGTTCTTGTCTGTTATGAAAAAAGCCAACAAGACCCCATATGTTTTGGATGTGCTGAATATTCCAAACGCGCAGAAGTCTCTAGAACGCCTAGCAGAAATGCTCAGCAAGATTCAGAAGGCATTGGGTGAATACTTGGAGAAGGAACGGGTCTCATTCCCACGGTTCTACTTTGTTGGCGACGAAGATCTCCTGGAAATGATTGGTAACAGCAATGACACGCTGCGTATTGCCAAACACTTCAAGAAAATGTTTGCTGGCCTGTCCGGCCTCGTGATGGGCAATGAAGAGACTGTCATATCTGCTTTCACTTCCAAAGAAGGCGAAACTGTCCAGCTCAAGAAGGAAATATCTTTGGCAACGACACCACGTATCAATGACTGGTTAGCGCTTCTTGAGGGTGGTATGAAGTCCACTCTTGCCGAGCTTCTTGCTGAAGCTGTGGAGCAGTACACACCAATTTTCGAATCTGAAGCCATTGACAGTGCCGCTTTGAACACATTTATGGAAGCGTTTCCCAGTCAAATTGTCGTGCTCGCTACACAGGTTGCATGGACAACGGCCGTTGACAAGTCTCTGGCTGCCGGTGGACAAAGCCTGCAGACCTTATACGATAGAGAAGTGCAAGTACTACGAGTGCTTGCTGAGACTGTATTGGGCGACTTGGAGATCATCCTGCGGAAGAAGTGCGAACAGATGATCACTGAATGTGTCCATCAGCGTGATGTGATTGAAAAGCTCATCAACAATAAGACCAATACTGCTAGTCACTATCTCTGGCAGCTGCAAATGAGATATGTTTATGTCCCTGAAGGTAACTTCCTGGACCGTCTCCATGTCAGAATGGCCAACGCTAAGCTCAACTACGGTTTTGAGTACCTCGGTGTGCCTGATCGTCTTGTTCGAACGCCGCTTACCGATCGCTGTTTTCTCACCCTCACTCAAGCTTTGTGCCAGCGTCTTGGTGGCTCGCCTTATGGTCCTGCAGGAACAGGAAAGACTGAATCCGTCAAAGCACTTGGTCTTCAACTTGGTAGATTTACGCTTGTCTTCTGCTGTGACGACACTTTTGACTTCCAAGCCATGGGGCGAATTTTCTTGGGTATTTGCCAAGTAGGGGCTTGGGGTTGTTTTGATGAGTTCAATCGCCTAGAGGAGAGGATCCTCTCTGCCGTGTCGCAGCAGATTCAAAATATTCAGCTTGGTCTCAAACAAGGTGCCGAAGATAGCAAATCGCTGATCGAATTGGTTGGACGTCAGCTCAGCGTCAATGACAACACCGGTATCTTCATCACGATGAACCCTGGCTACGCCGGTCGGTCCAACTTACCTGACAACTTGAAAAAGTTGTTCCGCAGTGTAGCCATGTCCAAGCCAGACAAGGAGTTGATTGCCGAGGTCATGCTCTACTCGCAAGGTTTCAATCAGGCGAAGCAGCTGTCCAAACAGACTGTCCCATTCTTCGACCAATGCTCGGGAAAACTCTCCAAGCAAGCGCATTATGATTTTGGTCTGCGTGCGTTGAAGAGTGTTTTGGTCAGTTCCGGTGGTCTGAAAAGAGCCCGTCTGATTGATAGCAACCACGAGGCTGAGGAGATTGTCGAGCCCGAAATCGTTGTCCAGAGCATTCGAGAAACCATTGCTCCCAAGCTGATCAAGTCTGATGTTGACATTCTTAGCACCATCGAGAAGGATTGCTTCCCCGGCATCGACTACATACCCGCCAATTTGGTCGAGTTGGAAGGCGCTCTCCGCAATCTCGCTGCAGAGCGTCACCTTGTTGTGACAGATCTGTGGATGACCAAGGTCTTGCAGCTGTACCAAATTCAAAAGATACACCATGGTGTCATGATGGTCGGTGACTCAGGTACCGGGAAATCGGCCGCCTGGAGACTTCTGCTCGATGCTCTCCACAAGGTCGAAGGCATTGAGGGCGTCTCTCACGTCATCGACTCAAAGGTTATGTCCAAGGAGGCTCTGTATGGTAACTTGGATGCCACCACACGTGAATGGACGGATGGCCTCTTTACCAGCATTCTCCGCAAGATTGTTGACAATCTTCGTGGCGAAGATTCTAAGCGACACTGGATTGTCTTTGACGGTGATGTTGATCCAGAATGGGTGGAAAACCTGAACAGTGTCCTTGATGACAACAAACTTCTCACGCTCCCAAATGGTGAGCGGCTCAACTTACCACCCAATGTTCGAATCATGTTCGAGGTCGAGACATTGAAGTATGCCACTCTCGCCACTGTCAGTCGGTGTGGGATGGTTTGGTTCAGTGAAGACACCGTCTCACCAGAGATGATGGTGAAGAACTATCTTGAGACGCTTCGTAGCGTGCCATTCGAGGACCTGGACGAGGACAGCGTTGCCACTGGCCAGGCTCCTACCAAGATGCTCGCCGTTCAAGGAGAAGTTTCAGACTTGTTGAAGGTCTACATGACATCTGAAAACTTTATCCATCAAGCCCTCGAACGCGCTGAAAAGTACAACCACATCATGGAGTTCACTGTTGCGCGTGTGCTCAACACATTGTTCTCGCTGCTCAACAAGGCTGTCAGGGATGTTATCGAGTACAATGGCCAGCACTCGGACTTCCCGCTGGATGCTGAACAGATTGAAGCGTTCATTCCCAAGAAGCTTCTTCTCGCCCTGGTCTGGGCCTTGACCGGCGATTGTCCTCTGTCGGATCGAAAAGCTTTTGGCGATGACCTCTGCGCGCTTGCAAGTTTTGGATCGCCACCTTTGGACGGAAGCAGCTCACTGATTGACTTTGATGTCAGCCTGCCCAGGGCTGAATGGATCTCTTGGCAAACTCAAGTACCAAGCATCGAGGTCAACACACACTCCATTATCCAGACCGATGTGGTGATTCCAACTCTGGATACCGTTCGCCACGAAGATGTTCTCTACTCTTGGCTTGCCGAGCACAAACCCCTCTTACTCTGCGGGCCCCCTGGTTCCGGCAAAACGATGACTCTCTTCAGTGCCCTCAGGAAGCTCCCCAATATGGAGGTTGTCGGCCTTAACTTTTCGAGTGCTACCACACCTGATCTTCTAATCAAGACCTTTGAGCAGTACTGTGAGTACAAGAAGACGCTCAATGGAGTCATGCTTTCCCCCACGCAAATTGGGCGTTGGCTAGTTGTCTTCTGCGACGAAATCAACTTGCCCGCTCCTGATAATTACGGGACTCAAAGAGCAATCTCATTCCTGCGACAACTCGTTGAGCATAACGGCTTTTGGCGCACCTCTGACAAGTCTTGGGTTACCCTTGACCGTATTCAGTTTGTTGGTGCTTGTAACCCCCCGACGGACGCAGGCCGCACCCCTCTCGGCGCCAGATTCCTGCGTCATGCTCCTCTCATCATGGTGGACTATCCTGGAGAGCTCTCGCTCAACCAGATCTACGGCACGTTCAACTCTGCTGTCTTGAAGATCATTCCCGCTCTTCGTGGCTACGCCGAAGCCCTTACGCATGCCATGGTTCGATTCTACCTGGAATCTCAGCAGAGGTTTACCCCCAAGATCCAGCCTCACTATGTTTACAGTCCTCGTGAATTAACTCGCTGGGTTCGTGGCGTATACGAGGCAATCAAGCCATTGGAGATTTTGTCAATTGAAGGCTTGATCCGCATCTGGGCACACGAAGCTCTGCGACTCTTTCAGGACCGTCTCGTTGCCGAAGACGAACGTCAATGGACAGACGAGGCAGTTCGGCGCATTGCTCTGGAGCACTTCCCCAACATTGACGAGGGCAAAGCCCTTGGTGGACCAATCCTCTTCTCCAACTGGCTGTCCAAGAACTACGTGCCCGTCGACCGTGAGGAGCTCCGTGACTTCGTCAAAGCCAGACTCAAGACCTTCTGTGAGGAAGAAGTTGATGTGCCACTTATCCTGTTCAACGATGTTCTGGAGCACGTGCTGCGAATTGATCGTGTGTTTAGGCAGCCGCAGGGCCATCTTATCCTAATTGGCGTCAGTGGAAGTGGCAAAACTACCCTGTCACGATTCGTTGCTTGGATGAATGGCCTCAAGGTGTTCCAGATCAAGGTCCACGGCAAGTACTCGGGCGAGGACTTTGACGAGGATCTTCGTGACGTGCTACGACGATGTGGTTGCAAGGGCGAAAAGATATGCTTCATCATGGACGAGGCAAACGTTCTGGACTCTGGGTTCCTGGAACGCATGAACACGTTGCTGGCTAACGCAGAAGTGCCCGGTCTGTTCGAGGGTGACGAATATGCTGCTCTCATGACTGCTTGCAAGGAAGGCGCTCAGCGTCAAAACTTGCACCTGGATTCACCAGAAGAGCTGTACAAGTGGTTCACTCAACAAATTGTGAACAACCTCCATGTTGTCTTCACTATGAACCCGCCGGAAGAAGGCTTGTCATCCAAGGCAGCTACCAGTCCCGCCTTGTTCAACCGATGCGTGCTCAACTGGTTCGGAGACTGGTCAGACCAGGCTCTCTTCCAGGTCGGTCATGAGCTCACGCACTCTATTGATCTTGACTGCAGCACATTCCAGGCTCCCGACACCATCCCAGTCGCATACCGCGGGCTCAGCCTGCCCCCATCTCACCGCGAGGCTGTTGTCAATTCTATGGTATATATACACTACTCGCTTCAGCGATACAACGAGAGGCTCTACAAGCAGCAGAACAAGGTAACTTTCCTCACGCCTCGACATTTCCTGGATTTTGTTGGTCAGTATGTCAAGCTGTACAATGAGAAGCGTGAAGATTTGGAAGAGCAGCAGCGTCATTTGAATGTCGGCCTCGAGAAGCTAAGGGACACCGTGGACAAGGTGCGCGATCTGCGTGCGAGTCTGGCGGAGAAGAAGACACGGCTTGAACAGAAGGATGCAGAGGCGAACGAAAAGCTGCAGCGCATGGTTGCGGACCAACGAGAGGCCGAACAAAGAAAAAATACCTCACTGGAAATCCAGGCGGCTTTGGAGAAGCAAGATGCCGAAGTGGCGAAGAGAAAGAAGGTGGTATTGGAGGATCTCGCAAAGGCCGAGCCAGCGGTTGAAGAAGCCAAGGCCAGTGTCAGCAACATCAAGAGGCAGCATCTGACTGAAGTGCGATCCATGGGCAACCCTCCACAGGGTGTGAGACTTGCGCTTGATGCCGTCTGCACCTTGCTCGGCCACAAGATCAACGATTGGAAAGCGGTGCAGGCGGTTGTGCGCAGAGATGATTTTATCGCCAGCATAATCATGTTTGATAATGGCAAACAGATGACCAGGGCGCTGAGAAACAAGATGCGAAACGACTTCCTCTCCAACCCCGAGTTTACGTTTGAAAAGGTCAACAGAGCCTCCAAGGCGTGCGGTCCTCTCGTGCAATGGGTCGCCGCCCAGGTCAACTATGCAGACATTTTGGACCGCGTTGGTCCCCTCAAGGAGGAGGTCACCCAGCTTGAAGAACAGGCCTTACAGACCAGAGCCGAGGCCAAGGCCGTTGAGAACAACATTGCGGAACTCGAGTCCAGCATCAATACTTACAAGACTGAATACGCTGCGCTCATTAGCGAGACACAGGCCATCAAGTCGGAGATGTCCAAGGTTCAGTTCAAGGTTGACCGAAGTGTACGGCTCCTGGACAGCCTTTCGTCGGAAAGGACGCGTTGGGAAGAAGGAAGCAAGTCATTCGAAACACAGATCAGCACACTCGTCGGCGATGTGCTCACGGCCGCCGCCTTCTTGGCGTACAGCGGCTTGTACGATCAGACATTCCGAAAGTCCATGATGGATGACTGGTGCCACCAGCTTCACCTGTCGGGAATTCAGTACAAGTCCCCCAATCCGATTACCGAGTACCTCTCCAGCGCGGATGAGCGCCTTGGCTGGCAGGAGAACACATTGCCAGTGGATGATCTCTGCACCGAGAATGCAATCATCCTCAAGCGCTTCAACCGTTATCCGCTCATTGTTGATCCGTCGGGAAGAGTGACGGAATTCCTGCAGAAGGAGTGCAAGGACAGGAAGCTCACGGTGACTAGCTTCTTGGATGACACATTCACGAAGCAGCTGGAAAGTTCTCTGCGCTTTGGCAACCCGATCCTTATTCAGGATGCCGAACACTTGGACCCAGTTCTCAACCACGTCTTGAACAAGGAGTATCAGCGCACCGGAGGCCGTGTTCTCATCCAGCTCGGCAAGCAAGAGATTGATTTCTCACCAGCATTCAAGCTTTACTTGTCCACACGTGACCCCTCGGCGCAGTTTGCTCCAGATATTTGCAGCCGGACTACATTTGTCAACTTTACGGTCACCAAGAGCTCCCTCCAGACGCAGTCACTAAACGACGTGCTCAAGTCCGAGAGGCCCGACGTGGACGAGCGCCGTACCAACCTCATCAAAGTTCAGGGCGAGTTCAAAGTGCATCTGCGCCAGCTAGAGAAGCAGCTTCTGCAGGCTCTCAACGAGTCTCGCGGTAATATTCTCGACGATGACAACGTGATAGAGACGCTAGAGAGGCTCAAGACGGAAGCAGCGGAGATTTGCGCCAAGATGAGCAACACTGAAGGTGTCATGGCCGAAGTAGAAGAGATAACCCAACAATATGGTGTCATTGCAGGCTCTTGCAGTGCAGTGTTTGCTGTCCTCGATCAACTGCACTTTCTCAACCACTTCTATCAGTTCTCTCTGCAGTACTTTTTGGACATATTCCAGCTGGTACTCCATGGTAACAGGAACCTCGCCAACGAGACTGATCACAACACGCGCCGTGACATTATCGTCAAGGACCTTTTTGTCAACACTTTCAAGCGCACGGCTCTCGGTCTGCTCCAAAAGGATCGAATCACGCTCGGCATGCTTCTTGCCCAGGCTTCTCCCTACAAGATGGATAAGTCACTGATTGATGTAGTCCTTGACGATCGCATCGAAGGCAAGGATTTGTCTTCCACCCCAGAGCTGAAGCACCAAGCTTTTATGGAAGCCAAGAAGCTTAGCATCCTAAAGGAGAAGCTCGATGGAGTTGCTGATGAAGATTGGAACAAGTTCTTCGCAGAGGAGCTTGCGGAAGACGTCGTGCCTCAAATATGGGACAGCAAGACGAGTCCGACGGACCAGTCGCTACTGTCTTTGCTGCTTGTCAAGTTGTTCCGTATGGATCGCTTTGTGCCTGCAGCTGAACGCGTTGTCGGCCATGTGTTTGGCAGCGAAATCTTTGACTTTGTCGACGACCTCAAGGAGACGGTTGCCCAGGTATCTGCTACTCTTCCCATTGCGCTGGTATCTAGCCCTGGTTTCGATGCCAGCTACAAGGTGGACAACCTGGTGGAGAGAACAAATGTCAAATGCACCAACATTGCCATGGGATCGAACGAAGGCATCGCCAGTGCTGACAAGGCGATTAGCAATGCTGCTCAGGACGGATCTTGGGTTCTGGTCAAGAACGTTCATTTGGCACCCACCTGGCTCCAGAGCCTTGAGAAGCGTATGGAGGCACTCAACCCTCAAATGGACTTTAGACTGTTCCTCTCGATGGAATCCAGTCCCAAGATTCCAGTCAACCTGTTGCGTGCTTCTCGGGTGTTGATGTATGAGCAGCCTGCTGGCGTAAGGGCCAACATGAAGGACTCAATGTCTTCCCTGTCGACGCGGTCAACCAAGAGTCCCGTTGAAAGAACGAGGCTGTACCTGCTCATCTCGTTCCTGCATGCTGTTGCACAAGAGCGGCTACGATATGCACCGAATCTTGGTTGGAAGGGTTTCTGGGAGTTCAATGACAGCGACGTGAGTAATACTACCCTTGGCCCTCCGTGTTTGTTTACATCATTTGCTGACCGGGGTCCAAAAAAAAAAACAGTACGAATGCTCGGCATTTATTGTCGACACCTGGCTGGATAGTGTGGCGGGCAACCGGACCAACATTGCCCCTCAAAATATTCCCTGGGAGATGATCCGCTACTTGGTTACCGAGACATATGGTGGCAAAATTGACGATGAAGGGGATTTCAAGCTGCTCGGCCAGCTGGTTACTTCACTCCTGACTCCCGATGCATACGATGTTGATCACAAGCTGGTGGATGGCCCTGACGGCGGCCTGCTTGTACCTTCTGGAACGAGCCTGCAGGACTTCATGGCCTGGGTGCAAAGGCTTCCCGAGCGCGAACCGCCCACTTACCTGGGTTTGCCTGCCAATGCAGAGAAGTTGTTGCTCGTTGGGCTCGGGCGCAGTCTCATTTCGGATCTGCGCAAGGTGACGGAACTGCTCGATCAGGGCGAGCAACTGGTGACGGAGCCGTGAGCGGGCGGGATTGTAGGTGTGGTGGTTGAGGATTGATTGGGATTTCTATACCCTCCATGTATGCTGGTCAGGCATGACTGTTTGCAATTCACTTGTTTGTACTACAATGCAGGTACGCGCACTTGAGATTGGATGCAGCATGGGCCGCCGCGCATGGGCAGGTTTTTGTTGTGTGGTGTATTGCGTAGAGGAGGTTACATAGCCTGACACCCGACGGTGGCATTGTGTGCTGGTCTGAGCAAGAGGATGTGTTGGCGTTGTCGAGAATCGACATGTTTGTGCATGAAGTTGTGCATGTTGTGCAGTTGTGCAGTTGCATAAAAGGATATACGGAGGACGCCGTTGATCATGTGTCGGCGCAAACCCAAGTCAGTCCCGGCCTCAACGGGCATCCTGCACAGTTCGACTGCCAAAAAGAACCAAGCTCCGGCTACCACGGCGCCAGCTTGCCGCCGCTGTCTACAACAGCCCTCAGCCTCGCCGGCATGAGGTCCACCCAGACATTCACCCTCTCCTGGTCGAGGACCACGTGCCTCCACGCGTCGCGGGCCGCGTCCCTGAGCGAAGCCTCGTCCCAGTCCCTCAACGGCTTCACCTTCCAGCGCTTGCCGGGCGGCCAGACGGAGTCGAGAGGGCTCAGGTCGGGGCTGTCGCCGCAGTTGAAGTGGCTCCGCAGCCCGTTGAGCTCCTTCCACTGCCGCACCATGTTCACCTTGCTCAGCGCCCCGTGGGCAAAGGACTCGGTGTCCTCCTCGAGGATGAAGGACTGCGGGCCGCCCATGGCCGGCTGCAGCCACGGCTTGACGTGCCTCTCGAGCACCTTGTCGTGGTAGGCGGCCATGGTCATGGCGCCCGACGAGTTGGGGCTCGTCGAGTCGTGGTAGAAGACGAGGTCGCTCTTGAAGTCGTGGCCCACGCACGCCCAGGCGTGCACCCTCTTGACGTCCCTCGTCCACCGGACCCGGGGGCCGTCCGCGCCGTCGTCGCCGCCGCCGCCGCCGCCGCCGCCCTCGCAGCCCGGGCAGTGCTTCTCCCCGGGCCGGGGCACGACCCTCATGGCGCCGTCGAGCCCGAAGCCAAAGTGCAGCTCGCACCCGAACCGCACCGTCCTCCACGCCGTCCCGGCGCCCGCAAACGCGTCCAGCATCTTGCGCGCCCACTCGACGCGCCGCTCGCGGCACCTCCTGCTCACCCACGCCCTCCCGCACCCCAGGCACCGCCTGTACCCCAGCGTGCCCATGGTCCTGTGCATCGTCCTCGGGTTGCAGCCCATCTCCACGCCCGCGTGCCTCGCCAGCCCCGCCCAGTTGAGGTACACGTCCTCGTACGCCTCGTCCCAGAGGATGCTCTCCATCTTCTGCTGGTCCCCGTCCGACACTTTGCCGGGCCGCCCGCGCGTCTCCTCCCACTCGGGGTCGTTGCGCCTCGACGCCGGCCCGCTGAGCGCCGCGTACCCCTGGGACCGCGACAGCTCGAAGTGTCTGAATATGGCCGACTTGTTGACCGGCAGCCCCTGCGACTCGAGGTAGCTTATAGTTCCGCGGACCATGGCCTTTTTCGGCGCGTCTCCGTGTTTGTAGTCCGGGGCCATCCCTTTTCCTCTCGAGCGCCTGCCGAGGAGCGGAGCGTCCCCGTCCCCGTCGGCTCTGCTCTTCTCCTCTTCTCCCTCCTTTTGCTCTTCAGATGATGTCGGTTGATGCCCGCCGATGGTGTAAGTCGGGTTGCGTCCGAGTGATCCGAGGGTAGCGTGGGTGGAGGCCGAGTCGTGACAAAAACTTTGCGTGCTTGTTTTTGTCGGCCGAGCTTCGCCTGCTGGTCACGTGATGCTCGCCGTTGCCTGCGTCCGGCACTTGTTTCCTCTCGTGTTGCAGTTGCATACACCCGACGCCATCCGCAGAATGTCGTCACCCGAAGCCAAGTCCTCCTTGTTACAAGTAGTAGTTAAAATTAAGGCCGTCATGTAATCCAAACGGGTGCCCAACCCTCCCTGCCTTGGCAGAATGGTGGCAGCCCTCCCCGCCGGAGGACAAAAGTTACCCGAAAACTATGTACCGTCCGACTCTCCGCACACGCGCATATACGTCCGAGTCCAAGGAAAAAAGCGGCTTCTTTGTTGCCCCCAAACTCGTTGCCGCTTCCGCTGGCGCAACCAACATGACCACTTCGCCAAACGTCAGCTCCAAACCCAATCATCATGGCCACCTTCCTCCTCTTCCCGCCGCTTCGCACACAAGTGCTCGAGTCATAACGCCTTGACGCGGCTCCATTCGCGCGCGTCTCCTCCGTCTATATGTCTTGATATGCATTCAACGCTTGAAATCAAAATTGAGACAGATAGTCTCATAGTATCGGGCTCATCCAACTGTCACATGTAAACAAATTGGTCGCAGGGGATTCGTTTCGCTGTTCCTCAACGACCGAGCCAGGAGACTGAATCAGACTTTCCCAGCATCCCGAACGGTCGTCATGAACCGATCTTCAGCCCCGACTTCACCCACGGCCCGTGCAGTTCCGTGGCTTGAATTCGTCCTGTTCATCACAACGACGACTTCGTCGGGAGTCTTACTTCCGAGAAGTGCCATTTCGCGCAATAGCAAGAGAGCCACGGCTGCTCGGACTAGCAAGCCATCGCCCTCGAAAACATATACATCCCACAGACGTGCAGCTTCATCAATGGCTAGGTGACCCGTAAACAAGCTGAGAAACATGCCACCCAAGTAAAGTTCAGGAGTCACATCTCGCATGGTCTCAGTCAAGTGTTCATAGAGCGGCTCCGACTTGTAACGAAGCGTCTGCAAAACAAGGTTGTAAGCGGAGGCCTGTGCCGTTTCATCGGCAGTGTAGAATGACAAAGGCAATGGTCGGTTCAAAACATTCGCGAGCGCGATAAACGCAGTTTCGGCATTGGGAAGATTCAACAGAAGCAAGGCCGCAATCGTCTGCAACGACAAAGTTAGTCCAGCACGGACATCTACACAAGTCAAGGGTGGGAGAGGCCATACGTTACATCCAGGCACGTAACCAATGTCACTCCTGTACATGGCGTAGGCGTTGAGCACGTCCACTAATGACTGGTGGAGAGGCCCGGTAATTTCAAAAATCCTGAGATTCTTCCAAGTCCTGTCATTTGCATCTCTGCGAATCTGCTCAAACCACTTGACTCGCCTAGCATCTTCAGCATCTGCTCTGTCACTGCGAACCCTCTCTTCCAAATCATGGGCGCGGGTCAGAGCAGCTCGAAAGGTGGTTCCTGTCAGACCAAGCTCGTTGCCAATGGCACGAGCCCAGACGACGCCGCGACTTCTCGGGGCCACCCCTCGCCACCACATATCTCTTGTACGCCTCTCGCGTATGGCGTCGTTCCATCGTGGTATGATGTCGTCCTCCCAAATGTGCATGAGATCATCCGCAGTGTGGTCTCTGGACTCGGCCCTTGTTCGTCGAGCAGCCTCGCGTCTCTCTTCAGCTTTGGCACTGGCGGCCATCATCTTCTGATACTCTTTGAGATGCCGACGTTCTTCCGCCGGATCCTTAGGCGGCAACCAAGACGGTCGGGTACGACTGAGAACAGCTTCCTTCTCCTTCGAGATGGGTAGCGGATCTACCATGATATTGGTCCGCCGCAGCGGTGGTAACTCCGGCGTCGACGACTTCACTCGTGCTCGTTTGTCGTACACGTGGTCATAGGGCATGTGGCCAGAATTCCACGTGTTTGGGCGGGCAGATCCTGACGGGCGGTGGCTAAAACGCGCCTGCAGCTCGTCGGCATGTTCCTCTAGCTTTTCAGTCAAGGCCTTAGATTCGGCGTTCAAATCGGCCAGGGCCAAGTTCCAGCTGTTGGCTCGTAGATTGAGCGGACTTGATGGCGGCCTGTCCGATACGTCCGACTTCCAAGAAGGAGATCGCAGACAGCCCTGTGCCTGGGCCACTGCCGGCGTTCCATTACCAACGTTTCGTACCCGTTCCTTGGGTGCACGATCGGGTGACGGTGAAACTGAGGGAGCTCGACTTGGTGGACGCTCATGGACAGGTCGAGGAGAGATGGGAACATTTTCAAGCACAATGCCATCGGGTATGTCATCGCCGTCGTCTTCATCGCACTCGCGCTCTAGCTCTTGCAGGCTCCTGCGACGAGTCACCAGCCGGCTTCCGCGTCGAGCCCGCGGCTGAGGCTTCGACGACAGGTCGATGTCTCTGGGATCCAGGGACAGGTTCGGACTGACACTGCGGTTTCTTCGTGCGGCGGGTAAAGACGTTGTAGAATGTCCTCTACTCAGAGAGAGGGATCGTGGATCTGTCAGGCCAGAGACGTTTGTGCTTCGAGGGTTGGCAGCGTAGACGTTGGTTTGGAGATTGGGAAATGATCGTCGCGGCTCCGGAACCGGGGGTCGTTTTACACTGGCAAGGTTACGACCGACTGGCGTCACCAATGGGGTCGGTCCAGGGCGGACGTCGACTTTGACGGTAGCACTGTCATCGTCTAAGCCAATGTCTTCGAAATGGCTCACATCTGACAAAACACTGCCGTCATCACTATTGAGCGACTGGAAAGAGGACGACTTTGAGCTCTTAGACGTGGTCATTCCGGGAGGAGATCCAGGGCTCGATATGGTGTTGCTGACGACTTGTTCGCGAATCATGGCCGCATTTCAAAGGAGTCGGGGCGAGCAGAATTGACGAATTGCGGGAAATGCAATACTATGAGGAAGAAGAAGAAGAAGAAAACAACAACACGGAAACCACGGTTTTTATTTGTGTCGTGTCGTTTCCCTCGGTAGGTTCTCGCGCGGCGGAATTGGGTGCGAATGCTTCCGCCGTCGAGTCACGGTGACCATATAGCGGGCCGGTCGATATTATTAATCGTGACGGCCGCAGGTTCTAATGCTCGGGTATGCTCTCGAGAGTATATGGGGCCGTGGACGCGGGGAAAGGCAAGGTTGGAATCTGAAGACGACGGATATGGACGATGGGTCACGGGGTGGCAACGGCGTGGCGCGTCAAAAAAAGATCAGGAGCGATTGAAAGCCTCGCCCGACAATATGTCGAAGAGGCGAAGAGGTAAAATTAAATGAAAGACCAAAGAATTGGGGGAAGCCAAGACAATGGAAATGGAAAGATAAAGGGGGCAGTACCGCGCGAAGAATATCGAGGGGTTTGATCAAATGAAACTGGCGTCAGCTACTAACGAGAGAATGAACAGCCAGCGTCGAGAATGAGCAAATACAAGATGCAACACACACAAGACTCAAGACCAGGTATGCAGAATGCAGAGTGAGAGAATGTGCAGTGCAGTGCAGTGCAGTTCTGATCTGGTCTGATCTGAAAGGACAAAGACAGTGGAAGCGCGCAACAAGGCAAAAGTCAATGGCGAGAGGGAGGGCGATCAGGAGAGCACGTTCAACCTTGTACTTTTGCCCAAACCGGCCGACGAGTGATGCTTGAGGGCAGTTCAGGTGGGGTGCGACAGAAGTGGGTCCCTCACTATTATGAATTGCGGGGCGGCTCCTTTTTAATTGGGTTTAGAGATCACCGTGCTCGCTATTACCGAGTCCTCCGTGCTCCGTTCGTGCTCCATACTTGAAGTACTTAAGTAAGTAAGTAAGTTACTTGTTGGTAAAGTATCCAGGGGTGAGGACTTCTATTCACTTGCGTCGATGCTTGTCCGGTTCCGCGGTAACTACCTGTAGCTAATCCGTGCTATTAACTACAATCCGTTGAACCAAACGAAAACCACCCCTTTCGGCAGAGGACTAGCCCTACTATGCACTTAAGTACTTGTTAGTAGTACCAGTACCAGAACAACAAAATGGCCTTTTTCACTGAGGCTGCTCCTGCATTTGGCGTCGTTGCATTTTGGGTCGTTACACGGACTGTTCGATGGTAACATCGAGTTCGCTGGACGGCATGCCACGCTCAGGCTACTGCTGTCAAGGTTGCAAGTTATCCCCTGTTTCAACTTGAACAGTTCAAAAATCCAACCATCTAGTTTGAAACAAGAAGACGCCGGTACAACGAGCGTCGACATTGGTCCAAAGCAGACAGTGCTCACGCTCATGCTGCCTATGCCATCTTCCCAGGAGAATGAAAAGCTCATCGACCACTGTGGTGACCTGCGCAGTAGCTTGTTGCAACTGAGGCCCGCCAACTACCAGTCATATTCTCATCATCTCTATGGTATCATTACAGGTCTTCTCCATTTTTACTTGCAGCCATCCATGAACAACACCTAGCCCACAGCCTGCTGTACCTCAACCCCTCCAATCTCCTATCTACATGCGCTCGCGCCGTCGTGGTGCGGCTCGAATGATATCGTCTACTCGGAGGAGAAGCTGCACACACATCTCGTTAGCCAGCGGTTCATCTGCAGAACACCGGCCTAGCTAGTCGTCAAGGGCGAATGATGCTTACCTCGGCTGCTTCGCTGGCTGATGACACGACCGCGCGCTTCAACTTGTAACTCTCAATGACTCCAAGATCCCGCATGTCCTCAATGCCACCGCCAGGCTTCGTAAGATCCAGGCCGTATGTAGTCAGACCGTCGTAGATGGTCTTTCGCAGTCTTGAAACAAGATCACCAGAGTCAAGACCGGCGTTGTCAGCGAGGATCGTCGGAAGTTGTCTCAAGGCAACGGCGAAGCTAGAAACTGCCAACTGCTTCTTGCCGTCAGCACGAGTGGCCGCACCATCGACCGCCTTGGCCATGACCATCTCAGCACATCCACCACCCAGTGTCGTTCGAGGCTCAATAACAGTCTGGGACAAGACGGCCAGAGCATCGTGCAGACTTCGCTCAGCCTCGTCCAATAGCTGTTCAGTGGCACCACGCAAGACGATGGTGCAAGCCTCACCGGCTGACACTCCAGAAAACTTGATCAGGGTATCCTCGCCAATAATGACCTCCTCGATCAAGTCGCACGTGCCCAACTTGACCTGCTCGGGGTGGTCAAAGGTCGACGCAATCTCGCCGCCAGTGACAAGGGCCAGACGCTCAATGCCATCAAAGTCGGCGTGTTCAATGGACATTATGCCAGCGTCAGTGAAGAGCTGCTCGGGCCAGTTGTAAATGAGCTGGCGGTTAATAAAGCAGTTGATGCCGTGGGACTTGATCTTGTCAACCTTGGCCTTCATCTTATCCTTTTCCGCTTTCTCGAGCTCGGCAAGCTTGCTAGTGGCTCCGACCTTCATTCTAGCACCAAAGATCTTGACCTTGTCGGTATCCATGGATGTGTTGGCCACCAGAATTTTGGCCTTTTCTAGCCTCTTGGGCTGATTGACACCAATCTTTTTGTCAAGAATAAAACCCTCATCAAGGTACGACTCGCTGAGCTTGCCACCAGCCTTCTTGATGATTTGGATGTGGCTAAGATCAGACGACTTCTTCAATCGAAGAACGGCATCGCAGGCAAGGGCAGCGAAGTGGTCTCTGTCTTGAGCCAAGACCTTGGAGCTCAGGGTCGTTCGAGCGATGGAAACGAGGTCCTTGCGAAAAGCCTCGGGGCTCTTGCTATGGTCAACGGCGGACTCCTCGAGAGCTTTAAGAGCAGCTTGGCTGGCTATCCGATAGCCTTCAATGATGGTCTGGGGGTGAATCTTTTGGCCGACCAACTTCTCCGCCTCATGGAGCAGCTCAGCAGCCAAGACGGCAACCGAGGTCGTGCCGTCGCCCACCTCGTCATCCTGGACTTTGGAGATGTTGACCAGCACCTTGGCGGCGGCGTTATCGAGAGCGATGGACTTGAGAATAGTAGCACCGTCGTTCGTAACCATGATATCGCCAGTGGAGCTGTATCAAGGTCAGATTATCAGAACGTTTCTCTGTTGCTATGAGCGCCATAACAGACTTACGCCGACTGCAAGATCTTGTCCATGCCTTTTGGACCCAACGTGCTCTTCACTAAGTCACCGACAGCAATTGCACCTACAAAGGCAGCGAGACGCGCATTCTCGCCCTTCTCCTCTGTGGTGCCTTCTTCGAAAATCTGCGTTGGCTGGAAGGACTGCATGCGGGGGAAGAAAGGGGTAGGTTAGCGGCGATTTGACCACTACATCGGTGAATGATTGACATGCTGCAAAGTCGAAGAAAATATACATACCATGGTAGGCTATGTGGAAACAGGAAAATGCAAGTCAACAGGCTTGGTGTTGGTGTTTGTCGGGCTCAAATGTTACCGCCTTCCGCACGTTGAGGCCGTCGCTCTTTTTTTGGAGCTCTCTTAAATTCGCACAGGCGCGGTCAAAAGGAAAGGTCCACCCAAGCCCAACCGCTCAATCGACGGCCTTGAGCCCCACCATGCCAACCGCTATCAACTTTCTCGCACGTGACTTGCCCCTCGTGGTTGAATTGTCGGCGAAGGATTATCGCTTCTCCGCCGCACACTTTCCGGAAACCGAAGAACACCAAATTTAAGAAGGCTGTCAGACCCTCAACGAGGTATTACCCATCCCAGCCCCAGGTCAACGGCTACACGCTACGCTCGTCATATATCGAGGCCCGTAGTGGTGTTTCAAATAATATCTACCTAGAGCGAAGCATCGACATTGCTCTTCGAGACATCAATAAAGCCGTACTGGCGCACCAACGAATTGCCTTCACGCACAACATTTCGCTGTCGCCCAGGCGGGGCATTTTTTGCACCCCTCTTGAAATAGAGAATCTTCGCCAACATGGCTCCGTCCTTTGACCACCTGCGCGAGGCCGACCTTGACGATGATGAGTTCAATGAGGACGATATCGATATCTCGGATCTTCGCGAGAAGTTCGAAGTTTCCCTGGAACACGGCTATGATGCCTTTGTTGTCATCGACGGCTTGCCCTCGGTCACCGAGGACCAGAAGCCCAAGCTTACTAAGTTTCTGTTGAAGAAGCTCAACTCTGTTGGGAGGACGAGAGAAGATTTGATCTATATGCCCATGGGCGATGATGGAAAATCTCTAAGGTTAGTCGCTGCTCGGAGGTTCTCAGATTGAATTGGCTCTTGGCAAAGGCGCAAAATTTGTCATTCTTTTATTTTTTTATTTTTTTTAGGCTAACTTTTGTACTCTCAGCTTTGCCTTTGTTGAATATTCTTCTCCTGCAGAGGCCGCCGCCGCCACGCGACAGCTAGACTTGGTTCCCCTTGACAAGAAACACACTATGCGTGTAAACAAACTAACCGATATCGAGCGCTATGGTGGTGAGGGCAGAGTCGATGAAAAGTACACACCTCCCCATATTGACGAGTTTACCGAAAAGGAACATCTGCGATGGTTCATGAAGGATCCTTCAGGCCGAGGGCGCGACCAATTTATCATGTATCGCGGTGAGACCGTTGGCGTCTTCTGGAATAACGAGAAGGACTCGCCCGAAAATATCGTTGAACGTCAACACTGGACAGAGACTTTTTTACAGTGGTCTCCCCTAGGCACATATCTTACTTCAATTCACGCTCAAGGTGTTCAACTCTGGGGAGGTCAGTCATGGTCCCGACAAGCCCGATTTGCTCACCCATATGTCAACCTCGTCGCCTTCTCCCCCACCGAAAAGTATTTGGTTACCTGGTCTAACCGACCCATTTCCATCCCCGAAACCGGACATCCCGCTCTTTCAATCGATGACGATGGCAAGAACTATGTCATTTGGGATATCGCTACAGGTACTCCCTTGCGTTCCTTCGCCAATCTTGATCTCCCCAAGGGCGAGGAAGGCAAGCCTGCACCAAAGCTGCAGTGGCCTGCTTTCAAGTGGTCTGCTGACGACAAGTATGTTGCTCGACTGAACCAGGGTCAATCCATTTCTGTCTATGAGCTGCCACGTATGAATCTGTTGGACAAGGCTAGCATCAAGATTGAAGGCGTTATGGACTTTGACTGGGCACCGGCTACGGTTCAAAGAGAAGGTGTCAAGAATTACGAACAGCTCTTTTGCTTCTGGACTCCGGAAATCGGCAGCAATCCTGCCAAGGTTGGCTTGATGAGCATTCCCTCCAAGGAAATTGTCAGATCACTCAATCTCTTCAGTGTCAGTGATGCCAAGCTGCACTGGCAGTCGGAAGCGGCTTATCTTTGCGTCAAGGTCGACAGACACTCCAAGTCCAAGAAATCACAAGCCACCACATTGGAAATTTTCCGAGTCAAGGAGAAGGGCGTCCCCGTCGAGGTTGTTGACACCATCAAGGACACTGTCATCAATTTTGCTTGGGAGCCCAAGGGTGACAGATTCGCCATCATCACCACAAGCGAGCCGGTTGGCGTCACGGCCGTGCCCCCCAAAACTTCCGTCTCATTTTTCTGCCCCGAGAAGATCAAGGGGCCCATCGCCGGCAACTTCAAGCACCTTCGAACACTGGATAAGAAGAACAGCAATGCCATTTACTGGTCGCCCCGCGGACGATTCGTCGTCATCGCTACCATCCACAACCAACAGAGCTCCGACCTTGACTTTTTTGATCTCGACTTTGAGGGCGATAAGCCCGAGTCCGACAAGGACTTGACCGCCAATCTGCAACTGATGAACACCGCTGATCACTACGGTGTTACTGATGTTGAATGGGATCCCTCTGGCCGGTTTGTTGCCACCTGGGCATCAGTATGGAAGCACACCGTAAGTTCACACGACTTACTGTAGCAACGTGTTGAAATGCAAACATGGCACTAACGATCATACCACATAGATGGAAAACGGCTACCATATCTACGACTTCAAGGGCGAAGCCCTGCGGGAAGAGCCCATCGACAAGTTTAAGCAGTTCCAGTGGCGACCGCGGCCGCCGACGCTGTTGACCAAGGATGAGCAGAAGCAGGTGCGCAAGAATCTGCGCGAATACAGCCGCGTATTCGAGCAGGAAGACGCCGACCGCGGTGCATCGGCCGACTTGGCTGTGGTCGAAGCGCGGCGACGCATGCTGGAAGAATGGTACGCATGGCGCGCCGATGTCGAGGAGGAGATTTACGAGGAGCGTGCCGCGCTTGGCTTGCCGCAGGATCCTCACGCTGCCCTGTTAGAGGCAAAGACAAAGGCGATGGGAATTGACAGCGCCGACCAGGACCAGGTCATTGAGGAAATTGTGGAGGATGTGTTGGAGGAGAGTGAGGAGGTTTTGGCATAGGTGGGAGATGTGGACAATCGGCGAATGAGAGCATGAAATGTTGGACGACATGGACACAACAAGATGTTCTGCAGGCTTGCATGGAGAGCAGGCGTATTTGTTTGTACTGGTAAATAAAATATCCGTCTAGAGTCTGGGCGCAATTTGTACGGACTTTGTGGAATGGTTTAGTCAGACGACTCTCGTCGTGCGACATGGCCTGGTGCTCGGTTAAATGCCGTGTCGCAGCTACTAGCGTTATTACGTGCATGTGTTGCTTCCTATCCTGGAAGTGGGCTGTGCTTCATCATTCATGTGGCAGTCGATGCTTGATTGAGAGCCAAGATCAGCAGATGTCACACGAGGCGAGCCCATGGGAGATTCGACAGCTCGCAACGCCACCTGACAGAGAAGGTGGTGATGCTGAAGTCTGGACGGGACAAGGCGAGCCGGCCAGAGGATAGCATCGCCAAAGCGATAGGCAGTGGTCACGGTGTAGGCACAGTATATTACGTCTTTAACGATAACTTTTGTGAGAGATTTTCTATTCTTATAATCCGACGACAGGGACTGTATCGTCGAGACGCGACTGCTTATTTAGGGAAAACACTACTTTTATTAGTGCAATAATAAGGCTGACAAGATGATATTAAGAGGCGTAGCTAATTTTGCCAGAGGTACAGCTGTAATTTTTGTATGTACTTGCTAGGCAAAATCTAGGCAGAAAATTGCTATTAGAGGGAAGTCGCCTTTATATGCTTAACATGCGTGAAAGGTACCTCCCAAGGCGTGTGCGCGAAACCGCTACAGCACGGGGCCGTGATAGACAGGTTTTAATGGTACGTACTTATGTGGTCACTCGACCACTCGGCCAACCGTTTGAGATACATGTACGAAGTGGCGGCGGCATTGGTGCGCACACTGCCGTCGATAGACCGATCTGTGGTGGAGAAGGCGCGGCACCGCCGCTCGTCGAAGCAGGCCTAAATGCTGTTCTGAGCTTGGGTGCCCTGGCGAGACGAAACGTACGGAGTAGCAGACAATTCAGAATTTCCTTCGTTGGGTTGTTTTCGGCCACCCATCACGAAGTACAGTCAATGGAATCCGCACGCGTAGCAAGCTAAAATTGATGTGAATCAAGTTTTTCTTTCTTGTAGCAAGTTGGCCGAGGATTACGCAGTACGGAGTACGCCAGAATGAGTCGACGTGTGGAGCAAGTAGATTTTTCAAGGGCCGACAGCCGAGACGCCAGACAATATTGTGGGACAACCGGCAGTAGGGGTGGTCTCTTGTCTTGGGCTTTTGCTCGCGTCGTCTTGTCCAATTCAACTATCCCAACCACCCAGCATATAGGCTAGGTACTTAGGTAGTTGTTACATAAGAGACGACTTTGTTCCTTGTCACGACATGAGAGAAGCAGACAGAACCTTTTTCCTTTGGGCCGGGGGGTGTGTTAGTTTCCAAGCGGATATATGTGGGTCGTTTTAGTACTAGCATTTTGCACAGTATGTTCGGGCTGCTTGTGGGCAGCAACGGGCGTGGACCTGGATCTGATGCTGTGAGGACAAGCACCAAGGGGACTCCGTTTTGCGCCCCGAAATCAAACTGCCAAGGGACAAAAAGTGGCCATTTTGTTGCTTGCCAGTGTTTTTTTCCTCCTTTTGGACTGGTTGATTGCCGCAGGTGGAAAACATTTGGCCTGGAATGGATGCAAGCAAGGGGGGTGCTTGAGTCACGGAAAATCTCGACTTTGCATCATGTGCTCAATGTGCAGCGTATTCGCTACAGACCCTCATGGCATTCTCGCACGAAAGCAATGCTGAGAGTAATATACGTACTTTGGTCTTGGCCGCCCCGTAGAGGGTTTGAGGTTGAGCGAGATTGAGCGATCAGTCGAGTCGAGGCTTTGAAGGGATGGCACGTACGCGGCGGCTTTGATCGAACGAGGGGGTTTCTGGCACAGTGCAGAGCCATTCGACCAACATCGGCCACCATACCGGAGTGCTCCGTAACAATATTGTTGTTGATGGCCCATAGGCGGAAACAATCAGAAGACAGACATGTCAACTTAACTCACAAGTGGTGGTCTCGAGATCTCGAGTGCCTGTCTCATCCTTGCCCACCAAAATCCACTTGACGTGGTAGGACCCAGTAATTATCACTGTGCTCGAGACACCACATCATACAGTGTCCCATGCGCACTGTACCCCGAGCTGCTCCAGACCTAAGTACCTAGGTACTTATACCTAGGTAGGTACCTACAGATGTACGGAGTACTCTGTGCCGAATACTTGGCACCTGCATAGCCCGCAAATGCAGGGTTTTCAACTGAGGATGTTGGGGCATTCCTCGCGCTCGAGCTGCGGCTGCATCGTCCGGATCCGCGTTTCGACACCTCGCAAACTGTAAAGAAAAAGGGAATTGTACAAGCTTCTATGCTGGCGTCCATGATCATTATATATGCCATTAAATACGTAGCGTGAAACTCATCTGACGAACACAGCGCAACTCACTGCATGCCGTCCGACTCGCAGCCCAGTGGTTATTGTGTGTATCCACGGGCACGGTGAGCATGGATCACAGTGTCTGTCCGCACTGTTACCCTCCTGCACAACCTTTCTCAGCCTGGGTTCCACGCTGGTGGGACTAGGAGCAGGAGCGAAACCTGAGACCCTCGTCAATTCGCCTGGTCCTCGATTACGCATCCTCTTTTGTTCTTCAATAAGCCGCATCCTTCCCTCCTTTAGTCTCGTCGACATTCACTTACGCACGCACGCGCGCAAGTCCGCCAAAAAAAAAAAAAAAAAAAAAAGGGGAAAAAACGAGAAGAGCAAGAAGGAAACAGCCGACCAGACATCGGGCCTTCGGTTCGGGATGGCCTCGCGACCATCAACGCCGTAAATGCTTTCACCATCCACGTCCGTTGAAGCACGGCGCGCCCATCATCCTCCACAGCTGTTTTCAATGCTTCTGATCTAACGAAAGTTTCTCTTCAATATGCTGCGACGGCCGCCAATCGACGAAAGGGGGTCCTTGCAACAGCAGAAGCTGTTTCTTGCCTTCGCCGTTATACTTCTGCCTTGGGTCCAGCTCGCCAACGCTCAATCGCAGCAGGCCGCTCGTTCCGTCATCTCACCACAGCTTGCTCCCGCTGCTGGTGTAGACTTGGGTGCAGATACCAGCTACAAGGACCAGAAGCGCCCACGAGAGAATCATCCAGCCGCTTTTGCTGCCGCTGCCGCTCGAAATCCCGTTCATTGGGAAGCGACTCCCATCAGTGCCGCTACGATAGAGACACCCAGCAGTGGTCATGGCAAAAGATCGGCTCTGCAGAATCAACCTGTTTACCAGCTAGAGGAGCAACGTCAGCAGCAAGCTCGACGGAGCTCGAAAGACGCACCCTCCAACTCTCACATACATAATCACGACAAGATACAACGTAAACCCGATGCGAGCGCCTCCGCAACAACTTTGGCTCCGGATAATTCCGTCCGAGCACCATCTCCTCTACGACGCCAACCTTCTGAGTTGACCACGTCGCAATATGCGCGGAGTCTGGAGGACTGGGAAGTAGAAGACTTTGTTCTTCTGGCGACCGTCGATGGAGACCTCTATGCCAATGACCGCAAGACTGGCAAACAACTCTGGAGTCTCCTGGTCGACCAAGCAATGGTCGAAACCATTCACCACCGAAGTAACAGCTCCGAACTCGATGACGACTATAGCCCTGTGGACCACTACGTCTGGGCTATTGAGCCAAACCAAAATGGCCGCGTCTATGTTTGGGTTCCTGAGCCCGACGCAAGACCGCGATGGACTGGCTTCACCATGAAAGAGCTGGTTGAAGTACTCTCCCCCTTTGCCGGAAATGAACCCGAACCTGCTGTTGTCTATGTCGGCGACAAGAGGACAACAATGGTCACGCTCGATGCCGCCACTGGACGTGTCATCAAATGGTTTGGCACGGGGGGTTCTCACGTTGACGAGGCCGAGAGTTGTCTGAGGCCAAATGCATTGTACGGCAAGGACGCCGAAGAATGCAGCGCTATCGGCACTATTACTCTCGGCAGAACCGAGTACACCGTCGGTATTGAGAGGCGGGACGGAAAGCCAATTGCCACTCTGAAATACGCCGAATGGACCCCTAACAACCGCGACAAAGACCTGTTTCACCAGTACCACGTGTCAAAGGACTATCGATACATCTCAACTCAACATGACGGCAAAGTGTACGCCTTTGACTATGCACGCTCCGACTCCAATTCTGTCCCAGCTCGTCTCTTCAGCCAAAAGTTTGAGGCTCCCGTGGTCCGCGTATTTGATGTTTGTCGTCCTTGGGATGCCACGCCGGATAGCAACCCGGATCTGATTCTCCTACCCCAGCCGGTAATGCCGTCGCCCGACGATCGCACCTCAAACAATATTTTTCTGAACCGCACCGTAACCGGTGGCTGGTATGCCCTCAGTGGCCGTGCCTACCCTCTGATTGACGCCGCCCCCGTGGCCCCGGCCTCGCGTCCCGACGGGTGGGAGAGGATGGAGTCGTGGGACAGCATGACGGAGACAAAATTATCCAAGTTGGTCGGTACCCACTCGCTAGGCACTCAGCACAAGGTACAGCAATTTCCTGCATTGCCTGACCGGCCAGCAACAGACCATGGCATGGAGGATCCGGACAACAAGTCTGTCCCTCAACGTGTCCCGGCCGAGATCGAGGCCCCCACCATTGTGGACAAAGTTAAGAGCATCCCACAAAGTGCAGCGACCAGTGTCTACGATTTTTTCAGTAATCCCGTCCTGATCATTTTCCTCATTGGTCTTCTGGTCTACAACAGGAAGACGTTCACGAGAGCTTACCAGTTGTGGCTTAACGGACGCAGTCCCAAGGATGCGCTGTCATACTTGCTCCCAGGAACAAAACCTGCCGATGACAAACTTGCTGTTCAAGATGATAATACATCGGAATCCGGTGAAAAGCAGTCACCAACAGCCATCACCGCAGAGGACAATTCAAGCGAAGCTAGCTCGTCTGGATTGGACGCCAAGGCTCAGGATTGCAGTCCCCGCAATGACGATGCAAAGCGTGAAGATGAAAGTGCCGCCGACCCCGATCCAACGCCCAAGACCAACGACCCGTCTCCAGAGTTGCGCGCCGGTCAAGATAAGCTAGGCGATGGTGCTGACGATAACACGGCCGGCGGCGGTACAGTCGCAGAGGTGAAGAAGAGGAAAGCCCACCGTGGACGTCGGGGTGGCGTAAAGCATCGGAAAGGTAGACCGCGTGACAGCTCGCAATCCCGAGGCGATGATCCACCAAATGCCACCGTCGAAGAGGCTGTTAGCAATGCCAAGAAGCTAGGAGACCGACCTACCTGGGAACCAGATGTCTTGACAGTTGCCAATGACATGCAGGCCGTGTCCGGTCCCATTATCAAAATGGGAAACATCGAGGTCAATCTCGAAGAACAGCTCGGAACAGGTAGCAATGGCACGCTCGTGTTTGCTGGAAAGTTTGATGGGCGTGAAGTGGCCGTCAAGCGAATGTTGATTCAGTTTTACGACATTGCATCTCAAGAGACTAGGCTTCTGCGTGAGAGTGACGATCATCCAAACGGTCAGTTTCATGAAGATTTTCCTAGTCCTTTCGTCTTGTCCCTAACGAGTTTCCAGTTATCCGCTACTATTCCCAGCAAACCCAAGGCGGTTTTCTCTTCATCGCCTTGGAACGCTGCGCCGCATCATTAGCAGAAATTGTGGAGAGGCCGTACGCATTTCATGAGTTGGCAAATGCCGGCAAACTGGACTTACCAGGGGTGTTGTACCAAATTACCAATGGAATCAGCCACTTGCATAATCTCCGAATTGTTCACAGGGATCTGAAGCCCCAGAACATTCTTGTCAATATGGGAAAGAACGGCAAGCCACGGCTTCTCGTCTCTGACTTTGGCCTATGTAAGAAACTGGAGAGTGAACAATCGTCCTTTGGTGCCACGACCGGTCGAGCAGCTGGAACGTCGGGCTGGCGAGCGCCTGAGCTCTTGCTGGACGACGACGGTCGCGACCTCAACCTGATTGAAGCTAGCACTCACAGCGGATCGGGCTCTGTGCTCGTCCCAGACGGCAACATGCCGCACCATCGACGGGCCACGCGGGCCATTGACATATTCTCCCTCGGTCTCGTCTTCTTCTACGTCCTGACCAACGGTTGCCATCCCTTTGACTGCGGGGACAGATATATGAGAGAAGTCAACATCCGGAAGAACAACTACAGCCTACAGCTTCTGGATGTGCTGGGCGATTTTGCGTTCGAGGCAAGGGACCTGATCACGTCGATGCTCAATGCCAACCCCAAGCTGCGGCCAAGCGCAACCGAGATTATGTGTCATCCGTTCTTTTGGTCGCCCAAGAAGCGGCTCTCTTTTCTTTGTGATGTGTCGGATCACTTTGAGAAGGAGCCGCGCGATCCTCCGTCTGTAGCTTTGGAAGAACTTGAGCGCCACGCCTCTGGCGTCACAAGAGGCGACTTCTTGCGCTCTCTCCCTCGGGAATTCGTGGATTCTCTCGGCAAGCAGCGCAAGTACACGGGCTCTCGGCTCCTGGATCTTCTGCGAGCGCTCCGCAACAAGCGCAATCACTACGAAGACATGCCGGATTCTTTGAAGCGCCAGGTTGGATCTCTTCCCGACGGCTACTTGAGCTACTGGACGACGCGGTTCCCGCAGCTGCTGTTGGTGTGTTGGAACGTGGTGTACAACGTGCGTTGGGAAGATACGGACCGCTTTAGAGAGTACTACGAGCCAGCTGGACTGTAATTTTAGCCTGTCGTGCCATGTTCCATGATTTGACGTGCAAGTTGATGTGTATGGATGGAGTGTTTTGTGTGTCTCTCGAAGCTCGTCGTGTCAGGTCCCTCTCTCTGTGTCTCTGGCTGCCATTTGCTCTCTTCTCCATCCATCCATGTACTCTGGTCCCGTGGCCCACGAAAAGCAGTATTCACACGCAACCTGGCGTCTATGTGATCTCAAAGGCTAATTAATGTGAGACGAACCAAGGCGATGGCGATGAAGCAGCCCGTGCAACAAAGCACCAAAGCGAGCCGGCATCGCAAGGGACGTCATGGGGATCCTGGACGTATGAATTTCGATTACAATGTACTGCGCTAAATCACAAGGCATCCACCCCATGCGGACGCGTCTGCTTTTCCTTTGCAAAAGACAAACACCAGACCAAACCAAACGCCCGACTATCCCCACTGAACGAGAACTTTCTTGCCCTTCCTATTTCCCGACTATCCCCACTGAACGAGAACTTTCTTGCCCTTCTTATTTCCCTTTTTGGGGGTGGCCGCGTCTTGCTCTTCGGCGGCGGCAGCGGCGGCGGGCGGATTGGCAGCGGACGAGCTACTGCCCCATGTGAAGTTGGACTCGGCATGTCCATAGTCGCGACGGACGCCGCGGCCGGATCCGTACCCGAATATGGTGGTGGTCGGCTTGGGGGCGGCGGGAAGAGACGGGAAGGCCTCTTGGTTGCGGGGAATGGTGGACCGCGGCCGGGCGGACTGGGCGGAAGAGGAGGATGATGTCCATGTCGGGCGTGGGGTTGATGCTGGTGACGCTGATGACGCTGATGCTGGTGGTAGAGAGGGGAAGGCGGATGACGATGATGACGATGAAGACGATGGCTGGACGGCGGGACAAGCTATCCAACTTGGCGCAGCCCTGACGGGCGTTGGTGCAGGGCCGCCGGGACGGGTGCTGTTCTTGAGACGGAGGACTCTGTTGGAGTGTTTTTGGGCAGGGGCCGATGCGTTGGGGGACGCCGGGTTGGCGGTGGCGGCGTTTGCCCATCCGCTCGAGCTGGAGGTTGCGCCGTGCATGCCGCCGAGGCCAGGGAGGCTGGGGTAATCGTCGTTGATGGCGCGCCAGTCCTGCCATGCCTTGCGGAGGCTGTCGGCCCTGGTCTTGTCGTCGAAGAGGTCGGCTATTTCCCGAACTAGGGTGCCGAGGGCGTTGGATGGGACGTCGGCGAAGAGCGTGAAGAAGGCGTCGATGAGCTGGGGCGCCGTGAAGCCGCCATGGCGGTAGGACGAGACGTGCTCGCGGAACGTGCCGAGTTTGTTGGCGTCATTGCCGAGGAGGTTGGCGGCTCGCTCGACGACGGAGCTGTGGCGGACCAGGCGGGCTCTCTCCTCTGGCGACATGTTGGAGGTGTCGGAGACGGTGAGAGAGTCCATGGCGCTGGCGAGGTCATTCCGGGGGCCGGCTGCGTTGTTGTTTCGAGCCGGCGTCGATGAGGCTGACGGTGTCGGGCGTGAGGTTGAAGATTGGCCAGCCGGTGCCGAGAGCTGGCCGCCAAAGGACCGGCTCAACACGGATTGCCCCGAGTGAATTGCCAACTGGCGCTGCAAGGCCAGCTCGTCTCTGCGCAATGGCTGGGCAGAAGTCGGCGGCACGGCGTCCGCGTTGGGATCTCTGCCCCTGCCCCCTCGTCGTCTGCCGCCGCGACCTCGTACGTCGCCGTCTCGGTTGCCACCCCGTCTTTCAGTCTGGTACGACTGTCTGATGTCAAAGGAGGACATGTCGACGAGCCTGGCATCTCTCCCTACGGCTTTGCCGGCATGCTTCTCGAGGTTATGCGCCTGGAGGTCCATTTCGGACTCAAACACGACAAACTTCTTTTCCAGGCATTCGCTGTGTGAGCAGATGTAGTGGTCCTTCCTGAAGTGCTGCTCCAGGGCGTTGTAGTCGAGGTAATAGTGAGGCTTGCGTGAATCGCGGCGGTCGCAGATGAAGCACCGCTCGTGCTTCATGAGGCAATGCTCGTACAGCTTGTCGTCGTCGTAGAAGCGCTCTCCGCAGAAGCCGCACAGGGGATGGCCCTTGAAGCCGGTCTGGTCGGCGGCGCCGGGCTTGTCGTCGCCGCGTCTCATGTGTTTCTCCAGCTCCTTGTCTGAAAAGAGCTCGTGCTCGTGCGTGAAAACCTTCTTGTTGCGCGTGCACAGGTCGCACATTCGTTTGCGATGGACCGACTTGACATGGCGGTGGAGGTCGGGCCACCCGAGGCCTGCAAAGTCGCAAGACTCGTCGGGACAATTGTACCGCAGCAGCAGCACGGTATCCCCTACGATGTCATCGTTTGTGTACTTGATGCCAATGTTGGAGTCGGTGGTGGTTATGTCCTTGTCGACATAGTCGTCGAATCGCTTTTCCGCGTCGTCGGTAAATATGACAAAGGGAGCTGGGGTCTAAGACACGAACAGAAACACAGACATGTTAGCATGGCATTCAACTCGGATCCATGGCCATGAGCCTCGCGGAGTGGACGAGTGCGTACTCGGCAATGAACGCAGTCCTTGGTCTTGTAAAGGGCCCTCATTCGCAAACCACATATGTGGCAGGTGGCATGGTTGCAGGGAGCAATGGAATGGTGCGCGACCGGATTGGCACAAATGAAGCAGACATTGGCGTCGTCGTCGGCGTCGGCGTCAGCGTCAGCGTCAGCGTCAGCCGGAGCCGAAGCAGTCGGCGCACCGGTATTGACGTCGGCAGTCTGGGCCTGCTGCTTCAAGAGGGGACCTCTGGCTGCTGCGGCGGCGGCAACGTGCCTCGCTGCTGGATCGGCGGGCGTCGTCGTGCTGTCTGCGGTCCGAGTATTTCCTCCTCGGCCTCGTCTTCCACGCCCGCCGCTACCTCGTCCACGGCCACGCACCCGTCCTCTAGAGCCCTCGTCACGGCCGGATTGAGGTGCGCCCTCGGTAGCAGTCATGGCCGGTGACAGTGACGGGTGAGAGGCTGTTTCCGCTGCGGATGCGTGCGTGTTGAGGAATGGTATCGACTGCGGAGGCTTGTCCTTCGAGAAGGTGTCGACCGTTGGTGGCCGTGGGAGGGCGTTGACCTTTTTTTTTCCTACGCAGAGCGACGTGGCGTTTTGGTCAAATGAATTTGGACATGGAAGCAACGGGACGAACCACCAGGACGACCATATAGCATAGGCGCTTTGTCAGAGCTGTGCGACACGTGATGAATGATAATGGTCCCAGGTCGTCAAGAGGAGGACCATGAATTGCTTGGTAGATTTACGTATGGAGTCGAGGATGGGTGGAAGATGACGATGGCTCGAAAAACCAAGTGCCGGTTGGCAATGCTTCGTACGTTATGTGACTCAGCCCGGCTCTCAACCAATGAATTTTGACGAGGAAACACAGTACGCCCGCCCGATTTGCCCATGAACATAATGCAGACTACCGGCGCCCCATCGTCATCTTCTAGTTCACACGCCGCAGTCGTCTAGGGGTCAGGACACCAGTTTGTGGTTTGCCTAGCATGGAATCACTGGAAACCGAGGTTCGAGTCCTCGCTGCGGCACGGCTTTGTTCAGTGTCAGTTTTTTTGGCGATTTTCTCGATGCTGCCACTGTAAATTCTTTTTTTTTTTTTTCGCTTATGATATGATTAACCTGCCTGCCCTTTTGCTTGGTTGACAACGTTGCAAACCACGCACGTCGCTGCATATTGCCTGCCCTTCTTCTTCTCATACTAGATGGCGTCCGGATTACATGGAATACCGTCCGTGTTCAAACCTAGAACAGGTACCGTAGAAAAGACCCCTTCCTTCATATACCATCGCGAGGCAAGCCCCAGCTGGTGGCCTCCACACGCAACGTACTATAGGGTAGCTTCGCATGCACCGTGCTCATCGTCACGATTCTTTCCTCCATATCAAAACAGACATGTCTCAACAGTGTCTCGTAATCCAGCCCTGGCCAAACTATCGAGCTATCCTATCGACTGGTCGCTTACGAACCCCATGCCCTCCACTTGAAATCGTGTTGAGCATATTTCCATATTTTCCCCGCTTCCCCATTGCCCCTGTCACTGCAACTCTGGACCCCTTCAACTTTCTCTCGCTATACCCATCTCTCGTTGCTAGGCACTCCCAAATTGAGACATGAACCCATGAGTAGTACGTACGGAACGCACCGTCCAATCCCATTTCTCGCCATCCCATGCTGCCGGCCCGAATATCAAACGAAACTAGAAAAAGACATCAACAAAATCAAAATCACTAGATAAAAGGCAAAAAGCACAAGGACGAGAAAACGTCCATGTAGTCTGGATACTCCCCGAGGCGCCAAATGCCGTGATATTCTTTTATTTTTTTTCCCTGGCGTGGACTGTGTTGCGCATGTAAGCCGTGACTGTACTTGACTACTCCTCCCCAACTGGATAGAGATGGTTGCCAATCTCCTTGTTCATCTTGAACATGTCCACTCTAGCCTGTTTAAACACAGCCTGCATTTTGGCGTCGCATCGAATTTGTCGTTTGTCTGCCGGATCTTGCAGGTCGTTTGCCTTGATGTGCTCCCAAAGCTTCTTGACAACTTGCGGACGTGAAAGCTGTATTTGTCGGTCAGCCGGGTTTCGCTGCGGCTTAGGGGGCTGCGTTGCCTACCTGAGTCTCGCCACAGATGTCAGAGAGCGTGGAGCTCAGATTGAAAGGTTTTTGGAAACCACCGCCGGCCTTGCGCTTCTTGACGCCCAGGTCTCCGCTGCCGTTTACGTCGCTGTCTTCATCCTCGCGGGCCTTTTTTGCGCTCTTCTTGCGTGGCGCCTTTCGCTTTTTTACAGCCCGGTCACTCCCTCCACGGGTGGTTCGTCCGCGGGCTAAGCTATTCTCTTGAGCTTGAAGCTGAGCAGCGAGGCGCGCATCTGCGTCTTCAGATGGGGAGGATCGCTTCGACTTCTTTTTCGCTGGCTCCGGCGAGGCAGAAGGGTCAGTCTCGTCGTAGCCGGAGACACCATTAGACCGCTTGAGGGGCGATGGCTCTGGGACATCTTCGGCGTCGGCCCCAGAAACCGCATCGAAGCGGGCTTCGATCAGGCGCTTAATCGCCTCCTGCATCCCTGTTAGAACGCCGTCAAACACACCCCAGTGTCAACCCGCTGCCACGAGCGCACCGCGAAGGAGGCTCTGATTGATCAACTCGCACCTTTTGTTCGCTCAAGTCCTTGCCGCCAAGTCGGCCTTCCAACGCCTGTCGGATCTTTTTACGAGAAATGGTTTCAAGATCGGCAGTCGCCAAGATGCCATCGATTATCTCGGTATAGCGTTCCTGTTCGTCGGAAGTCACTGCAAAGAGGTCTGTTAAGAGAGGGCCTTGGAGCCTAGTGAACAGGTCGGAACGTACAGGGAGCAGACATGGTTACAGGCGACGTCTGCCGAGGTTGAATTCTTCGAATCGAACTACGGGCGGGCAAGCGGAAGGATTTGTACAGAAACGTGGCAGGGCTCGAAGCAAGCCAAAAAGCAGGACGTCTATTGCCAAGGTGTCCCGCCTCTCAGACCATAGCTTGCCGCAGAGCCTCGTAATACCACCTGGTAAGCTTCGAAACACTCGTGACGCGGAGGACGGAGGACGTAAAAGTTGACCGGCCAGCTATAAACGAACGTAGGTGTGGAAGCGCTGTCGCGGGTGGAGTTCGATGACGGCGGATGAGAAATCGCCGATGTTGCTTATCGGATGGGCCTCGAGATGTGCAGCATCGGCAGTCAAAAAAATTGGCGTGGTGAGCTGGGTGTGACGCGCAAAGCGTCAAGCGTTTCGACAAAGGGCAATTGGGTATCTCGGCTTGCGCAGATGGTATAGGTGTAAGCGGATTGGGGGGGCGGAGCAACGGAGAAGTGACCAGCTCGAGGAAGAAAAGAAAAGGCTGACGTGACGGGTGAGCCGTTGCGGCAACGCGAACGTTGGACTTTCGGAGCACGCGAGGCTCGAGAGTTCAGGCTACGTGAAGAAGTGAAGGCGTCGTGGAGGCGGCTGCGGTTGCGGTTGCGGTTGTCAATGAGAACTAGGGCGGAGGTCGCGCCTGCCGTGCCGAACAGTCGGACATGGATGCTCGTGCCAGTGGCTAGTGGTAGAGTGTGCGAGTGCGCCAGTTGATCTTTGTGGCTGGTAGTTACCTGCGAGGCTACGATATGACCAGCGGACTGGTCGACCTCGAGCGTGTGGGGTTGCTATTTGAAGCGCTCACGAGCCTCGTCAGCCACACTGACGCCGCAGCTTTATGTACCTTGGCCAATGGAAGAGCTGAATTGAGACGGTTGAACCTTGGGAACCTTGGCCTTGTCACGTGGGCATCGACGAGGGCGTGTCGTGATGTTTTAGTTTACACACATTGTTACCGCCAAGGCAAAGAAGAAGCTAGGTGCTTTGGACGGACTTTATGCACTGTTACTCTACAGGTACGCAACGAATAGGCGGCATGGGTCGAACTCTTGTTCTGTGGGGAGGGAGGACTAGCAAGAGTGCTTGCTTGCAAAGCCTGCCCGTTCGGGTGCCTCGGTCTCGTCATGACCGCAGATAGTCGCAAACCGGCTCTCCCCATCGAACTGCTGATTTGTATCTCCACATACCCGGTGCGTTTCCCGACTGCAAGCCTTCAATAGCATCGGCCAGCTCCGGGCCCGACCCTTGCTCCTTGATTTGTCGAATGCCGTACAGATAGGTCTTGAACGAGAACAAAACCGCTTGCGTCCGGGGCAGCCGCGTCAGGGTTTGAAGCTCCACTCGGAAATATGTCTGGCGCGAGTCAGCTGGGAATCGGATATTCTATGCACATGTAAGTGTGTGCCGACGTACCTGGTTTATATCCACGGTGTCTTGCGGAGAAACCTCCGCCGCGTTGTCTTTGATGTGATTTTCAAGGGCATACAGGTTGTTGTGGGTTTGAACGGACCACTGTCGAGGAATTATTAAGAAAACTGGCCGGGACAAAGGGGGACAAAGTGAGAGCCCTGTCTCATTTTGATCAACGTACATTTAACCGCTTCACGCTTTTGCCGACCTGAAGCTTGCTGAAGAACCGCTCCATGCTCGCTTCGATCTTGGAGTAGGCCGGGACAGGAGCGTGTATGTCTTTGAGCAAGTTGCCGAACTTCTTGGACGGATCAAAGCCGGAAGGGAAACAGCACATGAATGCCACGCAGAGATGGCCATTCGGGGTCTCGTGCAAGAGGAACAGATCCTCCTCGACTGTTTCACCCAGTGATCGCAGCGCGGCGTCTGCATCGTCTGGCGATTGGGTGGGAAATGTTTTACCCGTCACAGTGTTTTCGAACATGGTCCCGTCGGGGCGTAGTCTGAACATTGTGGGATATCGGGCGGGCAAGTAGTCTCGCAAGAGGTAGGCGTATAGTTCTGTCACGGCCTCCTTACCTCGCGGCAGGCATCCATGGACTGCGTGACCCTTTTCGTCTATGAGACTGCGCCGAAGGGTGACTCTGTCGAGATAGTCGCTGTCGATGGTGATGAGATTGGAGGGCGTGTCTTGCTGAAGGGCTGCGCCTCGGTTTTAGCAGCACCTTTCAACTTTCGAGACGACTGACGGAGCAACTCACCCATGGTGATGTGGAATACCGGCTTGATGGGCAGGTACCTGACGGGCTCTGTTGTCTTCCAGTCGAATTCCTCCAAGGGCTCAATCTCCATCTTGGTCAGCCGGCCATCTGGAACTGGCTTCTCTCGCGATCCGGCACCAGCATTAGCCTGCGGTTTCGTTGCCGCCCTCGAATTGCGAACCTGGCTCGTGTGAGCAGCTATTTCTCCCATGTGCAGGACGCGTACTATGCAAATCACGAACCAGTCTACAAATCGCCGTGATAAACGCGAGTGCGACACACAAGCCGATGATGCTGTTCCTGTCTGATGGTGATGCCCAGGGCTTGAAGCCACCACCACCACCACCACCAAAGCTCGCAGACATGTCGCTGGTTCCAGCAGATGTGTACGAGAAATGCCCTTGATTGAACAAATCCACTCGGACGTAAACGATGAAGAGAAAAACATAAAGCGAACGGGAGACATGACCGGTCCAACCCATGAAACACCTGGATGTGTGGAAGAGCTTACTGGATATACACGACGGCCCGATTACGGCCCCGATCCATTGGCAGTGGCTTCGGCTCTGGGCTCAGCTCCTCAGGGACGGACTGCGAGATATACAAAAGTGGCCTCTGGCTACGCCATTTTTAGGGGCAACAAGGACCGACCTGGTGGACTGTGGATCTTTTCTCCATTGAAGCCGCCCTCGCGCCGCAGCCTACAGGACGCATGATATCAGGTCAGACGGAAGCAGATCCGCGTGTTGAGGGGAAACCCGACCACTAACCTCGTGCCTCCATCGTTTTCCATCCACGATGGCATGCAGGGGTCAAGCGAGATCTGCAAAACTTGTCCGTCATTAAAGCCGTGATGGGCATGCAAGAAACATCACAGCAAAATACAACATGAAAGTCGCCGTTGACTCTCTGGGCATCTGTGGCGTCGGCAGCTCCCGATCGATTTCAACAACCCTTGTTGACGCACATCCTCTCCGCCGGCCGGCATCTCGAGCAGCGCCATCGACGACGGCAAGAATCCCCTCGACGCTGGCATCGATCGTATCGGGCGGCTGGTGCGGGTATCCCCAGTCTCGCGCCGACTCTCCTCCCATGCGCGTCTGGGCCAGATTCCTCATTCTGAAGATGAAGAGCACGGGTGATCCAATTCAAGGCTGCCTTGCCAGGACCATAGGCGCCCCCAGACATCTCCTGCGTCGTTATGCAGCCGACCGACGATGTCATCATGATGACCTCGGGGCTGGCCGACTTTTGCAACAACCTTGGAATATCATCAGCGGCGCAATGGCATTGACCTCGAATGCGGCGCGGAGGTCTTCTGCCACGGCCTGCCCGGCCGTGGCCATGGGTCCCGACATGCCGGCATTGTTGACGAGCACATCGATGCGACTGGGGCCCAAGTCGGCGACAGCCTCGCGCACTTGCTCGGGCCGCGAAGCGCGCGAGAGGTCGAGAGCAATGAGATCCAGGCCGCTCCCGTCTCCCATCTTGACGGCGGCCGGGCTGTATACACTGCGGTGTGCGATGCCTGCCTGTCTGCCACCGTACGATCCCTGCGAAGAGCTAGTTGGATCGAAGAAGAAGTGCGTATTTCTTCCAACACACAATTCAGTTAAATGCCATCTCGCGTATATTTTGCCAGTACATGCCAGCATCACGCCTCGCTCTACGGGAATTAGTCTCCGGAAGCGCATTGTTGCGACAGGCCGAGAGCGTCAATCCTGACGGAACGCCGGCACATGGTGATCTGCATGACATGATTCGTACCCTCGGGACGATCCTCGACGCTCCATATCCATCATTCCACATCGTGGAGCAGTACGCATCTCAAAGGCCACTCACTGCTCCGTACAAGACGACGCAACCTGACATAAGCCTGCACTGCGGCCTGAACGTGGCCAGCTGGCTGCTGGGCATGAAATGCGTCAATGCTCGCAGGTTCCGTGTCTTTGCTGCGGCACCGGTAGGTAACGAATGACTCATGGGCCAGCAAGTCGAAGGGTGCCGCCACCGTTGCAACGTCTCGTGTATAGTGTCACACGGGACAACGGCGTAGCCAGAGGCCACGTTTTACGTGTGTTGGTAGCCAGAGGCCACGTTTTACGTGTGTTGATACCCGCTACGTCTTGTGACAACCTTTGGGTTCCGGCTTAGCAATAGCAATAGTGTCGCGTGTGACACGAGACTTACGGCAGAAAGTTGCTGGGTAAACAGAAGCCCCTGGTCATGGGAGAACCAAGGACATCTAATACCAGAGTGTGTCATGTCAGTGCGGTTGATGAATTGCATTACTCCGAGCCCTGTCACTCCAGCCCTTGTCACAGTGCCATGTCCGAAACGCCGTGGGAAAAGTCATTGCTCATGCCTCACTGGGAGAGTGAGAGTGGAGTTGAGCGAAAAAAACAGGCGGAATCTCGTGCCTTGTGAAAACAAACATTTGCAGCACCCAAACTCCCTCTCTGATATTCAATCCCGCGCTCTGATCCACGGTCACCACTTGAGTTGCTCTTGCCTTCCCCCCCCACGTGTCATGGCACAAGAGACAAGGCTTGTACAATCTTCTACATAAACAGGTACCTTTAGAATGACGCATCATTAGTTCCGTTGACAAGCATTTCTTTCTTTTCCGCCATCTTCGATATCTCGTCGAAGCATCCGGCGCTAGCCGCGACAAATCCCAATAGAGCGGGCGACGGGTTCAACACCTTGCTGGTGAACTCGGGATGTGCTTGTAGCCTAGTCAACAGCGTTAGTAGAGCTTCGGCATTGTCTCGCTTGCAATGCTTACCCGACAAAGAAAGGATGATCCTTCAGTTCGATAGTCTCGACCCGCACACCTTGATCGTCAAGCGAAGTCACGCTGAGTCCGGCATTTTCCAAATCCTCAATGTACTTGGGGTTGACCTCATAACGGTGTCGGTGACGTTCCACCACAACATCGGCGCCACCGTACATGGCGCGAAGCTTGCTCCATTCCGTCCCAGGCTTGAAGTGGGACGTTCGAGTGCCGAGTCTCATCGTGCCGCCCATTTGTCTGGAGAATCATGGTTAGCCATTGCCCGCAGTCCGAGTAAAATGATTTGGGAAACGCGACAACGCACTCCTTGGACCCTTCCGGCATGAAAATAACTACCCGGTGCTCTGCATGGGCAGATATTTCTTCAGAGGTAGCATCTCTCAACCCCATTATATTACGGGCGTACTCCATAACCGCAACCTGTAGACCGAGGCAGATGCCAAGGAAGGGAACTCGTCGCTCTCGAGCCCACTTTGTGGTTTCAATCATGCCTTCCACTCCTCTTGAGCCAAAACCGCCTGAGTAATGTCAGTTCAATACCAGGCATCTCGGGACTCGTGTAGCTTACCAGGAACTATAATTCCTTCAGCTTCACAAAGAGCCTTCCAGGCATTGTGGTACTTGGTGGGTTCCTTCTGTTGCATGTCGTGCTCAAGGTGCTCAGAATCCACCGAAACGAGGTTTAGCTTACGGCCACACCGCATAGCTGAGTGTTCAAGAGCTTTATGCACGCTAAGGTAAGCGTCGTCAAGAGTCACGTACTTTCCAACCAAGGCGATGGTAACAGGCGGCAGGTGATGTTTGGGAGCGACAGTTTTAGTCCAGATATCCCACAGGGCCTGTCCCTGCTGGACTCTGGCTGCTGGCAGAGTAAAGGTAGTCTTGTCCAGGGCGAGGCCTTTTTGTAGCTGCTTCAGTAGACCTTCCTGCTCGAGGAGCAACGGCACTTGGTAGATGGTCTCCATGTCTCGAACGCCAATGACTTGTTCGTATTCGACTTGACAGCTTCGAGCGATTTTCTGGATTGTGGCGTCATCCAGTTCCCGCTCGCAGCGACAGGCAACCTACAAACAATTAGACCCTTGTCAACCACATCGTGGGATGTTTTTCTCTTTGGAATTACCATGTCAGGGATCAATCCAGCCATTCGCATTTGCTTGATAGCGTGTTGTGTCGGCTTGGTCTTTTCCTCCCCGTTGATAATGGGTACGTATGACACTGCAATGCTGAAAAATTTTTCCCGACCGAGTCTGTGTCTAAGTTGGACCAAGGCCTCGATGAAGGGGGCAGACTCAATGTCTCTAGTAGCGTGTTAGTGGCGCGTAATCTCAGGAGCTTTGTGCGAATCCAGTGTTATGTCAATTCAAGACGGCGGGAGACACACACCCGACGGTACCACCCTAGGAGACGAGAAGTTTAGAATAAGGAGCATCCTGTGAGAATTGGAAGCGTGGTAAGCAAACTCACCAGTTCAACTGCGGCGAAATGTCAGCATATCTCTAGTTTGGACTGTCAAGATTGGCGGCCGACGACATACTAATACAGACGTCAGGCTCCTCTCCCGAATCGTCTACAGGAATTTTGGCGACTCTTTCGATCCATTCTTGCATTGCATCTGTGATGTGAGGAACAACCTGGACCGCTGAGACGATGTTAGCATTCACCCTGCAAGGAGGCCTAAGCATACTGAACATGATCGGCTCGTGGAAAGCCACCGACAGGTGGCGTGGCCGTCACGGCATTGATCATAATAGCCGCGGCCCAAGTTTTCATCTTCGATTCCGTACTCTTTCCTAGGTAGTCGCCTCGTCTTTCTTTATCCTGTTCAGGAAGGCGATGTTAGCGTGTAGATTTGAAACGCGGGGGCGTGGCTCACTCGCACCAGAACAAGCTTGTAGATTTTGCCGGTGGTCATGTTACTCTCGTTGCTGAGCTGAATGCCGAGATACCTGACTATTGTGTCAGCGACGTGTCCACCAGTGCCTGTTGCCGCTGCACGTACCTTTCGTAGTTGCCGAGGTCGAGATCCGTCTCCCCGCCGTCGGCAAGGACAAAACATTCTCCATGCCTGAATGATTTTGATTAGACCATGGTTGTGTAACGTGACAGGGTCAACAAGGAGCCGGGAAGTCTTGCTCTAGAGGATTCAACAGTCCAGCATCGGTATTGAGATATGGGTCAAGTTTCTGGGCCTACATGTCGTGGTGTGAGCAATAATAGACTATGCCGTTGTGAAGGGACTGTAGTGGTACGTCGTACGGTAACGCGAAGGCCGAGGGTTTTGAGCAGAAGGCCAGAACTACTGGCTGCGAGAACTCGTCAGTGACGGATGCATGAGAGCGAGCCATGCTAGAATGCTGCTGTACCGATGATGCCTAGGTACTCCGAGATAGAACGTCAGCAAGACGAACCGTGGTTCACATCGTCCCCCGAAGCTGCTGCTAACGCGTTGCTGCATCGAGGTGGACGGCGAATGCGAAGACTGAGGACAGGACGTACCCTTTCCCACGCCGGAGATGACACCGCCGCTGACAAGAACTACGCGCATCTTGCAGTCGATGGAAACTTGCCAGAAGGGAAGCAAACGGACCGGAGCTCGGCGATGCGATGCGATGCGATACACGCCGATGCAATGGTCAAAAACTTTTTTTTTTTTTTTTTTT